TATCATAGTTAGAAACTTGCAACAGTCGTAAAGTTCACTGAAAAGAACGTGAAAATAATGTCGAGAATTCATTTCTAAGAGTGCATGCTGAACTCAAAGGAAAATTCATTACATTTTTAATCTTACTCCTTAACACAAATATACCGTCGTATTTTTCATCATTCTATTTTTCTCCTAGTTCGTCACATCATAAAAGGCACTAAACGTGAAAAACCACAATTTTCATTTAGTACGTTTTAATTTTGAAGAGTGAAAAGCAGACGCGCATTCGGCAGCTCTTCATGCCCGCTAAGCCCCGTCTAATGGAAACGACAAGACTAATGTAACAACTGGAAACATTTCGTTGGACGGATCTAACAAAGCATTCATTTTCTGATGGCGGTAATCTCGCCGAAGGGCGGCATTGTTCGTGATTTTCTCTGCGGGTTTTTTTCGCATTTTCTTCTCGAAAAGAATAAAAATACTGAACAGTATTGTCGACGCCGACGCTCGCGCCGCGTTCGCGCAAAAAGGACCCCTGGATGACAACGAAATGACGGGAGAGTCCGCGGGTGGGCCCCGGCGACCCCCCTCTTGTAAAAATGTCGCTGGGAGGGGCGGCGTGCCTACGACAAGACGGCATTTTTACACACCGCCGCTGAACCGACAAATCCTATACACCGAATCGGGATCGACACGAATTGGACCGTGGCCCGTCGGCTTACAAGCCACTATCGTCCGGCAATCTGCGCCTTGACTTTTTAAAACAGAGAGCTGTTTGCGATAAATCGATAAGTATATACGTACGCGACAAGAGCAGAGGGTAACAAATTGCACAGATTTTACAGTTCTTTTGTGTTGACAGGCCCGGGGTGGGGGGCGTTTAGCGGTTTCCGACGGCTGTTTTCGGAAATATGAATTTTTGGTTTGTAATTCACTAGTAGGTAGTTAACCTAGTCTTATCATAGTTAGAAACTTGCAACAGTCGTAAAGTTCACTGAAAAGAACGTGAAAATAATGTCGAGAATTCATTTCTAAGAGTGCATGCTGAACTCAAAGGAAAATTCATTACATTTTTAATCTTACTCCTTAACACAAATATACCGTCGTATTTTTCATCATTCTATTTTTCTCCTAGTTCGTCACATCATAAAAGGCACTAAACGTGAAAAACCACAATTTTCATTTAGTACGTTTTAATTTTGAAGAGTGAAAAGCAGACGCGCATTCGGCAGCTCTTCATGCCCGCTAAGCCCCGTCTAATGGAAACGACAAGACTAATGTAACAACTGGAAACATTTCGTTGGACGGATCTAACAAAGCATTCATTTTCTGATGGCGGTAATCTCGCCGAAGGGCGGCATTGTTCGTGATTTTCTCTGCGGGTTTTTTTCGCATTTTCTTCTCGAAAAGAATAAAAATACTGAACAGTATTGTCGACGCCGACGCTCGCGCCGCGTTCGCGCAAAAAGGACCCCTGGATGACAACGAAATGACGGGAGAGTCCGCGGGTGGGCCCCGGCGACCCCCCTCTTGTAAAAATGTCGCTGGGAGGGGCGGCGTGCCTACGACAAGACGGCATTTTTACACACCGCCGCTGAACCGACAAATCCTATACACCGAATCGGGATCGACACGAATTGGACCGTGGCCCGTCGGCTTACAAGCCACTATCGTCCGGCAATCTGCGCCTTGACTTTTTAAAACAGAGAGCTGTTTGCGATAAATCGATAAGTATATACGTACGCGACAAGAGCAGAGGGTAACAAATTGCACAGATTTTACAGTTCTTTTGTGTTGACAGGCCCGGGGTGGGGGGCGTTTAGCGGTTTCCGACGGCTGTTTTCGGAAATATGAATTTTTGGTTTGTAATTCAAAACTTTGACCCCAATTAGGCATGATTGGGCGAAAGCGGAGTTTCCAAATTTTACAGGGACATTTTCAGCTTTATCAATTAAGTTACAAGTGGTGAACTGTTACTGTAAAGCAATATCTATTCATTAAACTTTCTTTACTTGTTCCTATTTTTTTTAATGATGGTCTACAAAGTCTGAATGCCATGGTTGGCATTCTTTTAGTTTGGTGCAAGCACAAATGTATGTTTTACAAGAATGTACTATATAACTGTATTTTTTTTTCTATTTGAAGTTTGACGGCTGTAGCAATATTATTATAATCCATTTGCGCCTTATTTTCGAATAATCTGTATTCGTAACGGTATTTTCTAGTAACCCATGTATACTGGTTAATATATACTTGCACAATTTAAGTTTTTGCATAGGCATACTAAATGCCTATGAGTGCGAGTAATGCCTTACTTTTATTTATTACTATAATATTTGGTATGTCAAAAAGTTTTATTGGTAGTTGCACATTCGTCTCTATTTGCACCTCATGTAGGACTTTTATAAATAAGTAAAGCCCTAAAACGGTCCTAAAGCGTTCATTCTTAGTTCTCGTCCCGTTCAAGGTGGAACAGTCCCCGAATGCGGTCCCTTCTCGGAAGTGATCGCGCGTTCTGCGGGTAATTGGTCAATTTGCGACGTGAAGACGTTTAAATTAAGCCAATTGCACGCTCAGCCATCCCGCAGGAATGCACCGGAATGAATTCGCAACTTTAAGAATCTACATTTAAAGGCGTGTTGGCTAACTGACTGTAGCACGGGATGTCTAGCGTCGACATAAATGTAGAGACACACACTGAAATGTATTTTCACATACGAATTTGTCGGCCGTTTGGTGTAGTGGTGGTAGTCGTTCAGAACGGACTACTATGCCGACAGGTCCCGGGTTCGATTCCCGGCCGGGCAGAAATTGAAATGATGAATTTTAATTTCTGTGACGGGTCTGGGTGTTACTATGTATAATATGTATGTATTTAAAAAAAAAGTATATAAGTAGTATATCCGTTAAGCTAGCACCCATAACACAAGCATATTAATTGCTTACTTTGGGGCTAGATGGCGCTGTGTGAGATTGTCCAAAGATATTTATTTATTAAAAAAATCAAAAAAAAATCAAATTTGTAGAAACAGAGCAGTGACCTTAAGAATTGTGATATTTAGCATTCACCTATGCATTCAAGGATAAATTCAACTGCCTCTGCTGAACTGGAAATTAGAATAAATATAGGGTGCATCGCGAAAGTTGAGGCGAACACATACTCACCATAACACAAATCAGTCAGATTACGCAAAATGTCTGCTTATCATAGCAAATCTTTGCTTATGTTGATGGCCTCAACTCTTGTTGGGCCACCTATACTTACATAGATGTAGTGCTTTTAATGATGTTTTATTCTTAAAAAACTTACTGATATAATTCTTTTGACAGTGCAAAGAGGACAAAGGCTCGCCCAGCAGAACGCAGAGAGGATCACGGAGCTGAAGTCCTTCGACGGCGCCGTGGACTACGTGGCCAGCATTCCCAACGTCAATTTCAGCAAGTCTGTGTTTGGTAAGTCACCTTTAATACCCACAAATAAGTATCTTGATGAACGCTAACTTTGTTTGTCTGCTTCGCAGCTTGAATTTCGGCCTGTCTCACTTTACCGCGCGCTGTAAAGTCTTTCTGTGACAGGGATAAAAACGATAATATGTATCGCATTTGCTTACATTTTCTCAGCCCATAAATGTTTGTCCAAGACTCTGCTTACAGAGAGTGGGACTCAACAATGATTAATCGAAAGATTCCCGTGTACCAAAATATTGACACACTCTTATCAGAACAATATAAGTAGAGTCGTAATCATTTTGATCGTCCGATCCTCTACATGTAATTTAATTTAAAATGAAGCCGGTAGCTCAACGGTTATACAATTCCGTCATAACATAATAGAGCCCAGAGATCACTGCANGAACTTTGACCCCAATTAGGGATGATTGGGCGAACGCGGAGTTTCCAAAATTTACGGGGACATTTTCAGCTTTATCAATTAAGTTACAAGTGGTGAACTGTTACTGTAAAGCAATATCTATTCATTAAACTTTCTTTACTTATTCCTATTTTTTTTAATTGATGGTCTACATGCCATATCTGAATGCCATGGTGGGAATTCTTTTAGTTTGGTGCAAGCACAATTGTATTTTTTAAAAGAATCTACTAACTCTACATTTTTTTCTATTTGAAGTTTGACGGCTGTAGCAATATAATTATAATCCATTTGCGCCTTATTTTCGAATAATCTGTATTCGTCACGTTATTTTCTAGTACCACTAATATACTTGCATAATTTAAGTTTAGTATGCCTATGCGTGCGAGTAATACTCAAGTACTTTCTTCTTATTTATTGCTATATCTGGTATGTCAAAAAGTTTTATTGGTAGTTACACATTCGTCTCTATCAGCACCTCATGTATGACTTTTATAAATAAGTAAAGCCCTAAAACGGCCCTAAAGCATTCATTCTTAGTTCTCGTCCCGTTCAAGGTGGAACAGTCCCCGAATGCGGTCCCTTCTCGGAAGTGATCGCGCGTTCTGCGGGTAATTGGTCAATTTGCGACGTGAAGACGTTTAAATTAAGCCAATTGCACGCTCAGCCATCCCGCAGGAATGCACCGGAATGAATTCGCAACTTTAAGAATCTACATTTAAAGGCGTGTTGGCAAACTGACTCTAGAATCACACAGGATGTCTAGTGTCGACATAAATGTAGAGACAAACACTGAAATGTATTTGTACATGCTTACTAGTTTGTAGAAATAGAGCAATGACCTCAAGAATTGTGACATTTATGACACCTATGCATTTAAGGATAAATTCTACCGCCACTGCTGAACTGGAAATTAGAATAAATATTTGGCACTGCTCTATAGGGCGCATCGCGAAAGTTGAGGCGAACACATACTCACCGTAACACAAATCAGTCAGAATACGCAAAATGTCTGCTTATCGTAGCAAATCTTTGCTTATGTTGATAGCCTCAACTCTTGTTGGGCCACCTATACTTACATCTAGATGTATTTGCTTGTAATGTTTTATTCTTAAAAAACTTACTGATATAATTTTAATTCTTTTGACAGTGCAAAGAGGACAAAGACTCGCCCAGCAGAACGCAGAACGGATCACGGAGCTGAAGTCCTTCGACGGCGCCGTGGACTACGTGGCCAGCATTCCCAACGTCAACTTCAGCAAGTCTGTGTTTGGTAAGTCACCTTTAATACCCACAAATAAGTATCTTGTATCTACGAGATATAATGAACGATAGCTTTGTTTGTCTGCTTCGCAGCGTGAATTTCAGCCTGTCTCACTTTACCGCGCGCGGTAAAGTCTTTCTGTGACAGGGATAAAAACGATAATATGTATCGCATTTGCTTACATTTTCTCAGCCCATAAATGTTTGTCCAAGACTCTGCTTACAGAGAGTGGGACTCAACAATGATTAATCGAAAGATTCCCGTGTACCAAAATATTGACACACTCTTATCAGAACAATATAAGTAGAGTCGTAATCATTTTGATCGTCCGATCCTCTACATGTAATTTAATTTAAAATGAAGCCGGTAGCTCAACGGTTATACAATTCCGTCATAACATAATAGAGCCCAGAAATCACTGCAACCGAATCCAATACAATCGATGCGCGCGCGCACCTCGCTCCAATGCGCCATCATATTCAAATTATCAGATCTGTCGATCAACGCGCTCACAAAACTGCCGCCTTTATGCAGCAGTCGGTAAAATTAGACGTATTACAAGCGTTCGCTATTGTCTGTGCCTGCGTTCGCGCATCTGCCCCGTACTCGATTGTATGGAAGCGGAATTAGATTTCGTGCGCTGATGATTTTTTGTACGGGATGGGTGCTGTCGAGTGTATGTGTCGAAATGAGGTATTATGCTGCACAAAAGTATTGAAAGGAACAACATTGGGTGTGTTTTTGTACACGTTGTACAATTTATAAACAAAGGAAACGTCATGACTTTGTATTGGTATTAACAAAGTTTCATCTGTGGTATTAATTTATTTATGGTTTTGTGCTAGTTAGCTTTTTGTACGATATCCTACTTAGAACTAGATATTGTTGCTTAAGACTTCTACATCTACGTTCATAATTATTTTATTTTATTGTATTCGGAAAACAAACAGCTTACAAATAACTAAAAATAATACTAAAATTATTGTACAATCGAGTAATATTTGTTTAAAAATCTATTCATATTAGCTAAACTTTAAACTTTTCTTTTTGTTTCAGTTACTTTAATTTTGTGTGTCTTGTAGATTTCGTCCTTAACAGTACTCGAGTTAAATAAAGTTCAGTTGTATAGAACAACCTTTTTAATAAACTGGGCGAAATATTTATTTAACCTTCGGCGCTACATTCTTGGAACTCTAGTACTTGAAATTTTCTTGGTGATATTCGTGTTCTATAAATACTGGGGATTATAACTTAGGAAGTATTGTTTATTAGTATTACACATTTTCTTCGCCGTTGCACAGAAATAAATATTTTTGAGTTATGTAAGGGTAGGTTGCAGCATTTTACTTTAACTTTGAAAAACGTCAAGAATCTATCAAACTCCAAACAAAAAGCACCGGGTATCGTCATAGTTACCGTTAAAGTTAGGTGGTGCAACTCAGCCTAAGAAGGCAAGTATTGTAAAAAAATATTATTTTGTTTGGAAAGAAGTAAAAGTACGGTGATTTTTCTAGAGAGCGTAAAAAAATATTCTTTCTTTTCTTGTTTCTTCTAACTTTTCATTTTGTTTATTTACTAAACAGTGAATAATCTAGGACTTGGTAAAAAGTTCGCAACACGTCTTTGTTACAATTTGAATAAGGTTGTGTTGTCAACTTTTTTGCCACTTCGAGTGTCAACTATTTGTCGCTGTACAATTTCAAGTTACCACTATGGTATAGTAAAGACCCGTGACGTCACCACCATGGGTACGGTGACGCAGCAAGACGTAAGCTTCGGGCCTAGGCGTGCCTGTGTGGACCGGCCAATCGTCACCTCTCGTGTGAACAGTGGGCGGGGTCTCACACCCGCGCGTCAACCACGATCGATCCCTGAGACGGGACTTGTTTTTCTTTTTTCTTTTCTTTTTTTCCGTTCTGGATTTGAAACTTTGAGTAACTGCTCGGTGAGTGATTTGACAGACAGACGTACCTTAAGGCTGGGTAGCAACTTTGTTTTTGTAGCAATTTTGTCTTTCTTTCTACTTCCTTGAACACTAAGTACGAATAAAAAAACTTGGGTTTCTTCAGTAATAAATAGGCGTCAAAAAAGTGGCAAAGTAAGAAATTAAGCCTTACGAAGTCGCAGGCACAGCTTATACAATTTATTTTTTGAAAGACCTACATATTTTAGTAGACATTAATAATTTTTTTCCTAAGTAATGCCAGCCTCTTAATGATAAAATCGATCAACTTAGATTGAACATCTTAAAAGATTGGGAAAAGCAAGATGTATTTCTTTTTTCTTTTCCTTCGAGAAAATTTTAGGCTTGCTCTACTTACTTTCACATCTCTCGAATAAAATTCGATTTACTCAATCTTGAGGTTGTCCTTTTTACCTCAAATAAGTGCTCCTGGTCGACCGAGTTATTTGTTAGCGGTCACTGTAACAGAATGTTAGTGAGATTATTTTTAGTGGCTTCTTTAAAAGAACNAAAGGAACTTACTCCACCAATGTTGTCTTTGAAGAAATAAAAAATCTTTGACATTGTTGGTCTATTCAAATAAATATTCACTTGATTTGCTATTTATGCTTCTAGAAATTGAAAATTACTAAAAAAAATTATTTCACAAACATTTACTAATAAAAACCTTTACAATGTTTCATTGTAGCCCTGACTCCCGAGCTAGAAAAAATCTGTGTTTTAGAAGCCAGTATAGATAAGTAAGGTGGTTTTTTGTCACTTTAACACACTAAAGCGATTGTAAACATTAACCAAAGTTTTATAATTTATGGAACAACATTATCAAGAAACTCTCTCGTTATAAAAAGTAGCGGGAGTAGTAGAAACTTCGTCGACTAGCGAAAATTAGCCAAGTTGGAAGCCCCAACTAGTGGCACTGGGATAAGAAACTTGAACGAACTTACCTCGAGTGCTAGAACTTTGTTAGTTCTTTTAGTTATATAATGTATGTTTATTATATTCATCGAACGCGTAATCAATCTTAAAGATATTATTCTATTTCCTTAATGCCTAAGCACTTAAATTCAATTTTAAAGACTAATATAAGTAATTATTCTAAATAGAGTACTGGAGTTTTTACAAATAAAAAATAAAATGCATTTATTTCAGACCATAAAATCGAATATAATGCTAATGACATATTATGGATTTCTTCTTTCATCCCCTTTAAAAATAGGGACATTCGTTTTAAACACCAGCTTAAAATGTAATTTTCATGCTAAATGTCGCTGTAGAGTTTTTTTTTTGTGTTCAACGTGCGTGTACCTTTTATTAGTTAGGGAGTCAATGTGTACAAAACGGAAACATAATATTTAGCAGTAGTTTTACATGCAAAATATCATGTCAGAGGATTGCGTTACTGTTTTTTTTTTTCTATATAAAAATCCCAATGCAAAATGCCTCAAATAATATTCGGCAAAGTTCCACAAAAATCCAAAAGCACTTTGGCCGTACCCTTTTAATTCCGTACCCATATCCAGGTATAATCACGCGGAGGGAATGCAAACACAAAAAGTGAAAACGTGACATTTCCTTCTACATTTAGGCACCTAAACCGTTTGCAAACAGCATTGAGCGGGACACGAGTAAATGAAGGGGGCAGGGGGCTAAACAAAAGGTGCGAGCCACCCNAATTATTCTAAATAGAGTACTGGAGTTTTTAAAAATAAAAAATAAAATGCATTTATTTCAGACCATAAAATCGAATAAAATGCTAATGACGTATTATGGATTTCTTCTATCATCCCCTTTAAAAATAGGGACATTCGTTTTAAACACCAGCTTAAAATGTAATTTTCATGCTAAATGTCGCTGTCGGGTTTTTTTTTTGTGTTCAACGTGCGTGTACCTTTTATTAGTTAAAGAGTCGAAAACATAATTCACAAGTAGCTTTTTCATGCAAAATATCATGTCAGAGGATTGCGTTACTGTTTTTTTTTTTTTCTATATTAAAATCCCAATGCAAAATGCCTCAAATAATATTCGGCAAAGTTCCACAAAAATCCAAAAGCACTTTGGCCGTACCCTTTTAATTCCGTACCCATATCCAGGTATAATCACGCGGAGGGAATGCAAACACAAAAAGTGAAAACGTGACATTTCCCTGTACATTTAGGCACCTAAACCGTTTGCAAACAGCATTGAGCGGGACACGAGTAAATGAAGGGGGCAGGGGGCTAAACAAAAGGTGCGAGCCACCCGCTGCCCCCTTGGGCTGGGGAGGTTGGGAGGTATGATGACCATGAGGACAAATATCCTCAGGGATAAATTCAAATTATACTGCATTAGCGTAGCTTTTACCCATGAAGTGTTGTGAATGCTTATACCAAAACGTTTGTTTTTATTTGTATAGAGAACAATAGTGTCTAGACAAACCTAAAGAGGATTTAGGACGCTATTTGGATCAAATATGTAATTGCTCAATAATGAATAATAAATAAATAAATAAATTAAATGACGGTATAAGGAAGAGACTATGAAACAATAATTGTACATTGATCGTGATTGATAACTAAGTCTTAACGACTTGATAGATATTGATGTGCGAAGAATGATCAAACTTAATAATAGATACCGTGTATAAGTACACCCTGTCTTGTATTATTCTACAAAAGTGAATTGATTTTAAGAAACACTCAACACACGTGGTCGATGCAATCATTTTCTGATGGTTTGACAAAACGTAATAAGAAAATGCGTGCTGATTGAAATGGAAAACTATCTAGGGTAGTTCCTATACACCAGCTTAAAGATTGCTACTATTGTGCATCGCTTTGTCCGTAAACTTTAAAAAACATTGCTCTCCCTACCGCCAGGGTGGTTGTGCTTTTTCGTAGCGCGTGTCACTTGTGCGGCGGGGCGCGGGCGCGGCGGCCGACACTGCGGGCGTCGGGATCCGGCGTCCGGGCGCCGCGTTGCCATGGCGACGACACCGCGACACCCGCCATCGCCACCCCCTCCCGACCCGCCGCGACCCACACCCCGCGCGCCCGACCGCGCCAATATCACCCCTAAAACAAACACAATACGAACCACGATGCTCACTTATATACCACACCAGACCCCAACACATAGGGGTCGACTACATAAGACGGTACGGTCAGGCGATGTAAATAACGCGAGATAACTTCGAGAGGGTCTAATGGAATAGGGAATCGTGTTTTGGAAAGTACCCCGGAGAGAATGTTCTGGGTTGTTAGATGGAAGGGCTCGGCTTCCATCCATGTTAAGTGAAAGTCGATATGGGGATTGGGCTCGCCAAATTTGATTATTCAAAAGCTCGTTTAATAGTGCCTAATTGGCAAAGAGCGGACGCAACAAAATTTAACTCATCGCTAATCATATATTCAAACCTTCCCTTGAGCTTTAAGCATATTTAATTTTAATCTGATTATTCTAAATCGACTCGTACAAGGTTTGAAACTCGTCACATTCACCCTACTTTAATTTATTTAGAGAGGAATCATCATTACTATTTCATACTCTACCTATCATCCTTAAATTTTTTGAAAGAAAGAAAGAAAGAAAATAATTTTATTTTGACAACAACAGATTCAGGGAACAAAGACATACATAAAAAAGAAAAAAAATTACTTAGTTGCCAAAAAAGGTCACCCACTCAGTAATATCTTGACAGTGTGACTGCCAAGACACTGATTTTCAGTGGGTGCCTTTTTGCAGCGCTATTTAACAAAAACAGAAAGAAGAGTAAAAAATAATAATAAAAACCATAAATTAATAATTATAAAAGGTGTGAATGTCTCGGCTGACAAGCTTGAGGTGCAGGGTCCAAATAAGAAGGCCAGGGTGTAGCAAAAAGTGTACTTTTACTTCGCAGTACCAGNGAGTCTTCAACCTAAACACTTTGGCATCTTAATAAAGTAGCAATAGGTAGTAGCAATGTATGGAACTTTCTCTAGAAGGACAAATCGTGGATAAAGTCAGATTTCATTATTAATTTTGCCGTTAGGAACTTGGCCAGCCTCCCTAGACAAAATATTATTTTTGACAGTTTTAATTTCGAAATAGCTTCGCTTCGTATTATTGTATTCAAGTTATTGCAACACTCCATAATCCCAACTAATATTATAAATGCGAAAGTAACTCTGTCTGTCTGTCTGTCTGTCTGTCTGTCTGTCTGTCTGTTACGCTTTCCCGCTTAAACCTCGCAACCGATTTTGATGAAATTTGGCATAGAGATAGTTTGAGTCCCGGGAAAGAACATAGGATAGTTTTTATCCCGGTTTTTGAAACAGGGACGCGCGCGATAAAGTTTTTCTGTGACAGACAAAATTCCACGCGGGCGAAGCCGCGGGCGGAAAGCTAGTGAAAATATAAACATACCTGGATATCGTCAGGCGAGGTGGCATCGAACTCCACACCGGGCGTGAACATGATCTCCCAGTGAAATAAAGCCCCGTGCACACTAAACGTGTAGGTCCCGCTCGCGTTCCGTCGCAGCGTCTGCGTCGGACGCACTTTCACGGCTATTTTGCGCTTTATGTATCCCATGCCTGCAATTAAAAAAAAACTATTTTTATTTTAATTTTCCAGTTTTTTTTTTTTTCAAAAGAAATACTTAGCTGAATGTCAGAAAATTGCTGCGATATTTCGTGTAAGTCTTTCGCCGCGTCCGCTTTAATTTTATGCTCTCTTTCTTTTTTTTTCTAACATTGACATTCTCATACAGATAGTTCTATTGTTTTATCTGTAACTCTGATGTTTTCACACACCCACAATAGTCGCGGGAGTGTACCAGTATCATTGGTGATAAAAAGATACTGGTATTGTTTTTTCTGTGACTCTGACGTTTTCACAAACGCACGTGTTATGCCGGCTGAGTCATTGCTCCATAGATACAACAGGCGTCACCGGCCATAACAACATCAAGTCATTAACTAAATATCCTTGTTAAACTGCTTTTATAGTCCATACAAAGTTTTGTAAATTGATTACAAATTATGAATCTCACGCGGGTACAGAGTTGAATTATTAGAATGCTCTACATTTCTCGTGTGTGAATTATTACTATCTAAATTATATTATTATTTTTTACAAAAAGACACTTTATGATATCTTATACAGTAAAATATCTTACCTAAATACTCAAGATAGGCTTCAAAGTTGTCTTCGCTGATCATCACATAACTTTTTCCCATGTAATCTTCCATCGTTGTCATTGTTTCGTTCGTTCGACTTTAACGACAGTCGTTGACTGGACAGTATTGATACAATGTTATCAGTAGATAATGACTTATCAGTTTAGTTTCGATTCACGAATCATAGTAAATGTTAATCAGCAAGAGGGATAACTTCCTATATTCTTTGTAGGTATGCGTATTTGTTAGATCGATTGATGTTACAAGCGTAACAAAGATGCGTGCCTTTGATATGATTTTCTATAATATGATAAAGCAGCTATCTACAGGGTGTGGCGTTAATAGTGGTCCAAAGCATAGGAGTCGATACACTGTACACTGCGGTACCACATACCAGTATTGAAAAAAAAGAATTGTCAAGACTGGTAAAAAAAATGGTACCTTGCGTTACTGGTTATAATTTCCAAAGATATGATTTTCTATAATATAATAAAGCAGCTATCTATGTGTATGTATTTCTAATAAGTTTTTTCTATAACCTAAAACTTACAAGAACGAATGACCTCACGAATGAATGGGTGTAATAAAGACTACACACGGAACGTAGTACGTTTCACTATTTTGTAGTGTTTGGTGTATGAGTGAAAGACTATATTGTGAAGCGACTTGAGTTTATTCAGTATTATGAAATACATTACATTCAGTACAACCAATGTAAGACGATGANAGAAGGGCTCGGCTTCCATGTTAAGTGAAAGTCGATATGGGGATTGGGCTCGCCAAATTTGATTATTCAAACGCTCGTTTAATAGTGCCTAATTGGCAAAGAGCGGACGCAACAGAATTTAACTCATCTCTAATCATATATTCAAACCTTCCCTCGAGCTTTAAGCATATTTAATTTTAATCTGATTATTCTAAATCGACTCGTACAAGGTTTGAAACTCGTCACATTCACCCCACTTTAATTTATTTAGAGAGGAATCATCATTACTATTTCATACTCTACCTATCATCCTTAAACGAGTATCTGTTACTATTCCTAATTAGTGTGTATTATAAATCTTGCCCGTTCATCATAGCTGCCCCAAGGACCTCAGCTGTTAGCCCTTAACATTCATTTCGTCTCATGAAATTAACATAGAAGGCACGGTAAACATTAATGTCCTCTATCGACCGATATAGATTAAGCCCCGGATGTCGGAAGGCAATAGCTTAGCAGGAATACTGGATCTGAGCTCTCAGTCAAATAGATCCCAATAAGGAAAGGAAGGAAGGGCATAAAGATAGAAGTGACTCATTTCACAAATTACACTTAAATTCTAGCAATTTTCTAATATTGCCGTTTATACTCGAGTATATAATTCTAGTAGATAATTGGATAATAAGTAGATTGGTTTACTATTCCCTTTAATCAAAAAAGTATTTTTTTTTCAAATCCTACTACTTTGTAAACTTGAAATGGTAACAGAAAAACTCAACTTAAAGTATACTTGATATATTAAAAATATAGAAACAAAAATAATTATAAAATAATTCAATTAATACAACGTTCATGCTTTATGGTCTGGTCAAACAATTAAAATTATATTTATCAATAATACCTACAAATAACTTAAAGATACATAAACTATTTAACTAACTTATAAATTCGTGTTGCTACTATATCCCATCCCTCCACAGTGGTTGTCTGAAATCAAATAATTTAAAATGTATTAGCCTCGCAAAAAAAGCCCAAGTTGAATGAGGTATTAGTTTTCTTTGTAGACAAAATTTTAACTTGTTTGTGCTCTCTTACTAGCTTCATTGGAGGTACTTAATATAGGTTTTTATCATACAGTATATTGAATTTCAAATATTAAATAATAAATCATTCCAAAATTAGATAAGATAGTATAAATTACTGATGATACAATGAATGAACTAATGAGTCATTTGTTTAGATATTAAAAAACCCTGATGTGTCATAAATACGTCATACGTAATTATTTAGCACTTTTTTGCCGCTGAAAATTACATTTAAGATTGGACCACAGGTTGGACGATGAAAGTTATGTTTGTTCCAGTTTTAAGAAAATGCCATTATATTCTATTTATGACCTTTCACATTTACTGATAAAAATGTATAGGAAAACTAGTGATAATGGATATTGCATCCTCGACAGAGAAATGATAGAGCTTAAACAGATCATCNCATAATTCAATAAATTAATCAATTATACAAATTTTAAATTAAATTAAATTTCGACTATCTATTACTATTCCTAATATTGCCCTTTCATCATAGTCGCCCCAAGGACCTCAGCTGTTAGCCCTTAATAACCTTTAACATTCATTTCGTCTCATGAAATGAATATAGAAGGCACGGTTGACATTATGTCCTCTACCGACCGATATAGATTAAGCCCCGGATGTTGGAAGGCAATTGCTTAGCAGGAATACTGGGTCTGAGCGCTCAGTCAAATAGATCCCAATAAGGAAAGGAAAGAAAGAGCTTAAAGATAGAAGTGACGCATCCCACATATTACACTTAAATTCTAGCAAATTTTCTAATATTGCCGTTTATACTCTAGTTTGTAATTTTGGTAGATTGGTTTACGATTCCCTTTAATCAAAAAAGTATTTTTTTTTTTCAAATCCTACTACTCTTGTAAACTTGAAATGGTAACAGAAAAACTCAACTTAAAGTATACTTGATATATTAAAAATATACAAACATAAATAATTATAAAATAATTCAATTAATACAACGTTCATGCTTTATGGTCTGATCACACAATTAAAATTACGAGTATATTCTGCCACAATAGATCAAACCTGGTCGAGCTGGCGCAAATGAAGGCCCCAAAAACCAATAATAAAATTATATTTACCTACAAATAACTTAAAGATACATAAACTATTTAACTAACTTATAAATTCGTGTTGCTACTATATCCCATCCCTCCACAGTGGTTGTCTGAAATTAAACAATTTAATTTTTATTAGCCTCGCAAGAAAAGCCCAAGTTGAATTAGGTATTATTTTTCATTGTAGACAAAAAATAAACTTGTTTGTGCTCTCTTACTAGCTTCATTGGAGGTACTTAATATAGGTTTTTATCATACAGTATATTGAATTTCAAATAGTAAATAATAAATCATTCCAAAATTAGATAAGATAGTATAAATTACTGATGATACAATGAATGAACTAATGAGTCATTTGTTTAGATATTAAAAAACCCTGATGTGTCATAAATACGTCATACGTAATTATTTAGCACTTTTTTAATGCCTCTGAAAATTTCATTTTAGATTGGACCACAGGTTGGACGATGAAAGTTATGTTTGTTCCAGTTTTAAGAAAATGCCATTATTTTCTATTTACGACATTTCATATTTAATTTTACTTGTGATTTTAGGAAAACTAGTAATAATTATCGTGCGTTTGATACTTAGTTAAAACGCCTCGACAGAGAAATGATAGAGCATAAACAGATCAACACAACTACTCCTACTCACTCTGAAAATAATAGGGTAGTTTATAAATTTAGCATAATTTTTATGAAAAAATATTTCTTATGTCAAAAAGAAACCTCTACCATAGATTTTGAATGGCAAAAAAAATTATGACGCCACTAATTAGTGAAGTAGGCTGACTTTTTATTGATTTCAAAACTACTAAAAATCGAATTAGAAGTGATTTCTTAAAAAAGTTCTGTCTCAGAATTACCCAATTATTTTATAGCGGACCAATATCATTAAATAGGGTAAAAATATGCAATTCTAGATACTAACCACGATCGTCACCTCGGGTCCGAATTCGAGCTTATGTGTGGACACTCTGCCCTCGTTGTCAGACTGTTTGTGTGTCATCACATTGCCCTCAAATGTTATTAGTCCTTTGAGCTGTAAGGCGAATAAAGGGTTAAGAATTTACATTTAAATACCTTCTAAGCGTTAACAGTCCTGTACAGTCTTCAACCTAAACACTTTGGCATCTTAATAAAGTAGCAATAGGTAGTAGCAATGTATGGAACTTTCTCTAGAAGGACAAATCGTGGATAGAGTCAGATTTCATTATTAATTTTGCCGTTAGGAACTTGGCCAGCCTCCCTAGACAAAATATTATTTTTGACAGTTTTAATTTCGAAATAGATTCGCTTCATAATTATTGTATTCAAGTTATTGCAACACTCTATAATGAAAATATGAATATACCTGGATATCGTCAGGCGAGGTGGCATCGAACTCCACACCGGGCGTGAACATGATCTCCCAGTGAAATAAGGCCCCGTGCACACTGAACGTGTAGGTCCCGCTCGCGTTCCGTCGCAGCGTCTGCGTCGGACGCACTTTCACGGCTATTTTGCGCTTTATGTATCCCATGCCTATAATTAAAAAAAACTTTAGATACTAATTTATTTTTAATCTTCCAGTTTTTTGTCAAAAGAAATACTTAGCTGAATGTCAGATATTTGCGATATTTCGTGTAAGTCTTTCGCTGCATGCGCTTTAATTTTATGCTCTCTTTCTTTTTTTTTCTAACATTGACATTCCGATACAGATAGTTCTATTGTTTTATCCGTGACTCTGACGTTTTCACACACCCACAATAGTCGCGGGAGAGTACCTGTATCATTGGTGATAAAAAGATACTGGTATGTATTGTATTTTCTGTGGCTCTGACATTATCACAAACGCACATGTTGTACCGGCTGAGTCATTGCTCTTTACATACAACAGGCGTCACCAGCCATAACAACATCAAGACATTAACTAAATATCCTTGTTAAACTGCTTTTATAGTCCATACAAAGTTTTGTAAATTGATTAGAAATTATGAATCTCACGCGGGTACAGTGTTGAATTATTAGAATGCTCTACATTTCTCGTGTGTGAATTATTACTTTCTAAATTATATTATTAATTTTTACAAAAAGACACTTTATGATATCTTATACAGTAAATTATCTTACCTAAATACTCAAGATAGGCTTCAAAGTTGTCTTCGCTGATCATCACATAACTTTTTCCCAAATAATCGTCCATCGTTGTCATTGTTTCGTTCGTTCGACTTTAACGACAGTCGTTGACTGGACAATATTGATACAATGTTATCAGTAGATAATGCTTACCTATCAGTTTAGTTGCGATTCACGAATCATAGTAAAATGTTAATCAGCAAGAGGCATAACTTCCTATATTCTTTGTATGCGTATTTGTTAAATCGATTGACGCCCGTATTCACAAACGATGCTTGCTTAAGTAAAGCAACAAATCGAATGCACAGTGTTGTATAGAGCTCTGTGATTGGTTCGTATGTGTCACCCTGTGCGGTCCACGCGCACTGTGAGACCTCATAGTAATGTTTGTGAATACGGGTGTGATTGTTACAAGCGTTACAGAGATGCATGTAAGCGTATGAAATTTGTATGCGATAAACCTCTATTTTATATAGTTTTTAAGCAGTTTTTTCTATAACCTAAAACTTACAAGAACGAATGACCTCACGAATGAATGGGTGTAATAAAGACTACACACGGAACGTAGTACGTTTCACTATTTATAGCGCCAAGGTCATCAGCTCGTAAACATGTTAATTGAATGTTAGATAAGTAGGTAAACATTTATTTTTGTTTTACAATTTTTATTAAAAAAAATATCGAATTACATTAATTGCGTTACAGTTACTAACGTGGAACAATAAACTAAAGTTCGAAGAAAACGTTTTACGAACGTAGACTTACGTCAGTATAATAATCGTATTATCAACAAAAAATGTGCAATATACATACTTGTTTACATCAATGATATTTTTAACCTTTTTGATAATAAACATTGAACTTAAATTGTCACTGTCATCTTCTTTAATAATTATAAATATGTTTAGATATCACATTAATAAAATAAATTAAGTATACATATTTACATCTTACAAACAATGTTCAAATATCGACCAGTCTTATAAATCAAGAAGTACAATTAACTATTAATAATAAGACTACTCGACTAGTTTGTAAACCCGTTTTACAACAGTGTCCATTCCCTCCATGGTTGTCGTCTGAAAATAAATAATTGAAAAGTGATAACGTGTACGTACAGCACACCAATCTACTCGTAAATATTATTATCTTAAATAATTGAAATAGATGCTATTATGCACAAAAAATGTATTGCTCGGACTCTTTTCTATAGACTCTACATACGCCAATTAAGGGGTTCTAAGTCTCAGCTGTACTCTTATATGCGTGAAAATGTAGAGTTTTGTAACTGTTAGCTAAGATATTAAAAAATAACAATTACCACGAGCGTCTCCTCTGGACCAAACACTAGTTTGTGTGTCGACACGCCACCCTTGTCTCTCTGTACGTGATTCATCACGTTCCCTTCAAATGTTATCACTCCAGTGACCTGTGAANTTTACATATCACATTAATAAAATTAATTTAGTATATTTACATCTTACAACAATGTTTTAATGGCCAGTCTTATAAATCAAGAAGTACAATTAACTATTAATAATAAGACTACTCGACTAGTTTGTAAACCCGTTTTACAACAGTGTCCAATCCCTCCATGGTTGTCGTCTGAAACCAAACAATTGAAACGTGAAAAGGTGTACAGCACACCAATGGTGTGACGGACACTTTTCTATGGACTCTACATACTCCTTAGGCCCAGAACAGACGGTGAAACGCAACTGCAACGAAACTGCAACTTTCTGATGATTCTGATGAATGAAACTGAAACTGAAAGTTTCAAACTGGTCGCGTCATGTGTGGTCTCTCAACGGACGCTATGGCAGGAACTTAGATGCAATTCAAAAGTAACTAGCAGTTGCAGTTTCGTTGCAGTTGCGTTTCACCGTCTGTTCTGGGCCTTACTCTACATTACTCATTCATAACCCCTTAGTTTCTAAGTTTCAGCTGTACTCGTATATGCGTGAAAATGTAGAGTTTTGTAACTGTTAGCTAAGATATACAAAATAACAATTACCACGAGCGTCTCCTCTGGACCAAACACTAGTTTGTGTGTCGACACGCCACCCTTGTCTCTCTGTACGTGATTCATCACGTTCCCTTCAAATGTTATCACTCCGGTGACCTGTGAAATAAAAAATAATAATAAAAACTCATTCCCCTCATAAACTAACATTTATTCATCGTGAAAAAGATTATAGGCTGTCAATAGATTCCTTCAATCTATGAAGCATGGGCATCAGTCTGCCTATTTGCCCATGTGGTGAACTCTCCTAACACAAGCATTATTTTAGCTTATTTGGAGAGATCAAGGGGAGGAGTGTTAGTATTACTTACTGAGTGATGGTATAAGGATCTGAAACGTGGTCGCTTACTATGGGCCTCATAAGAAGGCTCAAGATCACCCAAAGAGCGATGGAGCGGGCTATGCTCGGAATTTCCCTGCGTGATCGAATCAGAAATGAGGATCTCCGCAAGAGAACCAAAGTGACCGACATATCTCGCAGAATTGCTAAAATCAAGTGGCACATAGCTCGTAGAGACTAATTTGGTAATCTATTATTAATAAATAAAAAAGGTTGTATTTGAGCTTTCTCTTAATAACAATCTCACTCGGGAAGTGCAGATGCGATCTATGATGAAGCGAGCTTGTACAGAAAATGCCTTATACAAATGAAAGGGCTTTGGTACCTTTTCACCGCCAGGCGAGTCAGCTTCGTATTCCACGCCGGGTGTGAACTCCACCTCCCAGTGGAATAAGGCCGCGTGCACAGTGAACGTGTAAGTCCCGCTCTCGTTGCGCCGCAGCGTCTGCGTCGGCCGCACGTTCACGGCTATCTTGCGCTTGAAGTAATTCAAGCCTAGAAAGATGACAAGGGATATTGAAAAAATATATTAGGTAAAACATAATAAAGCCTACACATATAAATATGTAATACTCTAGCAAGAACGATTCAGTATTATTCAATAATGTTTCTGTTTAATCAATAATTCAGTTTACGTCTACTTATTAAAACAAAAAGATAACATTTTTACATATTATCATTGTAGTGTATTAGTATTTAGTACCTACTACTTATTTCTATTGTTTATTTTTAGGCAACAACTATAATCGACATTATTTTATTATGATCCAAACCATCAAATATTCTTGCATCAATAAAAACTTGCTCTAGCAGTGTTCAAGAAAGTAGAACTACNTAGAAAGATGACAAGGGATATTGAAAAAATATATTAGGTAAAACATAATAAAGCCTACACATATAAATATGTAATACTCTAGCAAGAACGATTCAGTATTATTCAATAATGTTTCTGTTTAATCAATAATTCAGTTTACGTCTACTTATTAAAACAAAAAGATAACATTTTTACATATTATCATTGTAGTGTATTAGTATTTAGTACCTACTACTTATTTCTATTGTTTATTTTTAGGCAACAACTATAATCGACATTATTTTATTATGATCCAAACCATCAAATATTCTTGCATCAATAAAAACTTGCTCTAGCAGTGTTCAAGAAAGTAGAGCTACGTAAATGGTCAGCAATCAGCATCCTGATGGCTTTGGTCAGCTTGACGTGAACTGATGATTATTATTGGAAAATTAACTCTAATCATTTAACCACTGAGGTCATTGTTATAAAACTAAGTTTCGCTCACCTTTGTACTCGAGGTAGGCCTCGAAGTTCTCCTCGCTGACCATCACGTAGCTTTTTCCCAAATATTCTTCCATTGTATTGTTTCGATCGACTTCGACGACACTCGTAGACTGTTGATCTGTAATCGTGCGTTATGTTATCAGTCCGTAACAAATTCTTATCACTGACACATCGTGAAATCTTATGTTTAAATATAAAAAAAGTGATTTCTATCGAAGTTAAAATTAATTTAATGACAACATGCAACTTTTTGATAAGATAAAACCCCAATCAGGTTTATTTGTTTGATGTATTTATAGAGACGTTAACTTTAATCCAGATTTTTGCTAATCCCGAATCATCGAAAAGTCACGCTTGTTATGAATAGCAAAGTAAGAACTCTCAAACACTTACCGGAACGACCGAGTCCGATTGAATGATGCAATCAAATCTAACGTTTTAGTAGCGTCGTGACAATACGTAAAGTACGTTACCCTAACGGCAAGGCCAAGCGACAATGTTAATTAGCACTAATTTATACATTATTTTGATTTGATTGGAGCATTCATGACTTGACAGTTTTTTTAGGCGCTGAGGTCAATTTTTATATGATGAATATTTATTTATTTTACGTGATACAACTTATTAGTGTCGATCTTATAAATATAATAAAGAGGAAAGATTTGATTGTCTGTTGTATTGTACATATAGGCTCCGAAACTACTGGACCAATTTGTATGGTATAAGTTAGTATGGTATAAGTTAATAAATCTAAGAATTCACTTTTACTATACGAGTAGGATCAACTTCAAAAGACACTTGTCAGTCGACGACTCGACGTCATACAGATATTGAATAGGGATCTTTTAAAACTTACTCGTATTTTCACATTGAACTGGATACAAAAGATGAACTTAATGATTATGTCGTTCTCTTCCAGGTGAGAAGAGTATATACGACAAACCGGTTAACTGTGGCGACAATAGTTGCAGCAAGCGCCAGGAGCCGCTCCAAGACAGCTTTGAAGGTAAATCATCATCATAGCCGAAGAACAGCGTTGCCAGTTTTTTTTTCGCCAAGTCGGGACTTTGGTACTTTTTGAGTGAAAATAGCGGGATTCTTCCGTCAAAAGCGGGACATAGTAAAAAAACGTATATAATCAAAGGTTTTCAAATATGTATCTTTTTATTGACTTAAAATTACGTTTACGTGACAATAGATAGCAAAAGTGGCCATAGAAAATGTATTTTAACAAAAAAATTATATTTTAAATCAGATTAAGGGCTGATTTTTCAATCGTTGGATAACTTTTAACTAAAGAATAAGTTTGACACATTGACAGATTTAGTATGAGAAATATGTCAAAATGACAAGATTATTCTTCAGTTAAAATTTATCTGACGATTGAAAAATCAGCCCTTACTCTATAGTTAAATTCGTCTTTAGAATAAAAAATTAAAAAAGTTTTATTCTTTATAATAATATGGCGTTTCAAACAATAGTCTGGTGAAGTGAGTGTCTCTCTCCGAAAAGCGGGACAGAGCCTGTCCCGCGCGGGACATTTAAATTTGATTTAAAAATCGGGACGTCCCGCCAAAATCGGGACGTCTGGCAACGCTGCCTAAGAAGGTGAAGGTGTCTGACAGGCTGACTCGTAAGCCGAGGAACGCAGGTTCGATCCCCTTGACTTGTGAGCCCACAAGCATATTTATTTAGATTACCACCAGGGATTAACGGTATTATTACTCTAAAAGAGAATTTGGCCTACACTCCTAAATCTGAAGTTAAAAAGTTTGTATAAATTCTACTACCTACGTCTTTGAAAAGTAGAGGCAGGACTCTACCTAGGTCCTCAGTTATTATGCTCCCTAATTATTATTAACAATGGGTCTACTTCACATCATGATTTGCATAAACTCTTGCTTTTGCAAAATCCAGGGGTGATAGAAAGAGACGAATAGATATAAACGGACATTATCCTACAGAGTGAAGGCCATCAGTATTGTTATTATTTTTTCTTTTGAATCAGACAGTGACTGAGTTGGTTGCGGTGTTTTTTCTCACCATTGGCCAAATGTTGGTCTCAAAGCGCTAGTAGGACAAAAAAATTATGAGACATGTAAGGGCTTCGCGAAGAGCAAAACTTTAAGTTTTTTTTATATGCCTTGCAATAAATACCTATGATTTGAAACGGGTTCTGGCAAAAAAAACTTCCGTCGGATATACAACTGAAAATAAAGTTATTTTGTCAGTTTTTGCTGACGGTACAGGCTCGCTGATCCAAGATGGCGGGAGCATGACAATGACGCCATTACGGGGATTGCGTTGCGCCTTGCGACGCGCCTAATGAAAGTATTGAGCCCATTCGAGACCGCTTCAGCGTGAAAAGGGGGTAGCGGGCACCAGCGCATTATACACTATACACACTCCGTTGTATATGTCTCTCTCTTAGCCCTTAATAAAAGTTTGGGTTTATTTAGGGTACTACTTTCGCGCCGCAACTTTATTTCTTAATATTTTTTCACACCCGCGCATAAGTAGTGATTTTATCTTCGTTATATTCTTTGCGACCAAACGGAGCATGTCTTTCTCTGAGATCTCACTATCTCCGTAACCTATTTATTATTTGTCGTTTAAGCAACTACTACTACTCTTCTAACTCGTTCCTTATTACTTTTCTTTTCTTCTGATTTATTTCGTTATAAGATAGTTCAATTTCTACTCTTCTTCAAAAAAGGCGACAAAACCTTGTTGAAGAATTATAGACCCATCTCACTTCTGAGCCATGTCTACAAGCTGTTTTCGAGAGTCATCGAGAATCGTCTCATTCATGAATTTCGTTTTGAAGAACAGGCTAAGGTCATAGATCATACTATTCATACTGCTTCGTTTCATCTTTTTCGAGTAGAGTTTTTCAATGCATAAATTTATTCATCAAATTTTGTTATGATTAAGACATTTTTTATGATAAAGGTACAAACGCAACGATAAGAACGGATTTTTTATTTTTAAATAGCTTAATTTTAACACTATCAGGAACTATGCTATATGGTTCCTTCAAGACTAACCTGATTTCCACTAAGCAAACAATCTTTGGTTCTGTTTAGTTATAAAAATTTTGTAACAATTTTTGCTAAATGGAACCAACCAACATTGGTTCTAGTTTGCATAATTAGTTTAAATAAGTGCTTAGGGACCATGCTGTATAGTGCTTTATAGTTTTTAAAAGTTGGCCAAAGCGGGTTGGTTCCGCAAGTGACAGTGCTGTATCTCTGTTGGAGGCTTCCGGCGACTGGGACCGCAATTAACTGGGACCGCGGTCCCAGTCGCCGGATCCGTAAAAAATAAATAATTTTCTTCCGGCAACTGGGACCACTCATAGATAACTTAGAAAAATATATTATTCAGGCCAAAATCGGTACAGTCATACGAAAAAAAATACTAAATTATTTATATGAATATCATTGACTCGTTCAAGACATGATTTTATACTATGCGCTTAGTAATAAGTAGATTAAGCTAACACAAAGGGAATTATAATTATGATTGTATATATTTATTTTTTTTTTTTTATCCACAACCGGGAAGCTCTTGGCCTGTATCTCACCTGATGGTAAGTGATGATCAGGCCGAAGGTGGAAGCGAGCTTCACCCGGAATCCTCAACCACCGAGGAACTGGCTATCTTACCTCTAACTGCCGGAACACAATAATGCTGTTAACATTGTTGTTATGGCGACAGACTTAGGTAAGATGGTGGTAGCTAGCCAGGCGGACTTAGAACAAGCCCTACCACCAACCAAANGAGTCTTCAAACTAAACACTTTGGCATCTTAATAAAGTAGCAATAGGTATTAGCAATGTATGGAACTTTCTCTAGAAGGACAAATCGTGGATAGAGTCAGATTTCATTGTTAATTTTGCCGTTAGGAACTTGGCCAGCCTCCCTAGACAAAATATTATTTTTGACAGTTTTAATTTCGAAATAACTTCGCTTCGTAATTATTGTATTCAAGTTATTGCAACACTCTATAATGAAAATATGAATATACCTGGATATCGTCAGGCGAGGTGGCATCGAACTCCACACCGGGCGTGAACATGATCTCCCAGTGAAATAAGGCCCCGTGCACACTGAACGTGTAGGTCCCGCTCGCGTTCCGTCGCAGCGTCTGCGTCGGACGCACTTTCACGGCTATTTTGCGCTTTATGTATCCCATGCCTATAATTAAAAAAACTTTTTAATCTTCCAGTTTTTTGTCAAAAAAAATACTTAGCTGAATGTCAGATATTTGCGATATTTCGTGTAAGTCTTTCGCTGCATGCGCTTTAATTTTATGCTCTCTTTCTTTTTCTAACATTGACATTCCGATACAGATAGTTCTATTGTTTTATCTGTGACTCTGACATTTTCACACACCCACAATAGTCGCGGGAGAGTACCTGTATCATCTATATATATATAAAAGAAAGTCGTGTTAGTTACTCCACTTATAACTCAAGAACGGCTGAACCGATTTAGCTGAAAATTGTCAGGGAGGTAGTTTAGAGCCAGGAGAAGGACATAGGATACTTTTTATCCCGTTCGAAATTAAAAAAAAGTCTGTTTATTTATTGCCATTAAGGCGGAACAAAGTTCGCCGGGTCAGCTAGTTGGTGATAAAAAGATACTGGTATGTATTGTATTTTCTGTGGCTCTGACGTTATCACAAACGCACATGTTGTACCGGCTGAGTCATTGCTCTTTACATACAACAGGCGTCACCAGCCATAACAACATCAAGTCATTAACTAAATATCCTTGTTAAACTGCTTTTATAGTCCATACAAAGTTTTGTAAATTGATTAGAAATTATGAATCCCACGCGGGTACAGAGTTGAATTATTAGAATGCTCTACATTTCTCGTGTGTGAATGAATTATGACTTTCTAAATTATATTATTATTTTTTACAAAAAGACACTTTATGATATCTTACACTTTATGATATCTTATACAGTGAAATATCTTACCTAAATACTCAAGATAGGCTTCAAAGTTGTCTTCGCTGATCATCACATAACTTTTTCCCAAGTAATCGTCCATCGTTGTCATTGTTTCGTTCGTTCGACTTTAACGACAGTTGTTGACTGGACAGTATTGATACAATGTTATCAGTAGATAATGACTTATCAGTTTAGTTGCGATTCACGAATCATAGTAAATGTTAATCAGCAAGAGGGATAACTTCCTATATTCTTTGTATGCGTATTTGTTAGATCGATTGATTGTTACAGGCGTTACAGAGATGCGTGCATGCCTTTGATATGATTTTCTATATGATAAAACAGCTATCTATACATGTATTTCTAATAAGTTTTTTTTATAACCTAAAACTTACAAGAACGAATGACCTCACGAATGAATGGGCGTAATAAAGACTACACACGGAACGTAGTACGTTTCACTATTTATAGCGCCAAGGTCATCAGCTCGTAAACATGTTAATTGAATGTTAGATAAGTAAGTAAACACTTTTTTTTGTTTTGCAATTTTTATTTAAAAAAAACAACAATGGCTTAGTAACGTGGAATAATAAACTAAAGAGAGACAACGGTCTACGAACATAGAACGTACGTCAGTATAATCATAATATTATTTTATTATCAACAAAAAAGTGCAACTAAAGTTACATCAATGGTGTTTTAAGTTTTAACCTTAATGGACTTAAATTGTCACTGTCATCTTCTTTAATCATTATAATTTATTGTTTACATATCACATTAATAAAATTAATTGAGTATATTTACATCTTACAACAATGTCCAAATGGCCAGTCTTATAAATAAAAAAGTAACAATTAACTATTAATAATAAGGCTACTCGACTAGTTTGTAAACCCGTTTTACTACAGTGTCCAATCCCTCCATGGTTGTCGTCTGAAACCAAACAATTGAAACGTGATAAGGTGTACAGCACACCAATCTGCTCGTAAATATTATTATCTTATCTTATGTAAGTAATTAAAATAAATGCTATTATGCACAAAAAAATGTATTGCTGGTGTGACGGACTCTTTTCTATGGATTCTCCATACTCCAATTAAGGGGTTCTAAGTTTCAGCTGTACTCATATGCGTGAAAATGAAGAGATTTGTTACTAAGAGATTAAAAATATCAATTACCACGAGCGTCTCCTCTGGACCAAACACTAGTTTGTGTGTGGTCACGCCACCCTTGTCTCTCTGTACGTGATTCATCACGTTCCCTTCAAATGTTATCACTCCGGTGACCTGTGAAATAAAAAATAATAATAACAACTCATTTCCCTCATAAACTGTCGCTGTCCATAGATTCCTTCAATCTATGAAGCATGGGCATCAGCCTGCCTGTTTTGCCCATGCCCTCTCCTAACACAAGCATTATTTTAGCTTAGTTGGAGGGATCCAGGGCAGTCTTAGTATTACTTACTAATTTGGTAATCTATTAGTAATAAATAAAAAAATAGTATTTGAGCTTTCTCCTATAACAATCTCACCTGGAGGAGCAGATCTGATCTATGATGAAGCAAGCTGGTCCAGAAAATGCCTTGTACAAACGAAAGGGCTGCAGCTGTGCCAAATATTTTGACTAATAGTTAGGGCTTAATTGTAGAGTTATAGAAGGTTGGCCCCACGTGAGATCTGATAACTTCTTCACAGTGCGAGCCATTATGGTTTCGTGTTGGCAACATTTTACATGAACATTTTTTGGTGGGAAAAATACCTTTTCACCGTCTGGCGAGTCAGCTTCGTATTCCACGCCGGGTGTGAACTCCACCTCCCAGTGGAATAAGGCCGCGTGCACAGTGAACGTGTAGGTCCCGCTCTCGTTGCGCCGCAGCGTCTGCGTCGGCCGCACGTTCACGGCTATCTTGCGCTTGAAGTAATTCAAGCCTAGAAAGATGACAAGGGAAAAAAATAAATTAGGTAAAACATAATAAAGAATAAAGCCTACACATATAAATATGTAATACTCTAGCAAGAACGATTCAGTATTATTCAATAATGTTTCTGTTTAATCAATAATTCAGTTTACGTCTACTTATTAAAACAAAAAGATAACATTTTTACATATTATCATTGTAGTGTATTAATATTTAGTACCTACTACTTATTTCTATTGTTTATTTTTAGGCAACAACTATAATCGACATTATTTTATTATAATCCAAACCATCAAATATTCTTGCATCAATAAAAACTTGCTCTAGCAGTGTTCAAGAAAGTAGAACTACGTATTTACGTGACCATTTGGTCAGCATCCTGAATTCCTGATGGCTTTGGTCAGCTTGACGTGAACTGATGATGATTATTGGAAAATTAACTCTAATCATTTAACCACTGAGGTCATAGTTATAAAACTAAGTTTCGCTTACCTTTGTACTCGAGGTAGGCCTCGAAGTTCTCCTCACTGACCATCACGTAGCTTTTTCCCAAATATTCTTCCATTTTGTTTCGATCGACTTCAACGACACTCGTAGACTGTTGATCTGTAATCGTGCGTTATGTTATCAGTCCATAACAAATTCTTATCACTGACACATCGTGAAATCTTATGTTTAAATATAAAAAATGATTTCAATCAAAGTTAAAATTAATTGAATTGACAACATGCAACTTTTTGAAGTAAGATAAGATAAAACGTCTTCCTAGAAATATTACTTGGTTTGTTTGATGTTCATTGATAGACAAATTTTAATCTAGATTCTATAGGCTTATCCCTAATTTAAACGTTGCGCTATTATAAGAACTTCCAGAATATCATTTTAAATCATATTAATGCTAATCCCTTATTTAAAACTTGAATTGTAAATAAGAACTCTTTAAACACTTACCGGAACGACCGAGTCCGACTGAATGATGCAATCAAATCTAACTTTTCTATTAGTATCGTCGTGACAATACGTAAAGTACGTTACCCTAACGGCAAGGCCAAGCGACAATGTTAATTTACACTAATTTATACATTATTTTTATTTGATTGGAGCATCCATGACTTGACAGTTTTTAGGCGCTGAGGTTTTTTATGTGATGATGGATATTTATTTTAAGCGATATTAGTGTCGATCTAATAAATATTATAATGAGGAAAGATTTGATTTGTTGTATTGATTAAGCTCCGAAACTACTGGACCAATTTGTATGGTAGGTAGGTATAAGTTAATAGTAAGTTCAATCGGTTTTTTGAATCGGTAATAATTCACTTTTACTATACGAGTAGGATCAACTTCAAAAGACACGTATCAGTCGACGTCATACAGATATTGAATAGGGATATTTTAAAACTTACTCGTATTTTCACATTGAACTGGATACAAAAGACGAACTTAATGCAATATGTCATTCTCTTCCAGGTGAGAAGAGTATATACGACAAACCGGTTAACTGTGGCGACAATAGCTGCAGCAAGCGCCAGGAGCCGCTTCAAGACAGCTTTGAAGGTAAATCATCATCATAGCCGAAGAAGGTGAAGGTGTCTGACAGGCAGGTTCGATCCCCTCCGCAGCTCGACTTGTGAGCCCACAAGTATATTTAGATTACCACCAGGAATTAGCGGTATTATTACTCTAAAAGAGAATTTGGCATACACTCCTAAATCTGAAGTTAAAAAATTTGTATAAATTCTACTACCTACGTCTTAAAAGCTTTGAAAAGTAGAGTCAGGACTCTACCTAGGTCCTAAGTTATAGTTGCTCCCTAATTATTATTAACAATGGGTCTACTTCACATCATGATTTGCATAAACTCTTGCTTTTGCAAAATCAAGGGGTGATAGAAAGAGATGAATGAATGAGATACAAATGGACATTATCCTACAGAATGAAGGCCATCAGTATTGTTATTATTTTTTCTTTTGAATCAGACAGTAGTGACTGAGTTGGTTGCGGTGTTTTTTCTCAGCATTTGCCAAATGTTGGTCTCAAAGCGCTGGTAGGGCAAAAAGATTATGAGGCATGTAAAGGCTTCGCTGAGAGCAAAACTATAAGTTTTTTTTATCTGTCTTGCAATAAATACCTGTGATTTAAAACGGGTTCTGGCAAAAAACTTCAGTCGGATATACAACTGAAAATAAAGTTATTTTGTCAGTTTTTGCTGACGGTACAGGCTCGCTGATCCAAGATGGCGGGAGCATGACAATGACGCCATTACGGGGATTGCGTTGCGCCTTGCGACGCGCCTAATGAAAGTATTGAGCCCATTCGAGACCGCTTCAGCGTGAAAAGGGGGTAGCGGGCACCAGCGCATTATACACTATACACACTCCGTTGTATATGTCTCTCTCTTAGCCCTTAATAAAAGTTTGGGTTTATTTAGGGTACTACTTTCGCGCCGCAACTTTATTTCTTAATAATTTTTCACACCCGCGCATAACGCCCGGTTCATATATGTCTCAGTTTTACTGTTCCGTTTTATCATGTACGTTTTTTTTTTCATCGATGGCATATGTATTTGTATGAGCGACTTCACACATAAGACAGTATTTTGTATACAGTAAAACATACAAGACAAAACGGAACATGTGTGAACCGGGTGTAAGTAGTGATTTTATCTTCGTTATATTCTTTGCGACCAAACGTAGCATGTCTTTCTCTGAGGTCTCATTATCTTTGTCGCTTATGCAACTACTACTACTCTTTAAACTCGTTCCTTATTACCCTTCTTTTCTTCTGATTTATTTCGTTATAAGATAGTTCAATTTCTTCAGGAATAATTTATAACTTTCACACTAGTTAAGCTGTGAATATGAAGATGTTGGCTACACTAATGTCTTTTTATTTTATTACATATTATATCAAAACATACACGTACATTCTAGGTTTAATGCCACAAAGTATATCTACAAGTATGTCGTGAGGTAAGGGACAGACCGCAGTTTGTGTGTAGCCCTAGGGCGGGACGTGGCTTATGTCGCGCGTCCCCCTCTCATTCCGCTCGCTGACTGTCTACCCACATAGTGTTTCTCCCTGCTGGGGAAAAATAAAATTACAGTGACATGTTAGTATGGTATAATAAGTATAATAACTTTTATTAAGAAATCAACCAAGGAATCCTAAACAAACTATCTAGGAAAGCACCTACATTAAATATCAAAGTTTTTGTCTCGTATTTTATATACCTAGAAATAATCAATTTAGATTGAGCTTCATATACCTAGATTGACTGTATAAAAAATTATTGTTCACTTCCCAAACTTAAGTTGGACTTCAATTCAAATCGGCGACTTTGCCTGAGTAAGAGTACCTGCTTCGGCAATACATACAGATATTATCTGTATGTATACTCGTAGTTTTGTAATCAGTATATCATCAATGTAAACACTTCGGCAGGTACTCCAGAGAAGGGCTTGGTCAGAATACAAAAAAGGCGGCGTGTCAACTCCACGGAGAGTTCGTCTGGGAGCTCCACAAAGGGTAGCCCGTACAAGCTGCCCTCCACTCCCCAGAAACCAGGGTTCATGGCAGACCCTCAAACGCCGGAGAGCGCCAAGTAAGCAATCTGATAGATTTTCTTGAATGAGCTTGGGAACTGCTTTGCTTGAACTTGACCTTTGATTGCATTGGGTTTTTTTTCATCTAACCTTATAAAGTACTTAGTTAATTTGAAAAGAATGTATGTAGGAAAAATGTTTACACCAAACTCCTACTAGAAAGCTAAAAAATACTTTTAATAGTAGTAAGTTTACCGCAATAGTCAATGTTCGACGGGGTTCGAACTTACGTTTCTCAGACCTCGAAGGACCTTATAGCTCTATTTATTTATAGTAGGAATAGATTTAGGTGTTTAGGTAGTTTTAAATGAGTTTCTGTTCTGTGAAAATTAACGTGATGATTGTAAATGACATTGGGAACTTTTTGCCCCACTTTTCGAAAAGTAGCGGACACAAACGAAACCTATCACAGATGATACATACTAATATCCAATGAATTTCCGTGCATTTTTTTTCTCTCTTATATGGGAATATTGAGTAAATGAAGTTTTAATATTTTATTTTATTTTACATTTAGGTAACATTTTTGACGACCTCCGTGGCAGAGAGGCGCACACACCGGTTTTCAAGGTGTGCCGGGCCAATCCTGAGGTCCCGGGTTTGATTCCCGGCCGGGACAATATAGAAAACGATCTTTTCACATTGTTTCTGGTTTGGGTGTGTTGTGGTTCGTTGTTCCCGATTTCCATAACACAAATGCCTTGTAGCTACTTATTTTGGGTTGGAGTAATATATGAGATGTTGTCTAATATTAATTTAAGTATTTATAATATTTTATTTATTTATATTTTTTATTTATTTATATTATTTTATTTCCTTTTATTGGTTACTCTGCAATGCCAAACAACATAACATGTAAAAATATCAAATCATTTTAGACAAATATATTTTCAACTTAGACTCGTTATATCTCAGAATTCCCATATCTCACAACATAGCGCTTTAAGTGAATATACCTACAAGTATAAAGCTTTGAAATAAAATACGTTTAATTTTTGTCCGCCGTGGGGCATTTTCTCATATTAAAGTTCCCAATGTCAAAAAATTAAGAATTATCTTGCAAATTGTGTGTATCATTTTCACGTTTCATTGTACAGGACCGAGCTGTCATCATTAACATAATCGTAAAAGTGTGCTTTGAGATTTCGCAGCAGCACAGAATAAGTAATAGTACAGGTACAGAAGGATTACTCCGCAAGACGATTTAAATAAATGCGAGTCTTGCTACGACGCGATACAGTGGAATTCAGCTCGCACAGCACTACGTACCTACAATTTTATTCACCTACAAGTTTTATCTCTTTCTATCGCGTGCCTCTGAACTCTTCTTACGCTGTTAGGGTTGCTGTCTAGTGAAAAAATAATTAATCTACCTATTTGTAATAAGGTACGTATGTAGGTAAGTACGCATTCATTATGGAAAGCCTTGGGAGAGGCCTTTGTCCAGTAGTGGACGTCANATTTTTTCACACCCGCGCATAAGTAGTGATTTTATCTTCGTTATATTCTTTGCGACCAAACGGAGCATGTCTTTCTCTGAGATCTCACTATCTCCGTAACCTATTTATTATTTGTCGTTTAAGCAACTACTACTACTCTTCTAACTCGTTCCTTATTACTTTTCTTTTCTTCTGATTTATTTCGTTATAAGATAGTTCAATTTCTTCAGGAATAATTTATAACTTTCACACTAGTTAAGCTGTGAATATGAAGATGTTGGCTACACTAATGCTCTTTTTATTTTGTTACATATTATATCAAAACATACACGTACATTCTAGGTTTAATGCCACAAAGTATAGCTACAAGTATGTCGTGAGGTAAGGGACAGACCGCAGTTTGTGTGTAGCCCTAGGGCGGGACGTGGCTTATGTCGCGCGTCCCCCTCTCATTCCGCTCGCTGACTGTCTACCCACATAGTGTTTCTCCCTGCTGGGGAAAAATAAAATTACAGTGACATGTTAGTATGGTATAATAAGTATAATAACTTCTATCAAGAAATCAACTTCGGAATCCTAAACAAACTACCTATCTAGGAAACCACCTACATTAAATATCAAACTTTTTGTTTCGTAAGTTAGGTAACTTAGAAATAATCAATTTAGATTGAGCTTCATATAGATTCACTGTTTAAAAAATGTTTGTCTCTTTCCAAACTTAAGTTGGATTTCAATTGTAAATGGACAGTTTTTCTCATTCGATATCGGCGACTTTGATTTGAAATTATGGTTATTTCTCCCTGGCACAGCAAAAAGACCATTATTAAGTCATCTTAAGAGTACCCGCTTCGGGAATACATACAGTTACAGGTATTAGTTTTGAAATCAGTATGAGTATATCATCAATGTAAACACTTCGACAGGTACTCCAGAGAAGGGCTTGGTCAGAATACAAAAAAGGCGGCGTGTCAACTCCACGGAGAGTTCGTCTGGAAGCTCCACAAAGGGTAGCCCGTACAAGCTGCCCTCCACTCCCCAGAAACCAGGGTTCATGGCAGACCCTCAAACGCCGGAGAGCGCCAAGTAAGCAATCTGATAGATTTTCTTGAATGAGCTTGGGAACTGCTTTGTTATGTGTGATTGCTTGAACTTGACCTTTGATTGCATTGGTTTTTTTTTTCATCTAACCTTATAAAGTACTTAGTTAATTTGAAAAGAATGTATGTAGGAAAAATGTTTACACCAAACTCCTACTAGAAAGCTAAAAAATACTTTTATTAGTAGTAAGTTCACCGCAATAGTCAATGTTCGACGGGGTTCGAACTTACGTTTCTCAGATCTCGAAGGACCTTAAAGCTCCATTTATTTATAGTAAAATCACTATTTATTTTTAGTAGGAATAGATTTAGGTGTTAAGGTATTTTTAAAGGAGTTTCTGTTCTGTGAAAATTAACGTGATGAATGTAAATGTAAAGAGAAATAAGAATTATCTTGCATATTGTGTGTATCATTTTCACGTTTCATTGTACAGGACCGAGCTGTCATCATTAACATAATCGTAAAAGTGTGCTTTGAGATTTCGCAGCTGTCACTAACTGGGATGCCTCGCTTTGCCCGCCACTTGCCTCAGGTTTGATTGCAAGATTGTACAGTCGACAGCAAATCAATCTACCGCACAGTGACGAACTTCCGCAATCGATTTTCAACTTTATAAAATCCAGTCGCCGAGCACTCGCATACTCGCACTTATATTGCTGTCGCGCTCGCATACTCACTGCGGCCGCCCGTGGCACAGTCGCGACAGCAATTTAATTACTCGCGAGCGATAAGGATTGCTTGGGGTCATTGGACTAAATTCTATCTGCGCGACGACCGGACTTTACCAGTTCATTCAAGCTTCAATCAATTCAAGAAGTTAGTCATTTTGAGGTAGACTCTGTTGTTGTAACTTGTTTAGTGTTTAAGGTAAATGAGACAGGTGACGGGTACAAGCTACGTGTTTCCAGATTCCTGATCAGGCTTTTGCATAACTGGGTCACGGACGATGTTAATTGCAGCGTACCCACCATATACTATGGCGCGAGGACCCATAAACAGCTGCAGCAGGTCATCAAGGAGTTCAAGCGAACCTCGTACCGCGGGGAGGCCAAGATGACGGTGCTCTCGAGTAGGGACTACAGCTGTATAAGGGACTTCGACAAGAACTTGTGGACATCTAAGAANGTCCGTTTCGAACCACTACACCAAACGGCCGACGAAATATAACATAATGGTTTTAAAGTTTGATAAGCCAGCTTTTACGAGTATATGTCGATTTAAAGACCTTACGAATCAAAAACAGTTTAATACACTCAATTGCTAGGAAGCCAGCTATAACATATTTTGAGTAGATTTGTGCTTAGTTTGGGAATATTTTCAGCCATTTATAAGTCGCTCGACTGTCGTTGATGACCTCAACTGTTGTTGAATTAAATGCAATTTACAAAACTTAACTTATTCGTCATAAACTGTAGGTACCCATTCCATTTTGTTCTTCATTCTATTCCAGCCCCACGCATCCGCTGACAGGCCAAAAGGCGAGAGCAACTGCAAATTCTACGACAACCGGACAGCATTGCACCACGGCTCGCTGCCGCCGGCTTTCGACCTTGAGGAGTTGGTAGAAGCTGGCAAAGAGAACGGCTCATGTCCCTACTTCGCTGCCAGGGCCANTAGGGCCATGGCCGCTAGCGCTCATATCGTCTTCTGCCCATACAACTACTTGATAGAACCTAGCATTAGGAGCAGTGTAAGTAGTGTTTGAGTGCCGTTCTCATCGCGTAATTTTTGTCAGAGAGTTACAAGGAGAACCGCTCGTGTCCATACCTGCTTCATTGCCGATCTGGTGAAGGTCCGGGAAGTACCTGTACAGAACTGGTTGTTGTGAAAATTTTCGGGAGGGCCTTTGTCTAACAGTTGAAGCGGGACATGTTTATCCGCTATCTTCTTCATCATTACCATCTTCAATTCAGCCACTGCTGAATAAAGGCCTCTTCCAATTATTTACAAATTGCCCGGTTCGTAGCAGCTTGCATCCAGGGACTTCCTACAACCTTTATAAAGTCATCTGTCCACCTTTTTGGAAGTATGTAAAAATTTGAAGATTTATTAATTAATTGTGATATTCCAGATGCAAATAAACCTGAAAGAGAATATCGTGGTGATAGACGAAGCTCACAACATTGAAGACATCTGCCGCGACGCCGCATCATTCAGCTTCACCAGAGAGCAGCTGCAAGCTGCCATCACCGTAAGTACAAGTATCATCATCATCATCATCACACCTGTGAGAACATCGTGGTGATCAACGAGGCACACAATATCGAAGACATCTGCCGCGACGCCGCATCATTCAGCTTCACCAGAGAGCAGCTACAGGCTGCCATCACCGTAAGTACAAGTATCATCATCATCATCATCATCAAACCTGAGAGAACATCTGGTGATCGACGAGGCGCACAACATCGAAGACATCTGCCGCGACGCCGCATCATTCAGCTTCACCAGGGAGCAGCTGCAGGCCGCCAGCATTGTAAGTACAAGCTGTATCATCATCATCATCATCATCANCCAGTAGGGACTACAGCTGTATAAGGGACTTCGATAAGAACTTGTGGACTTCTAAGAACGACATGTGCAGAGGCTGCATTAAGGTTGGTCATGATCGTGGATATTACCTTCCATCATAATGGACGTTAATTTAGTTTCGAATCCCACAAGAGTCAAATGTTAATTTGCTGAGCACTAGCATTTATGTTTACAAAAAAAACTATTATGCTTGCTTAGTTTAGGAGGAATACTTTCAGCCATTTATAATTCGCTCTATTGTTCTTGAATTAAATGAACAATTTGTAAAGCTGAACCTCTTCATCATAAACTGTAGGTATCCATTCCATTTTGTTCTTCATTCTATTCCAGCCCCACGCATCCGCTGACAGGCCAAAAGGCGAGAGCAACTGCAAATTCTACGACAACCGGACAGCATTGCACCACGGCTCCCTACCGCCAGCCTTCGACCTTGAGGAGTTGGTGGAAGCTGGAAAAGAGAACAGCTCCTGTCCCTACTTCGCTGCTAGGGCCATGGCCGCTAGTGCTCATATAGTCTTCTGCCCCTACAACTACTTGATAGAACCTAGCATCAGGAGCAGTGTAAGTAGTATTTGTGTGCGGCTCTCATCGTGTAATTTTTGTTAGAGAATTGCAAGGAGAACCGCTCGTTTCTATACCTACTTCATTGCCGATCTGGTGAAGGTCATGGGAAGCACTTGGATGCGGGCAGTGCAGAACTAGTTGTGAAAATTCTTGGGAAGGCTTTTGTTTAGCAGTTGAAGCGAGAGATGTTCATCCGCTATCTTCTTCATTATGTACCGTATTCATTTCAGTTACTGCTAAACAAAGGCCTCCTCTAATGATTTCCAAATCGCCCGATTCGTAGCGCATCCAGCGCCTTTCCTTTTAAAGTCATCTGTCCACCTTTTTAGAAGTATGGAATTAGAAGATCTATTTATTGATTGTGTGATATTCCAGATGCAAATAAACCTGAAAGAGAATATCGTGGTGATCGACGAAGCTCACAACATTGAAGACATTTGCCGCGACGCCGCATCATTCAGCTTCACCAGAGAACAGCTGCAAGCTGCCATCACCGTAAGTACATCATCATCATAGTTAATTCCAATCTCCAGTACAGGAGGAAGACCCTCTCTAATTTACTAAAAGCAAGTATATCAAAGTAATTTAGTATGAGTGGTCAGTTGTTGTACACAGCTTTTTATCCTATTTATAGATAACATTGAACGCAACTCTTTCAGGAATTAGAAAAAGCAGCGAGTTATCAATATTCTGGCCACAACATTATGGATCAATTGGAAAAAATTGTGAAGACATTGAAAACTTGGGACGATTGGTAAGTCTAGTGTACCAACTGTTGTTATTCTTACTTCTTATCTTACTAATATTATAAATGCGAAAGTAACTCTGGCTATTTGGCCTTAGTAACTTACTATGAGCTAGTGTTTAATTCTTTTTACCCGACTACGCCAGAAGAAGGGTTATGGTTTTATTTTGTTTAGATCACGGCTTCGTGAGGTTTTCACATTTAACCAACTCAATGTCATGTTTAATGCTTGTGTTCTTCAGGTTCGTGAACCAATCGACGCTAGTGAACAACCGGCCAGTGAACAATAACGAAGCCGTGTACGCGTGGCACGTGGCAGACTTCGTGACCACGCTCAACAACCACAACCTGGGGCAACCCTACTACTCAGGTACCACAGTAGGGTAGTTGACACTACTAGTTAATGCCTATAGCATCTATACTAATATTATAAACCTGAAGAGTTTGTTTGCTTGAACGCGCTAATTTCAGGAACTACTGATCCGCTTTGAAATATTATTTTTGTGTTGGATAGCCCATTTATGGTAGGCTTTATAACATAACCCTACAGCTAATAGGAGCGGAGCAGTAAAGAGAAATGTTGCAAACACGGGAAATAGTTATATTCAAACTATTTTCGCGGGCACAGCTAGTAATTTCATATAGGGCTTCTTGGCGGGAAAGGAAGCTGCATGTTCAGCAATTTTGTCTTTACTATTAATTTTCTCTTTACGAGTATGTTTAATTACCAGTTATTGGTTACCGACCCAATAATATGATACCACAAGTCAGTTTACTTTGTTATAATCAGATTTCGTGTTGAAATAACCAGTTTTTATAAATCTTTAATAGGTTTGCTTAACCGTGTATTTATTTGTAGAATTCAAACACAACGTGGAGGTGTTTACCCAACGGTTGAGGGAAGACGCGCGCACTTTAGTAGGAGTGACGCAAGCCACCGGCACTTTGCTGGAATCTCTGGACGCCGCATTGAGTGAGTAGCTTAGTTGTTTTTAAGTAAAATAATATAAAATCGTCAAGTTTTGTCCGTGAGAACGACAGACTAACGCCCTCTAGAGGTGACGTAGGAGTAACGCAAGCGACAGATTTTTTAGAACCATTTACCATTACGTGCGCACGGGAGACTTTTGTCTCCGTGACAGTATATCTCTCTTTTTCTCATTATAAAGGTGTAAAAGAAACAGAAATCATACTATCACAGATAATAATACTGTTACACACGAGCGATTTATTCAATGATCTTATGACCTCATCTATACTATTATTATATCACAAGCTTGCCTTAAATAATTGCAGCGTGCTCGCAGCAGTTTCACCTCGCCCTCGCTAGTGTAAAAATACTCTTAGAGCAGTTCTAGAAAGTATCATTCGATTTCAATAATTACCTATGAAGATATACTTTATTGTATTGTCTTGCAGCGTACTTATTCCGTTCGGACGGCCAATTCATGGATGACTTCAAACCGGCGCTGGTCAGGACCGTGGCCGCCGACGCCATGTCCGAAGCCACTTCTTGGAGGAACTCGCAGTTCAACCAGGTACGCGACTGTGAACTCTATTGCCTTGCATCAAAGCACAACATACCCTACCTGAGAGTGATGGATTTTTGAACAAGTTTACCATCCTTATATTTGTGTCATACATTCTGTCCATTCTTATATGTACTCTGGAAAGTGTCATAATATTATGGAGAAACCAATAGACTGAAATCTGTGATAATATCAATGTTCAACGATATTCTTTTAAGTATTGTATAATTTTACATGCTGCTTTGAAGGAAATACAAGAAGACGAGGAGGTAACTATTCCAGAGTTTAATTAGAAGAATCCAGAAAGACAGATAATTAATTAAAGGAAACGTGACGCTGATTGCTCGGCGCCTACGCTTCANCTGCAGGCCGCCATCATTGTAAGTACAAGCTGTATCATCATCATCATCATCATCACACCTGTGAGAACATCGTGGTGATCAACGAGGCACACAATATCGAAGACATCTGCCGCGACGCCGCATCATTCTGCTTCACCAGGGAGCAGATGCAGGCCGCCATCATTGTAAGTACAAGCTGTATCATCATCATCATCATCATCAATATCATTATTATCATCATGGTCATTTCCAATCTCCACTGCAAGAGGAAGAGGGCTTCCTCATCACCCTATAATTTACTTATCAGTTGTGATCAGTTGTTGTACACAGCTTTTTATCCTATTTATAGATAACATAGAACGCAACTCTTTCAGGAATTAGAGAAAGCAGCGAGCTATCAATATTCTGGTCACAACATCATGGATCAATTGGAGAAAATTGTGAAGACATTGAAAACTTGGGACGATTGGTAAGTCTAGTGTACCTGTACAAACTAGTGCTTTTCTTACTTCTTATCTTACTAATATTATACATAAATGACAATGTAACCGCAAGCTAGTAATCAATACTTTTTACTTTTTTTGTCAGCCGTTTGATGTAATGGAACGGACTACTATACCGAGAGGTCCCGGGTTCGATTCCCGGCCGGGCAGAAATTGAAATGATGAATTTTAATTTCTGTGATGTAATAATATGTATGTGTATTTACAAAAAAAAAGTATGTATGTATGTTTATATCCGTTGTCTAGTACCCATAGTACAAGCTTTGCTTAGTTTGGGACCAGAGGCGTAGTGTAAAATGTCCAAGATATTTATGTATTTTATTATCACGTTTTCCAGTGTCATGTTTAATGCTTGTGTTCTTCAGGTTCGTGAACCAATCGACGCTAGTGAACAACCGGCCAGTGAACAATAACGAAGCCGTGTACGCGTGGCACGTGGCAGACTTCGTGACCACGCTCAACAACCACAACCTGGGGCAACCCTACTACTCAGGTACCACAGTAGGGTAGTTGACACTACTAGTTAATGCCTATAGCATCTATACTTATTTTATTTTTTTTAATCTCCAGCCGAAATTACCCGAGTTTGGTTTTTGCAAGGTAATGGTATTTTAAATATGCAGACAAATGAATGTACATATTTAGAGAGTGCTGGTAGCTTCTCGCCAATGTATACGAGCAAACTTGTAGGCTCCATACTTTACACACATTTATGTACAAGGTTTAAAATTAACAAAATAAGTAAGATTTTTTAGAGGTTTTTTTTAAGGTACATCTATGCACTTTTTTTTTTTTGTTTTTTTTTATAGCATCTATACTAATATTATAAACCTGAAGAGTTTGAACGCGCTAATCTCAGGAACTACTGATCCGCTTTGAAATATTATTTTTGTGTTGATAGCCCATTTATAGAGAAAACCTTTAGGCTTTATAACATCACCCTACAGCTAATAAGAGCGGAGCAGTAAAGAGAAATGTTGCAAAAACGGGAAATAGTTATATTCAAACTATTTTCACGCGTTCAAGGTCGCGGGCACAGCTAGTAATTTCATATGGGGCTTCTAGGAAGCTGCATGTTCAGCAACTTTGTCTTTACCATTAATTTTCTCTTTACGAGTATGTTTCATTGCCAGTTATTGGTTACCGACCCAATAATATGATACCACAAGTCAGTTTACATACTTTGTTATAATCAGATTTCGTGTTGAAATAACCAGTTTTTATAAATCTTTAATAGGTTTGCTTAACCGTGTGTTTATTTGTAGAATTCAAACACAACGTGGAGGTGTTTACCCAACGGTTAAGGGAGGACGCACGCACTTTAGTGGGAGTGACGCAAGCCACCGGCACTTTGCTGGAATCTCTGGACGCCGCATTGAGTGAGTAGCTTAGTTGTTTTTAAGTAAAATAATATAAAATTGACAAGTTTTGTCCGTGAGAACGGGTAACTAACGCCCTCTAGAGGTGACGTAGGAGTAACGCAGGCGACAGATTTTTTAGAACCATTTACCATTACGTGCGCACGGGAGACTTGTCACCGTGACAGTATATCTCTCTTTTTCTCATTATAAAGGTGTAAAAGAAACAGAAATCATACTATCACAGATAATAATACTCCCACGGCGACAAAAACATGTGCGCGCACGACGTTACACACTAGCGATTTGTTCGATGTTCTTATGACCTCATCTATACTATTGTTATATCACAAGCTTGCCTTAAATCATTGCATTTTTCACCTCGCCGTCGCTAGTGTAAAAATACTCTTAGAGCTGCAGTTCTAGAAAGTCAAGAACGTATCATTAGATTTCAAGAATTACCCATGAAGATATACTTTATTGTATTGTCTTGCAGCGTACTTATTCCGCTCGGACGGCCAGTTCATGGATGACTTCAAACCGGCGCTGGTCAGGACCGTGGCTGCCGACGCCATGTCCGAAGCTACTTCTTGGAGAAACTCGCAGTTCAACCAGGTACGCGACTGTGAACTCTATTGCCTTCATCAAAAAACAACCTACCCTACCCTTATAAACAAGTTTACAATCCTTCCTTATGTTTGTGTCATACATTCTGTCCATTATTATATGTACACTGGTAAGTGTCAATATTATGAAGAAACCAGACCCAAGAACCAGACTCAAAAAATCTGTGATGATATCAATGTTCAACGATGTTTTTTTAAGTATTGTATAATTTTACATGCTGCTTTGAAGGAAATACAAGAAGACGAGGAGGTAACTATTCCAGAGTTTAATTAGAAGAATCCAGAAAGACAGATAATTAATTAAAGGAAACGTGACGCTGATTGCTCGGCGCTTACGCTTCATACTTCATTTCGGCGGGCAGCACCGACTGCGACGTAAGAGTGACTTATTGGTAAAAGTTCGTATCGACAAAAATAAACATAAAAAGATTCCATACAAAATTGTAAACAGGGTCACAACAAACGAATAAGAAGTTTTGCCCCAAGCTTGGCCAAGTAAAATGAACGACTACGAAATTTTGCGTGCCTTAAAAAATACGGGGAAAAAGTGCGTTCGGAAACTTTTATACAATAAAATAACATTACCAGGAAATTTGCCTACAGTGAAAAAAGTCGATCGGATTTTTTTATACAAGAAAATAAAAATATTGGAAAATGCATGTAACAAATTCTTACGCCATTCCATTTCAGAAAATAAAGAAAGACGTCTACGAACTCCGACTCTTATGCATGAACCCAGCGGTAGTGTTTGAGGGCCTTAAGACGGCCCGCTGCATTATCCTGGCTTCGGGGACGTTGACGCCGCTCGTGAGCCTATACTCCGAGCTGGGGACTGACTTCCCGCTCAAGGTGTCGCCTAACCACGTCATATCCAGCGACAGGGTAAGAGAGATAAAGAAAGACTGCTATGCATGAACCCAGCGGTAGTGTTTGAGGGCCTGAAGACGGCTCGCTGCATCATCCTGGCCTCGGGGACGTTAACGCCGCTCGTGAGTCTATACTCCGAGCTGGGTACTGACTTCCCGCTGAAGGTGTCGCCTAACCACGTCATATCTAGCGACCGGGTACGAGGGATAAAGAAAGACTGTTATGTATGAACCCAGCGGTAGTGTTTGAGGGCCTTAAGACGGCCCGCTGCATTATCCTGGCCTCGGGGACGTTGACGCCGCTCGTGAGTCTATACTCCGAGCTGGGGACTGACTTCCCGCTGAAGGTGTCGCCTAACCACGTCATATCTAGCGACCGGGTAAGAGAAATAAAGATAGACTGTCACCAACTCTGTCTGTTACCCAACAGTGGTGTTTGAGGGTCTGAAGACGGCCCCTGCATAATCCTGGCCTAGGGGACCCTGACGCCGCTCGTGAGTCTATACTCCGAGCTGGGTACTGACTTCCCGCTCAAGGTGTCGCCTAACCACGTCATATCCAGCGACCGGGTAAGAGAGATAAAGAAAGACTGCTATGCATGAACCCAGCGGTAGTGTTTGAGGGCCTGAAGACGGCCCGCTGCATAATCCTGGCCTCGGGGACGTTGACGCCGCTCGTGAGTCTATACTCCGAGCTGGGTACTGACTTCCCGCTGAAGGTGTCTCCTAACCACGTCCTAGCGACAGGGTGAGTGAAATAAAGAAAGACTGCTACCAGACCTGTTCATCTCCCCGAGTAGGCATCGAAAGTGAGTGACGTAAGCACATCATCATTTCAGCCATTGGACGTCCACTGCTGAACTCCCCCAATGCTTTCCATGTTGATCGATTAGTGGCAGCCTTCATCCAGCGCTTGCCTGCTACCTTTATAAAGTCGTCGATCCACCTTGTAGGTGGACTGTGGACCTCGTGTGATGCGCTAGCATCAGCACAGTACCAGTCACTGACGTATGTGCTTGATTCTGAGACAAGCTAAATTACACCATTTTGTTGACGACATTGGGTAGATACACTCGTCGTCAAATAAATCGCACCTCGCGCGACAANTTATGTATGAACCCAGCTGTAGTATTTGAGGGTTTGAAGACGGCCCGCTGCATTATCCTGGCCTCGGGGACGTTGACGCCGCTCGTGAGCCTATACTCCGAGCTGGGGACTGACTTCCCGCTGAAGGTGTCGCCTAACCACGTCATATCCAGCGACAGGGTGAGTGAAATAAAGAAAGACTATTATGTATGAACCCAGCCGTGGTGTTTGAGGGTCTGAAGACGGCCCGCTGCATAATTCTGGCCTCGGGGACGTTGACGCCGCTCGTGAGCCTATACTCCGAGCTGGGGACTGACTTCCCGCTGAAGGTGTCGCCTAACCACGTCATATCCAGCGACAGGGTGAGTCAAATAAAAAAAGACTGCTACCAGGCCTGTTCATCTCCCCGAGTAAGCATCGAAAGTGAGTGACGTAAACACATCATCATCATTTCAGCCATAGGATGTCCACTGCTGAACATAGGCCTCCCCCAATGCTTACCTTGTTAATCGATTGGTAGCGGCCTGCGTCCAGCGCTTCCCTGCTACCTTTATGATGTCGTCGATTAACCTTGTGGGTGGACTGGCACTTCAGCACAGTACCGATCACTAACCTGTAAACGAAACGGTGCTCGATTCTAAGACAAGCTAAATTACACCATATTGTTGACGACATTGAGTAGATATTTTTATATTGGTGTCTCGAACCATCGCGAAGAAGCCACCCCCAAGGATTTCCACAAAGACCGGTCCTGCACCACTCTCGTCCATGCACTGTTGATCGTATGAAAATATTTTTTTACTGGTGTCTTGTATACGCAGCCTCTAAGTTCTTTCTACTCCCAGGTGTGGGTGGGCACTCTCTCCACGTGCCCAGACGGCAGTCGCCTGGAGTGTAAGAGCACCAGCGCCGCTCAGCCCGGCGTACAAGACGCGATCGGCGACACAATCCTCTGGGTCAGCCAGGTCACGCCGCATGGAGTCCTGGTCTTCCTGCCCTCGTACCAGCTCATGAACCGGCTCGCCAGGAGGTAAGTCATGTTACTAGCTACTGCCTGCGTATACAGTAAAATGTCTTGGGAAAAGCTTCTTGTGGGTCAACCAGGTCACGCCACATGGGGTCCTGTGTTCCTGCACTCATACCAGCGCATGAACAGACTTATCAGGAGGTGAGTCATATTGCAGCAGCAGCTGCTGCAGGCATATACAGTGAGAGCAATAGCAGTAGCGCTGCTTGAGTCCTGGTGTTCTCGCTCTCGTATCATCTCATGACCTGACTCATCAAGAAATGCCTGGTGTTGCTAGAGCACCTTGTAGCAGCAACTGCAGGCAGCATCCCGCATATACGGTGAGAGCATAGCGTGGCGGCGCCGCATGGTATCCTGGTATTCCTGCCTTCAGACCAGCTCATGAACTGACTCGGCAGGAGGTGCTGGAGCAGTTAGTCTCTTCCTAAATTACTTACTTAAGTATCACACGTTTTTACATTACGTTACGTACGTGGGTACTTCTCATTTACACTCAAATTTGATGGTCACACAATAATTACAAAATCGAACTTTTTTTTTGTTGCATGAGATTTTTTACTTGTTGTTTACTAATTTAGGCTCGCTGATTTTAAATCTACCCTCAGATTTTTTCTAGCAGTTTATGAGATACAGGTACCCTCTTAAAATGTACTCTCCATTTGACTGCTGATATCGCTATCGTCAACGTCTTACTAGTTTCTGTTTCTTTTTTTGCAATGAATTCGTCTAGAAGGACCTGTGTAAACAATCCAAATAGATTTGTCACATTTGTGGCAGATATACATTAAAAAAATCCCGTTTAAATGTGTCAGACTTCGTAAAAAGTGCCTATTTGGAGTACTTTCAACGGCTGTTGGAAACAAATAACAAGCCCTGGATACCAAATATAGTGTGTAAAACGTGTGTGGAGTCTTTACGATTATGGAAAAATAACAAGAGGGATCCCTTAAACCTTATTAGTCCTATGATTTGGCGGGAACCGTCAAACCACCACGACGATTGTTATTTCTGCGTTGTAAACATAACAGGAATTAACCGCTCAAATCATTCTAAGTGGGTTTATTCAAATGTGCCGTTAGTTACTAGACCTGTCTTGCGTTCAACTGATACACTCAAACCCCAACCATGTACATTTCAGGTACTGTACTACAGTACGTCCGCATAAAAATGTTCAACGAATGGATCGTTACGAAAATTGAGTGTTGAGAAGTTAAAATGTGAAATTTTCGATGGACCACAACTTAAAAAATTAATAAACGATGTAAATTTTACTGAAAGTATGACAAACGCTGAAAAAAAATGCCTGGAATGAGTTTGTTTGGTTCGTAAATTTTTTTTGGGAAATAAGTAGCCCGTCAATTTTCCTGACCACGTCAATCAGTTAGTAATATACTTTCAGCAACTTGAATACAACATGAGCATTAAGATGTATCTCCTTCATAGCCACCTTGATCGAATTCCTGAAAATCTTGGAAATTTAAGCGAGGAGCAGTGAGAACGCTTTTATCAGGATATTTGCGCTATAGAAGAGCGGTACCAGGGCTCTTGGAGTGAAAGTATGATGGCTGAATACTGTTGGATTATCCAGAATAGTAGTAACACTCGAACTCATTCATAAAAGTCACATAAAAGAAAGTTTTGTTCTAATTACATAGTTAAAGAAATTGTTATATGACAGGAAACCATGTTTTTTTGATAAAAATAGCTACTCTTCACATCTCAAAAAGTAGAGCTGCTAGCGAAAATCTGAGTACAGATTTGGAATCAGGGTAGAAAATGCAGCTAGATCCATAAATAACATTCCATGCAACAAAAATGCTGTTGTGCAGTGTAATAGTTCATAAACGGTATAAAAGTTAGAACAATAACTTTGAAATCAGATGATAAAATATCTATTTAGCTACATACAATATAAATTTTATCGTAATAGAAGCAAAAATAATACGAAAAAATCACATGAAACGATAAAAAACGGGGTGATTTTTCGCGTTCTCATCGTGTCACACCATCGGCATCGGTTGCNTCGTACCAGCTCATGAACAGACTCGTCAGGAGGTGCGTCATTATTAGAGTAGCTAATTGTTAGAGCAGCTGCTGCCTGAGGATACAGCGTTAGATGACGCCGTGCTCTGGGGCATTCAGGTCACGCCGCATGGAGTCCTGGTCTTCCTGCCCTCGTATCAACTTATGAACAGACTTGTTAAGTGGTGCATCATGTTGCAGCAAGTAGCGTTAAAAGGAGTAGTTCTGTAGGTCACCTAGGTCACGCCGCATGGAGTCCTGGTCTTCCTGCCTTCGTACCAGCTCATGAACCGGCTCGCTAGGAGGTACGTCATTATTAGAGCTAATTGTGAAAGCAGCTACTGCCTGAGGATACAGCGTTAGATGACGCGGTGCTCTGAGTCAGCTAGGTCACGCCACATGGAGTCCTGGTCTTCCTGCCCTCGTACCAGCTCATGAACCGACTCGCCAGGAGGTAAGTCATGTTACTAGCTACTGGCTGCGGATACAGAAGGTTGTTTTAGAAGAAATAGTTCTGTGGGCCAGCCAGGTCACGCCACATGGAGTCCTGGTCTTCCTGCCCTCGTACCAGCTCATGAACCGACTCGCCAGGAGGTAAGTCATGTTACTAGCTACTGGCTGCGGATACAGAAGGTTGTTTTAGAAGAAATAGTTCTGTGGGCCAGCCAGGTCACGCCGCATGGAGTCCTGGTCTTCCTGCCTTCGTACCAGCTCATGAACCGGCTCGCCAGGAGGTGCGTCATTATTACTAGCTACTACCTGCGTATACAGTAAAATGTCTTGGGAAAAGCTTGTTGTGGGTCAACCAGGTCACGCCACATGGGGTCCTGTGTTCCTGCCCTCATACCAGCTCATGAACAGACTTGTCAGGAGGTGAGTCATATTGCAGCAGCAGCAGCTGCAGGTATACACATGTACAGTGGTAGCGCTGCATGAGTCCTGGTGTTCTCGCTTTCGTACCATCTTATGCTCTGACTCATCAAGAGGTGCCTGGTGTTGCTAGAGCACCTTGTAGCAGCAAGTAGCAACTGCAGGCAGCATCCCGCATATGTAGTGAGAGCATAGCGTGGCGCCGCATGGTATCCTGGTCTTCCTGCCTTCAGACCAGCTCATGAACTGACTCGGCAGGAGGTGCTAGAGCAGTTAGTCTCTTCCTAAATTACGTGTACTTACGTATCACATGTTTTTACATTACGTACGTACACTTTCACAGTTTGGTTGAGCCCTCGCAAGAGATAATAAGCATCATTTCTCAACTTCGAACTACATACATTATTGTATACTTACAGATGGCAGGAAACCGGAATTTGGAGAAAATTAGAACAACAGAAGAATGTCTTTATGGAGAGCAGAAACGTACGAGATCACAACGACACAATGGAGGTAACGTGACTATGCTATGCACTAATGTTTCATTTATTGAAGTCAAAAGCAAACCCCTTAACTTGACGTTTCTTTGCATTCAAATCAAAGAGAAGTTACTCAAATCACCAGACACACTTCGGAGTCTATAATTATTTATTAACATACATTACTAAACTTGTTTTATCACAGGACTTCTACAAGTACGTGGAGACGGATCGAGGCGCAATTCTATTCGCGGTGTTCCGCGGAAAGGTGTCTGAGGGCATGGACTTCAAGGACCACCAGGCGCGCGCTGTTATCACCGTAAGTTACCATCACACCACCATATCATCATCATAATAATATTATTATTAGTAATTTGTAAATAAAAATGACTAATAATCCCGTTAACCCCTCGTGGTAAGCAATTTTTTTTTTATAAAAAAGATTAGCCCCTCGTACTAAGCTAAATATGCCTGTGTTACGAGTGGGTTCACCACAATAGTCAAGTAGCGGCGAGATTCGAACCCGCGTTCCTCGGATCACGGGTCGGATCATCGTTTTCATCAGGTCATTTAGTCTCCAGTGTAGAAGCACGACCCTCTTTAATTTATCAGACAAATAAACTATTTGGCCTACACTCCCTACACTGGCCAGATAGATGGTTTAATATGTGTGGTCACATACGAGCGAACATTGACTCACGCACGCGTATTCTTGTGTATGATGGAAGAAAATAAAGAAAATGGTGTACTAAATACTGCGCAGTATTTAACTGCCTAAATAATAATAAAAACACAGAATGTACTTTTTTAAGTTGCCTCAAGACACTGAGAGGTAAGTAAGTAGTTAATATTATTCATGATAATTCATGCTAAATCATGTATTTCCTCCGCCATTTTCCGCAGTTTGGCACCTCACGTCACATCATTTTACCGAAGTCAGCCCTATAGCTTCGGCGCAGTGCCGATCACTGACGTTTATCAACAAAATGGTGCTTGACTCTTGAGACAGGCTAAATTACACCATATTGTTAATGACATTGAGCATAATTTTTTTTAAATACCTTCGCGAAGTTAAACTTCTGTACGTAGTACTTATTATTATTCTGTGGTATTAGGTCAAAACAAATTTCGAGTTTATAATACTTGTAAGATAAAAACTCGAAGAACTGGTTTTTTGAGTTGATCTTTCTTTGACAATTATGTTCTTTCTTCCAGGGCGTTGAACCAGGCGGTGGGGCGCTGCGTGCGGCACCGCGGCGACTGGGGCGCTGTGCTAATGATAGACGCGCGCTTCCAGAACCCCTACTACACCGAACACCTGTCCAAGTGGCTGCGCGGCTTTGTGAGTACCAGACAATAACACTTCCCTAATTCCCTTAGATTTTGTACGGCAAAGACAAGCTATGACGTTCCTTACTTTCTTAGTACATTAATGCCTGTTTTCATCATCAATCCCTAATTTGAAGTAGGTAACCCCTAGGGCTATATTTCACCGGAACACCATGGCGGCGCAACCAATCGCCGCTACCAACAAAATGTATACAGCTCTATAGAGATACTCACCTGGTGTCCGTTTGATTGCGCAAAGCTGTATACATTTTGTTGGTAGCGGCGACTGGTTGCGCCGCCATTGGTGTCCCGGTGAAATATAGCCCTAGGGGTCACTTAAAATTAGGGATTGATGGTGAAAACGGGCATTAGCCCCTTGTATGCTTTGTTACGTTCAAAACCCAAAAATGAAAATTAACCATTCAGGAAAAATAACTCATAGTGATCCCTATAATACAACCACATCGCGATATTCGTGTTACGGCTCATGTGAATACGATAGCCGAGCTAGAATGCGCGCCGTGATAAAATCTTATCGATGATTTTAGACGGCAAACTGTGTATCGCGTAAAATCGATATAATGGCGCGATAAACGCTTATCGCGCGCGTTCTAGGCCTACAGAACGTGGTGTCGCGCGGATAATCAGAGAAAGACAGCGACTTTTGTGTCGTGGCTATCATGCGACTACAACGCGTTCTGGCAATGAAGACATCTGCCTTCTTTGCATTATGGCCATTTATTTATTTTCTCTTACTTTCCACAGCTGAACAACAATCACCACACGTTCGAGAGCCTCGTGAACAGTCCCAATAGCCTGGAGTCCTTCATGCAGAGCATGACCATCAACGAGACGGAAGACGTGTGAGGAGCGTCTGTTCAAGACGTGCTATTTCAACTTTAGCTAGCTAAGCCAGGATCTACAGCTTGACCGCCAATAAAAACCCAATCAGTGAAGGTCAAGTCTGTCCTGGGGGAAAGTTAAACTGTCATTAGACCCGCAACGAAATTAAGCAGAACGGAGGACTTCGAAGTTAAGGTTCGACTTCCCTCCATTGCAGGGTTACTAACCTTTTTTGTCATCTGTCATCCGCTTTGCAATGGAGAGAAGTCATGGAAAATTCATAGGACATTAAAATTACCACCTCTTGCAAAGGTCCTGTTCGAAAAGTACTAAATGTTGTGTATACAGGTTGTTTAGTTTTTTCGATTTACTGAGACTGTTTTGTGTGGAAATAGCTATTTTTGAATACACGTTCCTCGTATGAGATGCGCATTATATCAGCTGTTGTACTCTCCGACTGCACATCAGTTATAATACTGTTGTAAAGTCGGCCTTTACAACCAGATAAGCTGCTGTCGTCTGTACATCATTTTTGTTAAATAGCAGCTATGTATAATTGTATGTATAAGAATCTATAAAATAATTTGACTGGCTGTCGTCGTACATTTAACATTTCAGTACTTTTCGTACTGAATACTCAGTTATGTGCCATTGTCCATTTTAACTCATTCTTTGCGGCATATTTTGCCTGTTTGGCACAAGTTCCTTTTTACCCGACTACGGCAAAGCCAAAGGAGGGTTATGATTTTGACAGGCTATGTATGTATGTATGTATGTATGTTCATCTGTTCCCTCGTAACTTCTAAACTACTTATCAGAATTTGACAAATGACATATCATTAGAAGCGTCTTAATTGTCCACTGGTTATAGGCTATATGGGGTTTCNAATTAAAGAACTATACATACAAATTCTGTCAAAATGTTTGCTCAATTTGCATAATAATTATTGGCTGTGAAAATTAAAAAATAACAATATCATTCAACATAGCTTAAATATCAAAAGTACACTATATGAAATGGATGGACATTATTTTAAGTTGCCTAAGGCGTTTTATTTTTATGTGCTATAGTGTTATATTTTAAATGTAATTTTAAGCTATTGTTAAGAAGTTAGAAGTATTTATGAATGTTATAAAACTATTTAGTTTTTTTACATTTATGATCATGCTAATCGACAGTACATATTTTTATACGAATAAAAGTTATGATAATATTTGAAATGTTATTACTTCCTTTCCATGCGACCCATTCCTCCTTTAGTGGGCGATAAAATACCAAAAACAAACCTGAGACAAATTAATACAAGATTCACAGGTAAATTAAAACTCCCAAATAATTGTGCTAAATTATGTATATTTTAAATTGTTATTAATTCATTACAATACAATATGAATATCACGGTGGTACTAATGAAGTACCCTAAGCGTAGTTACCGAAACCACGCTACAGCTTTTGTTTAGCCGCCCTGGAACAAAACATATTTTTTGTTAATTTTTGGGCACTTATAACTATGAACTTAAGTCTGAAAAATAAATAAGATAAATAAACACATTTTAATTTTTATGAATGATCTTATTTTAAGATTAAACCAATCACAAACCTAAACTTGTGCTTGTGTTAAGACTAGATTCATATTTGAATACAATTTCCTGATACGGGTCATAATAAGCATGATAAAAATAAAGTTGGAATAAACTATACTGAGTAATAAAATACAATCATGTTATAACAAACGACAATCTAGGCGCAGACCACCGATTTTTAGTTGGCCGATAGTTGAGCCCGATTTTAACTTGTATGAATAATTGGATACCAAATTGGAGTAATGTGCACACCCTCATACATCTCCATACTAAGAGCCCAACTCGACTATCGGCCAACTAAAAGTCGGTGGTCTGCGCCTAGGCTAATAGTAACTTTTCGCCACCGATTTACCCGACAGCACTTCCACCCCCATCACTTAGATGGTTGGCAGTCCATAACAGTACGTTTCTCTTGAAACTTCCTGCCCCGCACAACCAAACTATCGTCTGCGGTGTTTCCGGACGGATACGACCTGCAAGCTTTCAAGAGGAGAGCGTATCTTCACCTTAAAGGCCGGCAACGCACCTGTAACGCCCCTGGGTCTGCGGATGTCTATGGGCGACGGTAATCACTTACCATCAGGTGATCCGTCTGCTCGTTTGCCTCCTGTCACATAAAAAAAAAAAAGAAAAAAAAATAGTTCGTACCTTTTGACGCAGTCGGCGGACCTCTCGTGTCGCTTCATGTGCGAGATCTGGTTGAAGGTCTTCTTGCAGATGTCGCACGAATATGGCCGCTCCCCGCTGTGATACCTGGAACGATAATAACCAAATATTATGATTTATTAAACAGACACGTCTTATATGGAGCTCATTATTATTTATGTTACCACTAGCTTTCCGCCCGCGCCTTCGCCCGCGTGGAATTTTGTCTTTCACAGAAAGACTTCATCGCACGCGTCCTCGTTTGAAAAACCGGGATAAAAACTATCCTATCGCACGCGTCCTCGTTTGAAAAACCGGGATAAAAACTATCCTATGTCCGTTCCCAGGACTCAAACTATCTCTATGCCAAATTTCATCAAAATGGGTTGTGGTTTAGGCGTGAAAGCAAGACAGACAGACAGAGTTACTTTCGCACCAGACCCAACAAAAAACTATACAGTCTAATCACATAATCCGTAAATAAATTTAATTACATTCAATTAGATAATAGTGGCCGTTGTATTAAGACTGGATTGCAACATCTTACTTTAACTTTAACAAACGTTAAAAATCTGTCAAACTCCATACAAAGAGCACCGGTTATCATTATATTTCTGGTTAAAGTTAGGTGGTACAACTCAGCCTTAGAGTAACATTACACAAGCCGTACATCGAANAAAAAAAAAAGAAAAAAAAGTAGTTCGTACCTTTTGACGCAGTCGGCGGACCTCTCGTGTCGCTTCATGTGCGAGATCTGATTGAAGGTCTTCTTGCAGATGTCGCACGAATATGGCCGCTCCCCGCTGTGATACCTGGAACGATAATAACCAAATATCAGGTGATTTATTAAACAGACACGTCTTATATGGATCTCATTATTATTTATATTACCACTAGCTTTCCGCCCGCGGCTTCGCCTAAACGCTCTTAACATTAGTGAAGAACTGACCTCTTATGCCTCTCCAAGTCGGATTTCTTGTGGAACTTCTTCCCGCACTTTTTCTCTTCGCACGCGTACGGCGTCAAACCCTTGTGGATGCGTTCTATGTGAGACTTCAGCTGAAAATAATTAAAGGAATCTTTAGTACATGGGATACATGTCATTTAGTAAAAACATATTTAAATAATACTATTTACACTCAAACCATAATATTTCTAGAGCGATTTAATTAATGTTGGGGACTGGTCGAAGTTTATAAAAACCGGTATTGCACAAGCAAAGCGGCCAGTATGCCGCCGGCCGTCGAAGCGGTCGGACGTCGAATGTTTGTGCTGCCGTATGTTTTTTCATCCACAACGAGGAATCTCATGGCCTGTCAACCTGATGGAAAGTGATCAGGCTGAAGGAATAATAATAATGTAAGTAATGATGATACAAATTATATTCATATTTGATAATTTTGCATCCCACCCCCCGTATCCCATCCCATTACTTTGGCGCAGTTTCCAAAGTAATGGGATCTCACCCCCAAAAAGGTACATGATAAAAATCTAATTACAATTGTCCATGAAAGCCTCCTCATGTATATGTATGTATATGTTGGGTGTCGTCCACGGAAGACCAGTGTCGTGGCATTATCTACTGAGATGCTACGACACCATGCGGAGTGGAATTCTTTTCAGTATCATTGTAATTAACTACTCATTAAATAATTTTAAGTATAGTTGTTGTACATTTTTTCTTTCTTTCTTTCATTTGTGTCTAGTAAATTATGCTTTGGCTCGAAGTTTTTTGTTGTGTACCGTCACATTATTTTTATTTTTGGTTAATGTTGATAGTTACCTTCATTTTGTTTATAATTAGTTGTACACTCATTATGTTTAAATAATTTAAATTGAAATGTTTCTCAGGAAGTGAATTATTGTTAATTCTTATGAGAAATAAAGTTCTTAAACCGTAAATTAGAGGACCGTGCTGTGCTCCCACAGTGAAGGCTAAATAAGTGATCTCATGATGATGACCTTGAAAGTTGTCAATCTACCTTCCATTGCGCGGTGTAGGTGCGTCCACAGTAGCGGCAGTCGTGCGCCGGCCACACGCGCGGCTCGTGGCGGCGCGCGGCGTGCTTGTTCAGCGTGGAGCGGTACGAGAACGCCGCGCCGCACACACCACACTTGTGCTGGCGTAGGGACGGCTCGTGAGTCGCTGAGAGAATACGCAAAAAAATAAAAACATACGGGTCGAATTGAGAACCTCCTCCTTTTTTGAAGTCTGTTGAGAATTGAGAACCTCCTCCTTTTTTGAAGTCTGTTGAGAATTGAGAACCTCCTCCTTTTTTGAAGTCGGTTGAGAATTGAGAACCTCCTCCTTTTTTGAAGTCGGTTGAAAACTCATAAAACTCATTTATTTACGCAAGTAGGTTTTTAAAATGCACTTTTACACGTCCCAGCATTAACCCTACCACTGCTTCAGGACAATAAATGGGCCAGTGCTGAGAAGAAGCAGCGCAAGAAACTCAAGTCGCTAGCAATTTTAAAAAAGCGTTTAGGATGTACCACAATTTTATTAAAAGTAGAGTTCTGCTCACGCCACACTTGTGCTGACGTAGGGACGGCTCGTGAGTCGCTGAGAGAATACGCAAAAAACTAAAACTCATTTATTTACGCAAGTAGGCTTTTAAAATTCACTTTTGTAGAGTTCCGCTCACGCCACACTTGTGCTGACGTAGCGACGGCTCGTGAGTCGCTGAGAGAATACGCAAAAAACTAAAACTCATTTATTTACGCAAGTAGGCTTTTAAAATGCACTTTTACACGTCCCAGTATTAACCCTACCACTGCTTCAGGACAATAAATGGGCCAGTGCTGAGAAGAAGCAGCGCAAGAAACTCAAGTCACTAGCAATTTTAAAAAATGCGTTTTGGATGTGCCACAATTTTATTAAAAGTAGAGTTCTGTTCACGCCACACTTGTGCTGACGTAGCGACGGCTCGTGAGTCGCTGAATAATTAACAATTTTTAAAATGCAGTTAGATTGTGCCAAATTTTGCTAAAAGTCGAACAGGGCTGCTCACAAAAACGAAATCTGAAGTTCGAATGTTTTCATCCCTCGCCAGATGCTAGATAGAGATACCCGTTACGTCGTAAACAGCGTTTCGGAGCCCTGAACTACCCCACAATCTACACACCAACACACAATCAGACCAACACATAACAACCCAGTGGCTTATTTCGGATGTCGTAAACTTATGAACTCGCGCGTCATCTGCAACTTGCGTACGCACTTAGTTAAGTAAATAGGATTTACAAACAAAAACATCTCATGTTGTTGGGTTTGGTGTGTAGATGTACTGATGATGATGTACCTACTTATGCTATGATATTATTATACTTAAAATTGTGATTTAAATTACCACACAAACTTACCTATGTGAGATCTAAAGTTATCCTTTTTATTGAACACCTTATTGCATTTCCGGCATACGAAAAGTAGATTCTTTTTCACTTTGATCTTAACCCGCTTTTCCTGTTTTTCTTTGGCTTTGTCACTTCCTTCGTAGATTATCACTCCAGAGTCTATGCAGATTTTAGGCTGCTGTATTTTCACAACAATCGGCTCAATGTTATTTACAGCATCATCATGATTTTCTACATCTGACGTGTTATCAGTTATATGCTCATCTACAGCTACATTGTTCCCAAACTCCATTCCTATGTTCAGCATATCAGTAAGCTGTTCTGCATCAATTTCACTCTTTAAACTAATTATGAAAGTGTCATCATCTTCAGTTGAGATGTACTGCACATTGTTTTCGCCAATCAATTGGTTTAAGTTTGCCGCAAGGTTAGCACTCGCCTCCAAATCTACATCACTCTCAAAAATCGTCGAACACTCATTCACAGACAACGTCGAGTTTGGCACTAGATCATTTGGTTTGTCCACAAGGATGCCTTGCACTTCAGGTACGTTTAACAAGTCATCTGGCAAATGTTCAGGTTTATTGTGATGATGATACAAGTCATTCATTATGTCCTGGTCTAAGCCTCTACCAGGCTCTCCTAAATCAAATAATATTTCGGCATTCCGATCATGATTGTTATTTATATTACTGTAATCCATATCATTGGTGTTCAAGTTAAAAACTTGGCTTGTTTGGAAACTTTCGAAATCAATATCATTGTAAAACAGTTCATCATCAAGACTGTGTAGGTGATTAATGTCTTTTAGAAATTCAATTTGCATAAGATTATCTGCATTAATGTTGGCCTCATTCTGAGTGTTGTAGGCACTCAGCAGGTCATTTTGTGTGGTCATGGTCATGTAGTCATCTTCAGCAGATAGGATGTCATCTACAATATTGTCTTCAGTTCTATTTGTGTCTACTAAAGTAGTTTGTAGGTCCGGCTTTGATTCTTTGGGATCAATGGGTGCATTAGAGTGTACTCTGAAAATTCATATGGCTCTTACAATAGATGCTGTTTTTAAGACCTTACTGTGTAACAGTTTATGATTTATAAATAAGCAAAAATAATTTATGGAAATCAAAATATTACCATAAACAAGTTTTAAAATCACTCACCTTGCACAATGTTCTAATAGAACACTTTTATACTGGAAAGTCATGCCACACTGCTGACAATGATTCTTTTTTATATTGCTTTCCAAATTATCTCCATTTGCTTGAGCATAGGAACATTTCTTGGCGTGACGCTTCATAGAAGCGATCTGTTGGTACAATGAAAGAACAGCATAGTTTATAAACTAATATTAACTACTCACTGTGTACAAACCAGCCACTATAGTAAAACAACTGTTAGTACACATGCACAAATGTACTAAAGATGTTACTTGAATAAACATTTTTTTTTTCTTTCAAAAGTCACCTTATCCATAGCATAGCAGATTTTTTTTTATTACCTGTTGAAATCTGGTGCCACAGCCAGAACAACAAAAAGGTTTTTCACCATTATGTTTCAGCATGTGTCTCTTTAAATTTGATTTATCCTTGAATTTCATTTCACATTCAGTGCACGGATGTTTTCTATCACCTGAAAATAATTATTTTATTTTATTTTCAAAATATTCAATTAGTTTTTAACTAAATGAAATTAGTATGTCATACCGTCATGAACACTTTTATGTTTTTTAAGATCTGATAGTTTATGAAATGATTTCTCACACTGTCCACATTTGTGAGGTCTGAAATGTTAAAGAAGCACATTTAAATAATTAATAATTTGTCATTTAGTTAGCTCATAGAACCAAAATGTAAATTATTAGTACCGGTACTCTAGATGCTTTGAAAATAGATGTTGCTGCAGTCGCCACAAAGACTCGAAGGCCATGGAACATTGTGGACAGCGCCACACACGTTCCAACGGTTTGTGTGTCAGGCTGTGCTTCATGAGGTGTTGTTTAGTAGAAAACCTTAGGTCTGGGCATTTTTCTGAAAAAAGGAAATTACAATAACTCTAGCACTCTTTATGAAGTTAAATTTTCATAACTTCTTCAAATATGTAGCTCATACCACACGTCCAAAGGCAATCCTTAGAATGAACGCGTAAATGTCCGTAATATTTCTTGGCATTATCGAATTGTTTGTGACATATTTCGCAATGGAGTGTCGTAGGCCCATTCAAGTCAGGCTCTTCAAGTGGCTCTTCTCCTGACAAAAACTTAGCTAACACTTCCTCGTAACCACCTTGAGACTTGGAGTCCACAAACTGAAATTAGTTTCAAATACATATATGATTTGGGACAATTATCATCACTCAGACTTGCCCAAAATTAAATAGATACTCACTGGAAGACTGAAAAAAGATATGTTTGCCTCCATATTTACAAAATTGATGTAAAAATAATAAATTAACACTTCCTTTCCTGAGCTATTTACAAAATTGATGGAGGTATTTCATAATGAGATCTTAGCGTGAAAAATAATGGTAAAATCAAAATGAACAACCAACTCCTCTCCTTCCTGAATACATTTTTTTTTTACAATTTAGTGACAAGTGATGAAGTGACTGACGTACAAGTGACAGAAGACAGTCATTAAAAAAGTACGTAGTGATGTGGCTAGTTTAACAAAGAGCTCAAAGCCTCAAACTTACTCAAACCTAACTCGCTTATTACATAAAGGTCGTAATCGTAATTGTATCAACTCGATATTTTTCAACACATACGCTATAAAAACTATTCACACAACACAATACACAACATCAAAACGTTCCTTTCAGCCGAATGACGTCCACTGCTGGACATAAATGCCTCCCCCAACTTGGGGCCCCAAGGATTTTCACGACCTCGAGCCGCCCGCATCCAAACAATGCACAATATTTTAAAATTGTATGGAGTTTCGACGGATTTTGTCTAGGGGGGCAGATCGTCAGTCCACTTATATAGTAGGGGGCCGGGCGGGCCTGCCCTTCTTTAAGACAGTGGCTCTGTCTGTCTGTCTGTTGCAAGCAGAGTTTTTCACGATAGACATTGAATGGTCCCTTTCAGAGTTCATAAGTGTGCAATGACCTTAATTTTTACACTGAATATAAATGTGCAAACTGCATGAAGCGAAGCCGTTGACCAAAAAAAAACTAATTTCAATCGATCGATTTACCGGGACACCGGGATTTTGACGAGTTTTGCAAACTTTTGAAAAACTACGCAAATAACAATAGTTACATAATAATAAAGGTTTTTTCTTGAAGTGTTTGCTAACGTGACTTTATAATTGCCGATAATATCTCCCTCTGAACGAGCGGTGATCATTTCACATTATTACAGTATTTAAAGTTGGGGTGTGAAGTGGACTGTGGACATTGTATTTAACATTTATCTTTTCTCAATAAGTGTAGCAGATAAGCAGTATGTGTATATTGTTCATGTATATAGCCTCAAAGGCCTCTAATGATGGTGATTACAGCCTTATTTTGGCATCTAACAGAGATGAATATTACGACAGACCCTCGACCAAAATGGTCCAATGGGAAGAAGATCTTAATGTTTACGGAGGTAAATAACTAAAGCTTTATCACGCTTCAGCGAGGTTAATATCCGTGTGTAAACCATTTCAGTTAAAATATTTAATTTTTTAGGACGAGATATGCAAGATGGCTGTGAGGGAGGCACTTGGTTGGCAATCTCTCCAATACGCAAGAAGTTGGGTGTTCTCCTTAATATACCTGGAGCTGCCAAGGATGATCCTAAAAGTGAGTATCGATCATTTGACCAAGATATTGTGTAGGTATTTATAGTTAATGCTGCTGGTGATTNAATATCATGTAACATAACCCAATCATCAGAAATGCTGTTGTGCAGTGTAGTTAATGCTGCTGGTGATTCTGTAATCCCAGTAATTTTCTTTTTTCAAAAGTATTATTCAATACAAAAAATTGGTGTATTCTAGCAGTGGCACTAGTATATTCTTCCTTTTATTTCAGGCCGAGGAGTATTGGTAGCAGACTATGTGAAGTCTGAATTAAGCACCAAAGAATATATTGATAAAATGAGCAGTTACATTGAGGAATGTAGTGGATTTTTGTTCACCACTGTTGAATTTGGGTAATTTCATTTTGAAACTCTTATTGTGCTCTTACAGACACAACTTAATTATTGTTTTCTTGCTATTTGTTGTGTAATTACATTTTTAACTTTTTACAGAGCAACTACTTCAGTCCGGTCATATGACAATATTTCAAAGACGCTAATTGAACATGATGACCCAATCCTTGGGTTTAGTAACTCGCTTCCTGAGCAACCACTCCAAAAGGTGGAGCCGGGCAAAGATGCACTCAAAGAAATATGCGAAAAATACAACAAAATTGAGCAAAAAGAGCAGCTAATCAATGAATTACTGAACACATTGTTGAAATCTAAGAAAAAGTAGGTAAACCCAAGCAAGAAAGTTTTATAAATCCTTTCTGCTTATTGGCCATCTTATAATACAAGAAAAATTATACAACACAATTTTTTTTTATTTCACAGGCATCTTCCAGACCCTCTGCTGGAAACACGAAAGCCTGAGTTGTATAAAGAGTTTAGTTCCATTTATGTCTTTCTGCCTCAAGCCAGATATGGCACAAGGTAATTAATTCTCAATTTATTAACTCTAGAGCTCTAATAAATATCTTTATAAATGTTGCAGTTTTATAAATTATTTTTTCTTTCAGGACACATACCCTGATACTATTAACAAAGACCGGCCATCTTGAAGTCATAGAAAAGACAATGGTGCGACCAATTGAGACCCACAACCCTGAATGGGAAACAACTGAATACCAATTTGATTTGTAAATCAAATATGGTCTAATATACTAGTACTACCACCGGTATACAGTGTCTACTTTACATGTATTTTATACNACTAAACAAAAGAAAAATTTTGTATGGCTTCCGACATTGAAAAAAATATATTTCACAAGTAAATAAAAAGGCGTAGATAAGAATTAACATTATTTTATTTATTTAATGAAGAGATACTAAAAATTGGCATTTACAGTTTCTAAGTATTGTACACCGTTCAACTACCCACCCGCCATCCTGACGTCAGGTTGGCGGTGGAACTTTGTTTTTCGTTTAATTTTGTTTATAGATAAGTACTAAAATTTTTGTCTTCGCTATCAAATAATAGTAAAACACTACTAAATACCAGAATATGTTTCATTCGATTTCATGATACCCCACCCGCGGTTCTGACGCACACTATTTTATACTAATTACTCTGGATAGTGATTGACTACACTATCAACCTATCATACCGTATATTTATTCAATGAGCGCCACACTAGGTTTGACTGCAACAAGAAGCTACTTACTACCGCCATGTAGCGCATTGCACTAGCGTCTACTCCTTCTATTCATAATAGTGGCGGATTTACAAATTTGCCGCTAGTAGGCCATTAAATTTTTGCCGCCCCTATTGACTTTTGAAATTCAATACGTTAGTTTAATCCCGTTATTAGTATGATTGTGAACTTAATGATATTTCTGTCAGTTACTAGTTTATTATTGCAACCCGCTATGTACTGAAGAGTTAGGTAATGTTGACCTAAAAACGTAGGTACTAAGTATTAATCATAAGGTGGGGAAAGGCATGACTTAAAAATACCTACACTATAGGTATGAACACAGACAAAATAATGTGTGGTCAGTAAACATAGTTTTTGTTAAATATTTTTTATTGCACTTAACAGTTTAAAAACAATACAAAAAAATTCTATTAATCCTTCAAGATCCGCGAATCTAGACACAATAGATAATCAATTGTTATGACATTAATAAATGCCGTCTGGGACTCAAGCGGTTAAAATATAAAAATAATATGTTAACAATCCAGTTAGTGGTGACAGACAATGAGATCAAATAAGTTTTACATTATTTTCTTGCGAGATTTTAAATTTGCAAAATCATTAATTATATCGTCGTATGAAATCTTTTTCATAAGTTCTGACTCTATGCACAAAAGAGATAAAGCATTAAGCTTTTCTTGAATTAAAGTAGATCGTAGATAGTTTTTAACCCGTTTTAAGCAAGATAAGCTTTTCTCACCTGAACAATTTGTCACCGCTGTGCACAGAGCCATGCGATCATGCGAAGTGCTATATCCAGTATAATTAGCTAAGAACTACTTAAAGGTAAACAGAAAGACCAAGGCTTGGTAATACAGGATGGCCGAGAAAAAATTCACTTTTGAAAATTCAAGGAAACGAAAACTGTACATTTTTATAGAACTTTAACTATTGCAATTTAAAGAAAATTTAACGCAATTTATTTACCTTTATTAAATTACATCGCCCAGGAGATTTTCTTGACGCTTACAACATTCGATCAACATACATCAAAATCACTGGAAAATCACTTGGAATGCGTTCGTCAGATTCACCTCGAAACCTATTTTAAATTTTTTGCCGAATGCTCAGCTGTTGCTGCATGGTTGTTGGATTATAAAAGTATACTCTATTCTTAATGTAACACCACAAAAAATATTTTTCTGGAGTGAGATCATGGCTTCCTGGTGGCCAGAGATGTCACCCCTGCCTGAAATTATTTTTTTGTGGTAACATGTCTCTTACTATCTAAATGCTCTCAGTTGAAGTGTGACACGCAGCCCCATCTTGATGAAACCAAGTGCTCCGGTCATAACCTTGCGAATTTTGCAGCTTTGAAATCAAAAAGCTTTTCAGCCTACTAGTATAGCGCTCTCAAAAATTAATCATCCTTTCAATGCAACAAACCAATTAAGCAGGCATGAAATCTCACTGCCTCTAAGGCCTCAGCCTCGAGTTTAGCGGGCAGCGGGGCGGGAGCGGCGGCGCATAATACCTAGTCATTGAGCGTATTAATATGTATGTTTTAATATTTATCATACCATGCATTGATCATGATAATAATATAATAACCACTTTTATAATATTTTTAACTCTTGGTGTTAATGTACATAGTTTAAAAAACTATGGATTGCGATTCGCATTTATAAAATTACATATACAATATTATACAGTATCATTTACTACGCGTTTTCTTTTTCCCTCCATTTAGAAAAGTCCGAAAACAGGTATAAATTAAACAATTTTATGACTGTTAAATAGGTATTTTAATAAATTCTTAACATAAAATCTACATACATTTAAGTAGTTTTTACACTATGTAGTCCATTCTTGTATATTTAAATGTTTAGGTAAAACAAAATTGCCTTCTTGCTCCAAAACGCAAGCAATAACTCTAGGTACATTCAATAATGTACCAGACAAAATATGGGGAAAATAATTTTGTTTGTTTTCAACATAAGTAAACATTAATCTTTTGCTAATAAAGTCACCACTGAGGGAGATATTTGCAACTTCAACATAATTTTGCAATGAACTTGAATACATTTCTACCACAACTCTTAATGATTCCCACATGGCCAACTTGTCTGCAGATACAATGCAAATACGAAAATGATATCCTAGTTTGCTATAGAAATTTTTCAAAATTTCAATTAGTTCATTGAGACTTGTATCCAGGTCTTCCGACTTTTTTGTTGCTTCAAAGACTTGTATAACAGAAGCTTGACTAACATGGAACAAGCTGTCTTCAACTGATGGAGATGGTATATACTGCCTGCCCATAGTGAACAGTTTCAATGGCAAAACTTTAGCATGTATCACATTCTTTGCATAGTATGCCATGAATGAACACAGAGAACCACCACCAGTAAGGTGCAGGCGACTATCGACATTCACTTTTGTATTTTCATTGTGATGCAGGATGAAAGTATTGTCCGGATTGGTGTGGTCCAAGCCACAGCCATTTACAATGACACTTTTAACAAAATCAGGGTTTGAAAACTGTACAAAATTAGCCTTTTTCAAAATATTGCTAAAATAAAACTTAGCACTAAGTTCAAATATAGCTGCATCCCCTTTTAAATAATAATTTTCATTCTTTTTTAAATATATCAGATTTAGCTCTTTACCTATCTGAAGGTGATCTTTCTTTGTAGTTGGTGGTGAGAGGTTTGTGAACAAAACTTCATTGTTAGATTCTGGTGTACGGGGATGCAGGGTGTTGGGCAATTCTAAGGCTTCAAGTATAGCTGCCTCTTCAGCAGACCATAAGGGTACTTTTAACTTTTTAATATTTTCTTTAACTAAACTAATTTGTATCTTGAGCTTTTTAGTGATTTCACCCTCTGGGTCATTTTTCATCAGTTGTCCTAGTTCTTTGGATATGTTATCTTTAATTTTGTCATATTCAGACTTACGCTCTTTTAGCTCTTCATATACACCCCAAAGATTTTGTGCTTTATTTAGGTCAAAATTTGCCTTTCTTTTCTGTAGCTCTTCTCTAACAAGGTCTAAGTTTTTCAGCCGATCAGGAAAATCTATGTGTGGTATCACATAAACAAAGTTTTCTGATGCTTTAGCACCATTTATGAATAATGCAGAACATCGTACCGTGGTCAAGTTAATGTTTTGTTTGTTTATGAAATGTTTTATAATTCTGCTATGTAGCATCTTCATCAATTTTTTTCTTTTTGATTGGACTTTCCTCTTCTAAAACGGCATCACCGTCATTATCAGTTATATCGAGTTTCTTGGTGTTTTGTGTTTCAATCTTCCTTTTAGAGGGCTGCTTGAAACTTCCGTAGCCGGCAGCTCTTTCGGATTCCTCGATGCTGTACGGTTCTAATTCGAGAGCTTTTAACCTCCGTTTATGAACTTTTGTCTTGAAATGCTCGGTCAAAGCTTGATCGTCGATGAAGTAACGGGCACAGTGAAGACAGTAATGCTGGGCAGAACCAGGTAGATCTAAGTCCACATCTTGATTCAACAGCTTCTCTGCGTTTTCTACAATAAACACACATAAATTAAAAAGTATTTTATGACTGTTATCGCTTACCAAGTGTACACACGGGAATAACCTCAAAAGTTCTGTCATCCCCACGTGAGAACATACTCAACTTAAAATACATACCTTCTTTTATATCTACATCAATTTGATCCAAGTCCTTCTTTCTATTTCTGAGCCTCCAACGCTTTTTAAGATGAGTATCACCGTGATGGTATTTTTTACGTTTGTATGTCATCTTGAGAGAATTTGCGCAAGTTTCAGTTTGACATTTGTTTGACAACGAGTAACCACAGATTTAGTGACAACATCCCACAGAGCAACATCCACAGATATGGGCAACATCCCATGACAAATTGACAACTGTCACTGGTCACCAGACTTGTTCCGAAAAGAGACGTGAATGGATTTGTCATTCAAAAATTACTAAACGGATAATGATATTTTTTAAATTGAAATTAAAAACGAATGGATTATGGAAATCCCAAGGTTTTAGAAGGTTTGGAAGCGTGAGAACGTGACCTTCCAACACCGCCTCCCAATCCCAAGTCCAACGGATTCCTTATCATTTCGGATGAGCTCATCATTTTATAGCTCCTGTCCTACTTGGTCAGAGTTTTGGGTTTTTTATTCTACTCAAGTCTTGTATGAGATCCATTTGGTAAGGATGGGTAAAGAAAAATACAGATTCATTTATTCATATAATATATTCTTACTATAATTAAATTCAGGAAAACAGTATCATACATGAATAAATACAATGCTAATAAACAATGAACTTTTCTTCAATTAAGTTAATAATTTGTTTTATTATAAAGAAAGATAAATGAATTATAACAATATTATTGATCATAAATTTTTATGATAGGAATGATTTGAATGAACCATTAACATTGATGAATAATTTATTAGTGCACTCTCACTGTAAAATTACAGACCGTAACTTTACGCGGAGTTTGTGAATCTACTTGACGCTATAGAGTACTTCTGGGGACCTGCGATCGTCACGAATAAAAATAGAATCTACAAAAGTATTGTTAAACGAATAATTAAAAATAACGGCACCCAGAAACGCTCTGCGGCTAAAATACGACTCTTATATTAATTATCTAGTGAAGGCATCAATCAAAGTGTGATTCAATACATAACGCAACTAAAGCAACACGCGTGATGGTACAAGTCTCGCACACGCTCGCAAACATTACTCCAAATAATAACATCGTTACCGCTAACTATTCCACCTAAGCTAAACCTAAACGTATTTAGAAAATATTCATTTATATAAAGTAAACTCGAATAATCCGGTGTTATACTTTCAATTAATTTCAGCCGGCCCGTGGATGTCTACGGTTAAGAAACATTATATACATAAAATAGTTAACATCTGAAATTTATACATTTAATTAGTCGTTGATTTGTATTACATGCAATACACGTCGGAACACGCAGGTGAGTAACATAAAACTGCAATATTGCACTGTCTGACGGAACAGCCGGACTGGCAGAGGCCTGCTCATTATAAGGGATTTAGTATAAAAATAAATATTTGATCCACGATAAGTAATAATTTGGGAATACAAAATAATATAATTATGCCTGATTATAAAATAACAATGATAATAGATGACGTCATTCGACCACTAATGTACACGAACATAATAATAATGATCTATTACTTCACTATGCACCTAGTGGCAGATTAAACGTCCAACGGCGAATTTATAATTTGGTCACAGCTGATCGAATAAATTTTAAATTGCGAGTGAGAAGATAAATATACTCGCGAACGATACAATATTTCAATCGATAACGTTAATAACACTTTTTAAACTATTTCAATTCGATATACAGAAATCTATTAGGTTGATGCGCTCAGAAGATTATCTTTATAAATTTAACTGCACATGTTAATATAACGATCGGAACATGCGAGCACATAGACTAACTACGTAAAGCAAAGGGACCCATCTGTGCGGCGGAGTTATCTATTTAATTTTAGCTACTTAAGTGTGAGTTCGGCGCAGAGCTCGTGACGCGACGCGGCAGACTCTGGCGCGGCCGCCGCATGGACGGGATCTCTTCGACGTAAAGCTGTGACATAATTTCAATTTATCTATATAAGACCGCTCTCGGTACCGACAAAAATAAAGCACTTTACTCACGAGAGCTACTCGGCAATCGATATATCAATATAATTTGTACAGGCTAACGATTCAATTTCGTACTATAACATCGGCCGAATCGACTAAATCTACGTAAAGTGTATGGCCTCTATGCACTTCCGACTTAACTATAATACTTTTCTTTACAAAGGGGACGCGAGAATTGAATACTACAACTTTAGGCCTCGAGACGAGAAGGTACTTCGTAAATGTTGACGCGATCGGAGATCGTTCGGTCGCGCTCGGACATCGCAAGTGCATAGAGAACGAATCCGTTGCTGCAAGGAGTCGCCGACGCTCCTACGAGGCTACGCCCACAACGGTAGTAGTAGTATCTATTAACGTCGGTCGATCAAACAGCACCTACCAGACGACTACGGCGTGGACGTATCCAAAGGGTAATAAATAATAAACAACCATTCTGCCGCCAGGGGGGTTATATCTGTATAGCTTGGTATTCGCCGTCGAATGCTTGCAGAGTAATTCAACTTGTTCCTAATAAAGTTTAATCACATTGGTCGTTGGTTTTTCCGCGTGATTGTGGCACAGCTGTTATTGTAGACAATGCAATAATATTTCGAGTTTTTCGACACATCAAACACGCAGCATCCTTGTTACATATGAAACAAGTATGCCAGCTGAGCCGTCATGTCGGTCTCATTTCATGTGACATTATTGACATTTTCAAGGTATGGTGCAATGCTGGGCCACAATGTTCCACAGTCCAATACTCGTAGAATGCGTTATATTGATGTACTATTGCTAGTTTACGTGTCATAAGATTTTAAACTTTCGCGTTCCATTTCAACTAAAAAATAAGACAACGGGTCTTGATATAAACGTCGCGTTATCTTACTATTTTAGCTTGTGTTGTTTTCTGTTCTAGACCAGCGGTTCCCGAAAGGTGGTCCGCGGAACCCTGGGGTTCCGTGGAAAGGCCGCAAGGGTTCCGTAAAAAATATTATCCCACGTTTCGTGACCACGTCGTCGCGCGCACCAACTTGTTTACGCACAAGGGAGGGGCAGGGCGTGCGGGCGGAGTAGTACGGGGGTTCCGCTAGGAAAAGTATAATCAATTAGGGTTCCTTGGCAAAAAAAAAATTGGGAATCCCTGTTCTAGACCAATGCTGTGTTCTTCATCGCCGCAAGCGTTCGACGGCGGTTGTGTAGGGGCGGCAGGGCGACAGTTCGGCAGGGCGACGGTTCAGTAGGGCGCGACCAATGTAGTGTTCTCTTCATCGCCGCAAGCGTTCGACGGCGTTGTATGGGGGCGGCAGGGCGACGGTTCGTCAGGGCGACGGTTCAGTAGGGCGCGCGGCGCGAGCGAGGCGCGGGCGCGGCGCGCGGGCCCTACATGCCGTAGCCGTGGTAGGGCGCGGGCGAGGGCGCCTGCGCGGCGTACGCGTAGGGCGACGCTTGCGCCGGCACGCCGGGGTATGCCATCGATGGACCTGGAGAAACATTACGTTGTGAACAAGGTACTTAAGTAGAGATTTTTTTATTTCAAGGTTACTCCTAAATTGTATGATTGCTATAGGTCTATAGGTCAAAGCAGTTGAAACGCGGGCGTATGTCAAAAATTTAAATATTCGTAAACCGCTTTCAACGCGCTGCTACCGCCCTGCGTCCGGTGTGTCATGCTAATATGGCCGCCATAGTAATACAACAGCGCGGGCCTGCGTTCGCGCCGCTTCTGTCCCGCACCCGCGCCGCCTCGTTTGTATTTCGGCAATTGCAGTGCGGCGCGGTTGGAGCGCGGGCCCGCGTTCAAATTTGGTGTGACATACTTCAAAGAGTTTCTTGTATTACAGCTTGCGCGGGCCCGCATTCAAACTACTGCCCTGCGTTTGGTCTGCCCAAGGCTTTAGTCAGTGCGCGAGTTATGGGAGCGGCACGGGAGGGTGTTTTTTGTAACATCAAATGTCAGCGAGACTTGCAGATTTGTATGTTTTGTCACATCATAATAATTGTCAAAATCATCCCTCCCGTGCCGTCCGCATACCTCACCTCAAACAATGACTAAGTGACCTAATAAATTTCTCCCGGCAGTTATATTTAAGTACAATTCAATTTCAGACATCTCAAAATCTAAATTATTTTATTGAATTTAGTATACCACTAGTGGCACTTATGAACGTAAAAACACAGTAAATAAAAAAGGTAGCCCTTATGGGGCACTTCACATGTCTCCTTATCTTTTGGGCCCTACCAGCGCTTCGAGACAAACATATGGCAAGTGCTGAAAAGAAACGCCGGAACAAACTCAGTAGAAAAACCAATAATATAATGGCAACACTCACCCGCGGTGAGCATAAGCTGCGGCTCCATGATCATGGCGGGCTTGGCCTCGTGCTCGGCGCTCTCAGTGCTGCGTTTCGCGTCCGCCTCCTCAAGCTTCTCTACCTTCGTCGTCAGCTCACGCACCGTCTACAGGTAACAATCATTGTATTAAAAAGAAGCCTTCCTTATTTTATTAGGCTAAAAATGTTCCGTAAATGAGGGTTTTCGCGATTGAAAAATCCGCCAGGTGGCAATACGTAGACGCGAGGTCCAAATGCTGCATGATTGGTTATTTTTGACATGACATTGACAGATATGTCAAAATCCACCAATCATGCGGCATTTCGAGCTCCCGTCTACGTATTGCCATCTGGCGGATTTTTCAATCGCGAAAACCCTCATTGACGTCAAAAATGTAGGCAGTTAAAGAGTTCAAATTGAAAATTGTGTGTTGTAGAAAGGTGACAATTTTATAACGTAGTAGTTGTAGAAGTATTACCTGAATGAGGAAAGGCATAGCGAAGTCCATGATGTTATGTCTCCACGCGAGCTCGATAACAACATCGGGTTTCAGGAGGTCATAACACTGAAATTAAAATAGACATTATTGTAGTTTACACAGAGTAGCACCACTAATGTGACAAGTATGTGAACATCATGCAGGCGTCGGAAGTGTAAGCCAAATCCTTCATAGTCTCTTATAAATTAGCCAGTCGTGATCCTGCAATGAAGACTAATGACCTTATGACACAAAGTCGAAATTCTGTATTATGTAAGATGGTCGTGCAACTGCTGTGGAGAATAAAATTACCGCTAAATTAAGTATTTGCTTCTAAAGCCTTGGCCAAAAGGATGGGTAGCTTGGGGTCATTGGACGGGATTCTACGTGCTCACGGACCAGGCTTTAGTAAGTTATACGCAGTGGAGACTAAATGGCCTGATGATACTTCGAGCAAATTCTCAATTTGCCTGTGTTAAATTCGATGATCGTGTTCCTGCAATAGAAACTAAAGTAGCTGATCATCATCATCATAAACATCATACCTGGTAGAGGCAGGCGGAGAAGCACTCGTAGTTGTCTCGCTCCAGGAACCAGTTGAGCAGCTCCTCGGCCACCTCGGGCTGGCGCGACTCCGACGCGTACTCCATCGCGTCTGCGTATAAGGCGTCCTTCTTGCACAGTTCCACGCTCTGCTTCCATCTGTTGTTGCCTGTAACGAGTAAGATTTAAATCAGAATGGACTGTAATTTGATACTTTTTTTTCTAAAACGGGGAAACGGGGAGATTAAAATATTTTCGGCAACGGATTTAAATTTAGGAAAATAGGATCAGGATAAGACATGGGATATAGGTAACTACTACTAAATACATAACAACTAAAATATTAAATACAAGAACAACAGGTTCATATCTTAATACTATTGAAAAATTTGATACTTATTAGGCTCAATTCACAATGCAATGTCAGCGACGCTGCGCACAATTGTAATGATGAGACATTTTAAACTTTAGTGCAACGTCAAACGAAATGAAAGAGAGATTGGTTGAAGCCTCGTGTCGTGTAGAATCTCTGCTGCTTTGTCCGTTACCATTTCAGCGCTTTGATATTGAGATCATTTAGATAGCAGCTATTTCTTTCCATCAATTTGTTTGATCAAGTTTTCCCAACGATAACTTTAGTAAGTTTCGCTCGCTCACTCTTCAACCAAGACATCCGTCATCTTCTGCTTACCTTTGTACAGGTAAGCGGCGATTCTTCTGAATTCGGTGAGTTCGTGCTTCTCCAATTGTTGCGCCAGCGCAATAGTGTCGAAGTTGTCGAATGCGTCTATCGATGTTCTTAATCCCTGCAAAGACAACCACCAGAACATTGGGTAAGTAACAAAACTTCATACAAGTATTCCTGTCTTTGACATAGATATTTTGAGAGTGATTTAATATTTGCTGACATTTTAGACTGTTACTTATGCAATTTTGCCAACTTAAAAATCGGCTGTCTAGTAACTTTGCACTTTCTTTTTCTATGGCAATGACATTGGTTTTGTAAACTTTTATAATGTCTAAGGCACTATATTGCCTAGCTACGTCACGAACCCGGTCGTCTTACTGATCGATGAGCAGCGAGTTGAGCGCCTTATTTGATGTCATTTTAGGACCAACTATTGCTTGTGAAGTGTTGCCAACTTAAAAATTGGCCGTCAAGTAACTTAGCACCCTCTTCTTGTCTTTTATGACAATGATTTTGGTTTGGATACTTTTAAAACAGTTATGAACCCTATTTACTTCTTTGCACAAGAGCCTCTTTAAACTACAACTTTTGTGCACTTGTTTTTTTACCAGGGCTTAACTACCTAGCTACGTCCCTTACCTGGTAGTCCTCCTCATCAATGAGCAGCGAGTTGAGCGCCTCGTTGACGGCCTTGTTGTTGAGGCTCTGCACGGAGCGCAGGTAAGCCTTGACCAGCTGCAGGTGCCCGGCCTTGGTGAAGAAACTGACGGCGCGCGTGTGGTCCATACGCGGCGCCAGCACTAGGAGCAGGTCGTTCAGGAGGAGCGGCTTGTAGTCCAGGTAGAACTGGATCGCTTTGTAGTATAGCTCCATGTTTGCGACCTGGGAAGAGATGGAGATTGTAAGTGTTAGTAGTCTGGCCAGACTTCGTTTGACTATTGAGTTTAGTTCTCTGTATAGTGACTGTTGTATACAGCGGCGTAACTATACCACCCGAAGCCCGTGGCAAATTCATTTAGGAGCCTTGGGCTCCTGATATGCCATGATACGGTTTATTAGCATAGTCAGGAGTGATCATCAACTACCATCTTCGAATCAGTAATCTGTTTCAATTAAATTAAATTTTATAAAACAATTCTCCGACCTCTTAGGGTCGGGGGGGCCCGACCCGTGGCATTTTGCCAGCCCTGCCACTCTGTACTCATGCCACTNGAGGGTAATAAATAATAAACCATTCTGCCGCCAGGGGGGTTATATCTGTGTAGCTCGGTATTCGCCGTCGAATGTTTGCAAAGTGAAATACAACTTTGAACTATTAAAGTTCAATCACAACGCATTGGTCATTTTTCCGCGTGATTGTGTAACAGCCGATACTACTTTAGACACTGCAATAACTGTTTGCGATTTTCGACACTTCACACACGCAGCTGCATCCTTGTTACTTTATGAAACAAGTATGCCAGCTGAGCCGTCATGTCGGTCTCATTTCATGTGCCATGATTGACATTTTCAAAGCATTAGTGCAATGCTGGGCCACAATGTTCCCCAGTCTTGTACTCGGGGCCGTCCAAAAATTACGCCATCCATTTTTTCAGATTTTAGGCCCCCCCCCCCCTACAATCATCCTATCGTCATTTCTTAATGGACCCCCCCCCCCCTTCTCCCAAAATTGACGTCATTACCAATTTAACAAAATTAAAACATTGCAGATTTGAGAAAAATAGGGTATTATATGATTAAANATGCCACTGGTTGTTTAGATACGTCATACGTAAAACGTAAACGTGCTTAGCAGTTGCTTGCAACGGTTGCAATAGCCATTTTATGTCTGTTGAAATGCATAAAGAATCTGACCCGAAGTTAGGGTCACCAAGACACTAATAGCATCTTTCGCTCGCGCGCTTTAGCTCGTGCAGCGTTGATGCGGCGCTGTCTCATCATCGCCAAGACTACGACGCAAGGTTTTTTCTCGGAAACGTAACAGCGGGGTTATGAGGTTACGTTTTGTGTCCGAAAAAAATGTGCATGTATAATGTACTCACTTTGGTGATGATGTCCTTGAAGTGTCCTTCACGCCAGGCCTCGGTGGGGTGCTGCATCATGGTGAGCGCGGCGTTGTCGAACTCCTCGTACTTGTCGTACAGGAACACCAGCTCCGACCACAGGTGCGCGTGCTCGGCGGCGCGGAGCACCTGGAAACGACAATAGTTTAGAAACTATAGAACTACACTCAACATCAAATAAACCGCACCTTCCGCGACGCGAACTTTAAAGATTTTCTTCTGACACAAACATGGTACCCCAACAATATTGGTGTTATTTGAAAGCCCAATAAATATCCTTAAAGAAAAATACATTTCATTTCTAAATAAATGATTAACATATACCATAAATGTGACTTGAAAATAGACCTCACTTTGGGCTCACCTCTGGGATCAATTAGACCAATTTTTATGGTTATAAAACCAAATAAAGATCTCACGTGTCCTCTTTAACAGATGGATAGCGATTAATCCCAACTTAACAGTTTTACAGTCATAAAAAATGGCTATAGCGTAACTACCTATTTTTTGAAGAAGTGACTCTGGATCCTTGTAAAGACACATTTTTGGGGTAAAAACCTTTCCTTTAATGAAATGAAGTTTAGAACTAGGCTTTCAAATGGTACCAATGTTGGTGGGAAGTGGGGATGCATACGTTTGATAAGTGCTTGTCGCGGGAGGTGCGATTTATTTGATGCCGAGTGTATTTGAATGTTTATTACTGAATTTTAACCTGAAATTAGCAATTAGAGAACCAACTAGACTAAAAAGTAAAACATGTATCGACAATTTTGCACATAATTTTAGAAAAACTTGTGGAACGGAAGTGATAGAATTTGCTCTCTCAGATCATACTGCACAACTACTTCAAGTCCCCGTGAATAATTTGCCGTCTCTCAAATACTGGCGTAAGAAATGTAGAGATTTCAGTAAGGAGCACATTACTAAGTTTAGATACTGTCTTAAACAGTTGACTTTTGCAGACATATATAATACGCAGGATTCGAACAAAGCATTCAATAGTTTTATGGACGACTTTAGACTATTCTATGACTTATGCTTTCCGTTCAAATTGATAACCATACCACTTATGAAAAGGACAAAATGGGTATCCCGGGGAATAAAAACATGTAGCAAGAAAAAGAGACACCTTTTGTGGAATTTCAGGCTTAAACCGACTTCTGACAACAAAAATATATACACTAGATATACCAAACTATTTAAAAAAATTATAAGACTTACGCAACGGGCACAAAACGACTACTCTATAAAAAAATCTTGCAATAAAGCCAAAACTACATGGTCGATTATAAACAATTCAAAAATAAACAAGCCCAAAGACCATATTCAAGAAGTGGAAGTAGATAATAAATTAGTGACAGACCCAAAAAATATAGCTGAACTATTTAATAACTATTTTGTAGAGAAAATAACTCCAGTTCCTGGATCTGGTACTAATGTTAGCTCATATATACAAAGCCAACAAAATTCTATGTTTATGGCACCAAGCCTACCATATGACATTTATTATATCANCTCACCTCTGGGATCAATTAGACCAATTTTTATGGTTATAAAACCAAATAAAGATCTCACGTGTCCTCTTTAACAGATGGATAGCGATTAATCCCAACTTAACAGTTTTACAGTCATAAAAAATGGCTATAGCGTAACTACCTATTTTTTTAAGAAGTGACTCTGGATCCTTGTAAAGACACATTTTTGGGGTAAAAACCTTTCCTTTAATGAAATGAAGTTTAAAACTAGGCTTTCAAATGGTACCAATGTTGGTGGGAAGTGGGGATGCATACGTTTGATAAGTGCTTGTCGCGGGAGGTGCGATTTATTTGATGCCGAGTGTAGAAACAAAGCAATGAAGAAAAAGAAGTTTCTCGCCAGCCAGGTGAGCGGCCAAGGAGTTTGGTCGTATGCGACCTCTACAATAACAATTTCACTAGGCCGTCATTAGACAGACCTGTACATACAGTCAATATTCAGAACTCTATTACCATTTCTACTATGTTTACAGTCAAGGTAGAGCTTTATTACCGTCTGAGGCGGAGCTGCGGACGAATGTCCAACTAGGACAGGGTTGGCAGTGGCACAGTGGCACGCGTGCCAATGATGGCACGCGACATAATATTTTGGGCACGCCACCAATCACAAATTCAGTAATTCAAAAGTAAATAATGTGTTTTGATTATGAGCTGTCGTATTTGCCGTCATCAGTTAGTGCCACTGTAGAGTAAGGTCGTGTCACTCACCAGTGGTGCCACTTGATAGCATTAGGTGTTAATTTAATGGCACGTGTCTATGACTACTTTAATATTTTTTTTAATAGTGGCACGTTCAAACTTAAAGGTTCGCCATCCCTGAACTAGGACAATATCTCGCGGCTCCGTTTCTTCGGGCTCTGGTGGAAACCGTCGGGTTTTAGTGGGTAGGCCCCGCCTTTAGTGGGTAGGCGGGGAGAGTCCCACATAATCCATTGACCGTCCCCATCGACCCGTATGCGCAAAGCATTTCCCGTCGTAAAAAAAGAGCCTTACCAGCGTCCATGTGCAGTATTCAATGCAATCGGACGCGTCACCGGCTTGCGGAAAGGGGAACGCCCTCCAACCATGGAAGGTATAGATTTACTGGGCGGAAAGTAAGCGCGGCAGGTCTCATCAACTCGGGCAACTCGTAGCCCACAATAAAGTGAGCCGAGGGTCGTCGAGGGATTTGTCCGGGCCACAATGCAGGGAACAACTTGAAAAAGGGATCTTCTCTCATCTGGAGGACGGGATAGGGAGTTCCCTCGAAGCCGGAGAGCAGTCCCCATCGATGAGTGGATATGTTATTTCATATTGACGATAATTACACTGCACAACAAAATTGCAACTTTTGGCTGATGATTGACTTTTATTACATGATGTTTACTAATTTGACGTCGCTGATTCTGAATCTGCCGTCCATTTTTTCGTAGCAGCTCTTGTTTACGTGTTATAGCTTTCACTCAAAAATTGCTAAATTTCAGTCTTAATTCGCCGACAGTTCAAAAAATACTATGTTTTCTTTGTATAATTTAATATGGTAGCATTAAGAAGTGTTTGTGTGAATTATCTAAATCAATTTTGTTTCATTTGCGGAGAGGATATGTTTAAATAATCCGTTTAAATGTGACAAAGTTTGTAAAATTGGCTTAAAAAAATTAGTTTGGGGACCCAGTGGAAATGAAAGATAAGCCTTGAATTCCGCAAAAGGCGTGGAAAAGATGCGTTGAGTTTTTACGTTTATAAACAAATAAGAATATGTGTAGATTNTTAACAGATGGATAGCGATTAATCCCAACTTAACAGTTTTACAGTCATAAAAAATGGCTATAGCGTAACTACCTATTTTTTTAAGAAGTGACTCTGGATCCTTGTAAAGACACATTTTTGGGGTAAAAACCTTTCCTTTAATGAAATGAAGTTTAAAACTAGGCTTTCAAATGGTACCAATGTTGGTGGGAAGTGGGGATGCATACGTTTGATAAGTGCTTGTCGCGGGAGGTGCGATTTATTTGATGCCGAGTGTAGAAACAAAGCAATGAAGAAAAAGAAGTTTCTCGCCAGCCAGGTGAGCGGCCAAGGAGTTTGGTCGTATGCGACCTCTACAATAACAATTTCACTAGGCCGTCATTAGACAGACCTGTACATACAGTCAATATTCAGAACTCTATTACCATTTCTACTATGTTTACAGTCAAGGTAGAGCTTTATTACCGTCTGAGGCGGAGCTGCGGACGAATGTCCAACTAGGACAGGGTTGGCAGTGGCACAGTGGCACGCGTGCCAATGATGGCACGCGACATAATATTTTGGGCACGCCACCAATCACAAATTCAGTAATTCAAAAGTAAATAATGTGTTTTGATTATGAGCTGTCGTATTTGCCGTCATCAGTTAGTGCCACTGTAGAGTAAGGTCGTGTCACTCACCAGTGGTGCCACTTGATAGCATTAGGTGTTAATTTAATGGCACGTGTCTATGACTACTTTAATATTTTTTTTAATAGTGGCACGTTCAAACTTAAAGGTTCGCCATCCCTGAACTAGGACAATATCTCGCGGCTCCGTTTCTTCGGGCTCTGGTGGAAACCGTCGGGTTTTAGTGGGTAGGCCCCGCCTTTAGTGGGTAGGCGGGGAGAGTCCCACATAATCCATTGACCGTCCCCATCGACCCGTATGCGCAAAGCATTTCCCGTCGTAAAAAAAGAGCCTTACCAGCGTCCATGTGCAGTATTCAATGCAATCGGACGCGTCACCGGCTTGCGGAAAGGGGAACGCCCTCCAACCATGGAAGGTATAGATTTACTGGGCGGAAAGTAAGCGCGGCAGGTCTCATCAACTCGGGCAACTCGTAGCCCACAATAAAGTGAGCCGAGGGTCGTCGAGGGATTTGTCCGGGCCACAATGCAGGGAACAACTTGAAAAAGGGATCTTCTCTCATCTGGAGGACGGGATAGGGAGTTCCCTCGAAGCCGGAGAGCAGTCCCCATCGATGAGTGGATATGTTATTTCATATTGACGATAATTACACTGCACAACAAAATTGCAACTTTTGGCTGATGATTGACTTTTATTACATGATGTTTACTAATTTGACGTCGCTGATTCTGAATCTGCCGTCCATTTTTTCGTAGCAGCTCTTGTTTACGTGTTATAGCTTTCACTCAAAAATTGCTAAATTTCAGTCTTAATTCGCCGACAGTTCAAAAAATACTATGTTTTCTTTGTATAATTTAATATGGTAGCATTAAGAAGTGTTTGTGTGAATTATCTAAATCAATTTTGTTTCATTTGCGGAGAGGATATGTTTAAATAATCCGTTTAAATGTGACAAAGTTTGTAAAATTGGCTTAAAAAAATTAGTTTGGGGACCCAGTGGAAATGAAAGATAAGCCTTGAATTCCGCAAAAGGCGTGGAAAAGATGCGTTGAGTTTTTACGTTTATAAACAAATAAGAATATGTGTAGATTAACCCTTAACCACTGACGTGTCATTTTGTTACACTAACACTGACGTACGTACGGCATACGTACGTAACTTTGAAGACCTCCTGATGTATCAATAGAGCGTAACTTTGGTGAAATTTGAATTTAAATTATTCACACATGTTTATATTAAACAGAGATAGTAAAATAAACATAGTAACATTAATAGAATAGTATGATATCGGTGAAATCCTCCAGATGTAATAAAATTTAGCTAGGCATTTTTTTTAAATCAACACAAAAATATTCGACAACACTAGGAACTTCTATTTTGGCCATATTAAAGATTAATAACAGTTTTAATCAGGCAAAAATCTCAATAGCAATAATTCACAAATTAAGTCACTTTTTAATACAGTTCATTTAGGAAGGCTATTTTCTATAGTCTTTCTTTGTTTGATGACCTGGTCACCAGTTTGCCGTGCTTCAAACTAGCTAGGAAATATGAAAATATGGTATACAATCTTCAGAAGAAGTCAAATCCAAAGCCATGAACTAAAGCTCCTTCACCATCATGATGATTGTCCTCGAAAACCGCAACTAATATGAAAATTTTCATCCACTGGATTTTTTGCTAATTTCTTCGTCATTTGTAATAATTTTTGGCGTAAATGAGTTTTTTTTATATATAGACGGCCAAGTAAATAAATTAGACTGCTAACAATTAAATTTTTCTATGGACCAACATACAAAAGCGATGTTGAAAAAGTTACACTAACACTGACGTTACGTACCACATACGTCGGGTGGTCTAGCTCTCCTACTTAGGGACGTGCTACCTATCTTTTTTCTCCCGTCGCACACGCATCTCTGGCCACTAGGAAACTACCAAAAAGGACACGCAAAAATTCCCGCACAAAATGAAGTTTTGAACGAAAAACCGTTTGACCGACGTACCACGTACGTACGTCAGTGGTTAAGGGTTAAGGTACGAAACCGCTATGATCTGAAAGGAACCATTGAACCATCGCGACGACTGTTATTTTTATTTTTGAACAAAAATGGTATTAACCAAAAAATATTGAACTAAATAGTAATTCCTTGCATACGTTTGGCATGTAGACGTCTTTTCAACCCTAAGAAGTCACCTGAACCTCATGTTGATACTTCAGATCTAAGTGAAGAACATGGCGAGCAAATCCACCAGGGCCTTTGTACGATAGAGGGACGCTATCAGGGCCACTGGAATGCACACATGATGGCTGACTGCTGTTGAATCATTCAGAAGAGCTGTCTGCCTTCAGCATCAGCAAGGAAGTCAAATAAAAGAAAGTTTTTTCAACTTAACAACTTCATAAAATAGGATCATCTCTAAAAAAAGAGTGTTTTTTTACAAAAAGACCCAAGTGTCATATTTTTTTAACCAGAGCTGATACAGATATTTCAGTCACAGATTTGAAATCGTCATTAAAAATTGGACTAATATCATGTAACATAACCCAATCATCAGAAATGCTGTTGTGCAGTGTTATGTATGTCGAGCGGTGCATGAAACGGCGAGCTTTTAAAAACGACGCCGTTTATAAAATATGGAATCGTACAAATTTTTAAACTTCTTTCTTATCAGCTCGTCGAGTGGCCTCGGGCCTGCCACAGGGACCCACCTTGGGGATGTTGACGCGCGCCCAGAACAGCTCGAGGTGCTCGCGCATCTTGGCGGGCTTGTACTTGGAGTAGAGGATGGCCAGCTCCGTGAACATGCCCATGTGCGCGCGCTCCAGCCCCAGCGCCGCCTCCAGCAGGCTGATCAGCTCGTCGAAGTGGCCTCGGTCCTGGGGAGAAGATAAAACATTCATTAATACATACATGCTATACACTCTTGACTTTTCAATATTTATGCACGCAAAGCGCAATTAATCTTAGGCTAAGGACTCACGGAGCAGTTTCCACCCGTGCCCGCACCGGTGGAGGAATAAGCATTTTATTTCCAAACTCACGGACCGGAGTTCTCTGGTTACGCACCCGCCGCGGTGCGATTGTCTCTCGCAAACTTGACGGGCGATTATCGCAAGACAGGCAGTTTTTTGAGTTCCAGAGTGCTACCACGATCGCCCGTCAACCGATCACAAAGCACGCGGGTACTTCCCGCCGAGGCTACACGTAACTGTAGCGCACGTGATCCCTACTAGTTGCCCGCAGTGAAGCCGTAAATAGCACACGCCACGGGCGTAAAAAGTGCTTAATTTTTTACATAAAATATCTGCCTTCTAAAGAAACTGCGGCCACGCAACCGCAGCAGGCGCGGGTGAACACCGCTTCGTGAATTCTTAGCCTCTGCCTGTGAATTCTTATATTCGGTGTAAGATGCAGTATATCTCGTAACATTGCCCGCCAGCCTACCGCGTCCACATTCGCGAGGTATAATGAACCTTAACACCCCAGTGTAAGGTGCAGTATTACCTGGTAGTAGTTGATGAGGTCCTCCAGCTCATCAGCGTGCACCACAATGTGTAGACCGCACATCTGCGCCAGGCGGAATTCTCCCGCGTCCACGCACGCGAAGCAAACTTCCTTCCACGTGCGCGTCGAGTTAGCCTTGCGTGCGCTGTCCACAGCACCTGGAAACCAATCAATATGGTTAGCTTCCACTTGGTTAGGACACTTAGTACAAAACCAATAGGAATCCGCGCTACGAAAGGCACATGAAAAAGCCGTTGGTCCAACAGGGTAGTTGAAATACCTAATACTAATAATCGACATACTTTTTGAGAGCTGTCAAAACGCGACGCTCCCAATGCTCCCATAGAATAAATGGGGATCCACACTGTAATTATAATTATCTCGCCAGGTAGCGGATCGTTTTTTTTTTTGTTGATATCATGGACGAACTTCCCGATTTTTTCTAGTCATCTGCCCAATTCATACCTTGGAACTCCTTGAGGTGCACGAGCGTTAGCTAGCCGCGCGAAGTTGCTGACGTTATTGTACAGCAGCTTGGCCGCGTTGTACATCATGTCGTCGAAGCAGCGGTCGCCGATCTTCTGGATGTCGGCGTGATTAGAGGCCACGAGACACTCTTCTAAATCTGCTAAGAGGCCAGTACGCGTCTCTCTAATAATACAACCAACCTTGGAACTCCTTGAGGTGCACGAGCGTGATGGCGAGCCGAGCGAAGTCGCTGACGTTATTGTACAGCAGCTTGGCCGCGTTGTACATCTTGTCGTCGAAGCAGCGGTCGCCGATCTTCCGAATGTCAGCGTGATTAGAGGCCACTCTTCTAAATCTGCTAGGCGGCCAGTACGCGTCTCTCTAATAATAAAAATAACCAACCTTGGAACTCCTTGAGGTGCACGAGCGTGATAGCTAGCCGAGCGAAGTTGCTGACGTTATTGTACAGCAGCTTGGCCGCGTTGTACATCTTGTCGTTGAAGCAGCGGTCGCCGATCTTCTGGATGTCGGCGTGGTTGGGCCCCGAGATGAATTCTTCCAAATCTGCTAAGAGGCCAGTACGCGTCTCTCTAATAATAAAAATAACTAACCTTGGAACTCCTTGAGGTGCACGAGCGTGATAGCTAGCCGAGCGAAGTTGCTGACGTTATTGTACAGCAGCTTGGCCGCGTTGTACATCTTGTCGTCGAAGCAGCGGTCGCCGATCTTCTGTATGTCGGCGTGATTAGAGGCCACGAGACACTCTTCTAAATCTGCTAAGAGGCCAGTACGCGTCTCTCTAATAATAAAAATAACCAACCTTGGAACTCCTTGAGGTGCACGAGCGTGATAGCGAGCCGGACGAAGTTGCTAACATTATTATACAGCAGCTTGGCCGCGTTGTACATCTTGTCGTCGAAGCAGCGGTCGCCGATCTTCTGGATGTCAGCGTGGTTGGAGGCCACTCTTCTAAATCTGCTAGGCGGCCAGTACGCGTCTCTCTAATAATAAAAATAACCAACCTTGGAACTCCTTGAGGTGCACGAGCGTGATAGCTAGCCGCGCGAAGTTGCTGACGTTATTGTACAGCAGCTTGGCCGCGTTGTACATCTTGTCGTCGAAGCAGCGGTCGCCGATCTTCTGGATGTCAGCGTGATTAGAGGCCACGAGATACTCTTCTAATCTGCTAAGAGGCCAGTACGCGTCTCTCTAATAATACAATAACCAACCTTGGAACTCCTTGAGGTGCACGAGCGTGATGGCTAGTCGCGCGAAGTTGCTGACGTTATTGTACAGCAGCTTGGCCGCGTTGTACATCTTGTCGTCGAAGCAGCGGTCGCCGATTTTTTGGATGTCGGCGTGGTTGGGCCCCGAGATGAATTCTTCCAAATCTGCTAGGCGGCCAGTGCGCGCGTACGCGTATATCAGCTCTGATTCGATGTATGACTCGCGTGCCTTCTTGCGTGCCATCTGGGAACGAGTATTGTTATTATAATGTGCATACTGGAGGGAGAATAGCATTGCTTGGAATTTTTATGTAGCTCTTGGACAGTAGCATCATTTCAATTTACAAATAAAAATGTAAGAGTACATTTTCACATACATGTCTAGGTTTTGCTTGGATCATACATGTCCTCTTTGGATTAATGTGTCTTGGTCAATAAATGTCGTAATGAATTTGTTTACTAATACTATAGTAATTTTATTTGTCAGTCTAGTCAGACCATACTCGTCAACAAGCAAGTGCTAATATGGATAACCCTCGTAATCCACTAGGGGCCACCAGTTGCGAGACATGACCTGGTGGCCTTTCGGAGCACAAATAATTCCAGACTTCTTACCTGGAGGTACCGCACGAGGTCTTCCCAAGACTGCTGCTCTGTAGCGGTGGCCACGACGTCCATGTAAGCGGAAGGATCATCAGCCTTGATGTAGGAGTCGATGGCTTCCTTCACGAGCCCCTGCTGTAGCTGAGCCTTGGCCAGCTGCGACCAGACGCCTAGCTTGTTGGCATAGAGCTCACCTGGAGATACCGCACGAGGTCTTCCCACGACTGCTGTTCTGTGGCGGTGGCCACGACATCCATATATGCGGAAGGATCATCAGCCTTGATGTAGGAGTCGATAGCTTCCTTCACGAGCCCCTGCTGTAGCTGAGCCTTGGCCAGCTGCGACCAGACGCCCGGCTCGTTGCAGCGCTCAGCGAACTCGTAAGCGCGCTCCAGGTCTTTCACTTGTTCTATCAACACCTGGGGATATAGAAACAACATGTTTGAGAATCAAAATAGTACTGTTTTATAAGTTTGTTTGAAATCTATAATCTGTAAGAAGAGGTAGCATCGAGTGGTATCGATTAGCCCCATGCATGATAAACACAAAAAAAAAATACAAAAAGCGATACATATTTGTTGCGCAGGCGCAACTGTTCAATTATCAAAATATCAGTGATCTAATTTCAAAATTTGCTCTTTAAACTTAGTCAAGATCGATTTTATACTTTACCTGAATGGCAGAGGTATTGACGTCGAACTTCTTGAAGATGGCGAAGGCTTCTTCGTAGAGTTCATTGTTGATCGCGATATTGGCGATGTCAGGCGCATCGTAATTGTCCAGACGGTTGATGTATTCCATTACGCGGGACCGGTCCGCCTTAATTGCTGTGAACATAAGGTTCAATTTTATACACATGCTAATAGATTAGACCCTTATTTACAATCTCAAACTTAGACGAATCTTACCTGTGAGGATAAGCAAGTTTTGCAGGTTCCTGTGGTCTGAGAACACAGAATTGTCCAGAACAATCTTCTCTAGCAGCTCAATCAGTTCATTGGGCAGGTCGGCGGTCATGAAAGCTTTCACTGTCACTGAGATATCTTCAGGATCTTGTGTTTCTGAGAGGGCTGTTTGCACGACCTGTGATTTAGAGATATATTTTTAGGAATGTTTGTTGATGATGCCCCCATGACAGTATCATAGTTTGCACCACATGACGCTTCGTTTCCTAGTATCTTAAACCATGTGACATGGAATTGCTAGTTTTAGTTCCGAGAGTGAGAACCTTTACAGATTTGGTCGGCGATTTCTAAGCTTATTACTTCTCATGAAGTAATGGTGTTATGCGGAGGAGAATCTTGCTGCAATAGCTCTGAGCGCACCCGCGACATAGTGTCTCGAATATACAATCTGATTATTAAGCGTTAAGCCATTGTTTCTGTGGTGGTAAAGCCCGGTCTCCGAGCACGTAGAATTTTGTCCAATGACCCCAAGCTACCCATCCTTATCGCTCGCGCGTAATTATATTGCTGTCGCGTCTGTGCGACGGGCGCCCGCACAGCAACATAATTACGCGCGAGCGATAAGGATGGGTAGCTTGGGGTCATTGGACGAAATTGTACGTGCTCGGCGACCAGACTATAGTGTGTCTCACCTGGTCGATGAGCTGTCGCTTGTAGGGGTTGGCCTCGGAGAGCACCTCGAGCCAGAGTTCCTGGTCGCGGCGGCGCACCAGGTAGCGCGCCTGCGTCTTGAACAGCGAGTTGTCGTTGCACACGGCGATGAGCTCGCGGTCACATTGACCCCGCTCGTATGCAACGCAAGCGAGGTGCGGGTCGCGCTTCTCGCAGTAGCGGCCCACTACGCGCGAGTCGTACCTGCAAGACATTATTATAGCTAAGCGGTTGCTCAAGACTTCTTATTGGGATAATACATTCATTCACATTACGAGGGACTAACGCTTGGCCTAGTGGTTCGCGTCAGACGCCGGTTTGAGCTCTGCTACGGACGCCCCCCAACGCACATTTTTAAACCGATCTCCAAGTGCTGCATACTATTTTTCTATACAGACGCCTCCACATGAGTTTTAACGTAGACCCTAAGATGAAACGCACGCGGGCGTTCGTACGAGACCGTAGCAGGCTACTCCGAAACGCTGTTTACGCTAGGTCTATCAGTCACCGTCGATCATGCTGGCATCGCGCTTTGAGTGAAACTGATGGCAACATTCAAAACTTCGGATAACGTTTTACGTAACTTAACAAGTATTCCCGCAGAGACCAGGGCCTGGCAGGGTACAATGTTAACAGTTTGTGCACTCACCACTGGTTCTCCTTGAGGAATCTTTCAGGGTTGTTGTTGGAGTCGATGTAGATCTTGGCGAGCGCGTTGTGTGTGGCCGGCTCGTTGCAGCCCTCGTGGACTCTGGTCTCCAACCAAGGCAGGAGGAGTTTCAATCTAGAATCAAGGTTATAACGATATAGCTTAAGATCTATTTTAGGTCATCAAGCCTACAGCTTTTCGTAAACTTTCAACAATTTATATTCCAATATGAACATTTTCAATTCAGGATTCAGTTATTTGAATTTTTTACCCACAACGAGAAAGCTGGCCTGCATATCATCCGATGAAGAGTGATGATCATGATATATTTGAGCCAATGAAAAAGCACCAGAATAATCTAAATATTCTGCATAAAAAACTTGTTGGGAAATGGACTGACTTTAGAAAAACAGGCAAGAGAAATAGTGAAATCGCAAAGGACAATCATAGTTTACCTTATGAATAATTTTTACAAATAAATTACGCACCTGTTGCGTTTCTCGACTTCAGCCACCAGCTCATCAGTTGAGAACTGCCCACGTACCACCAAGATCAGGTTCTTGATAATGTCTTCTGCGCAATCCACGTCCAGTAGCCCACCCACTACTACAGGCAACCTCGAGGGGTTTACCTAAAAATATTACATTACAATTAACTACATGAAAAACTCTGTGGATCAATTGTTGGCAGGGATTTCATTTTTCTTCTCATAATATGTTCCGGTCACATGAGATGACAACCAGTGACGGCTAAGTTGGTTCTATGGGAATGTTATTGCCAATGGATAAATACCTTTTTAACTTAATCTAAAAACAATAAGAGTTCGAAGCTAAAAATCAGCTCTTTTCTTGTGTCCAATCCATCACGTCTCGCAGAACTACATCTATCATACATAATATAGAACAGCCGGGCTAGGATGCGCGCCGTGATAAAATTTTATCGATGATTTTAGTCGACAAACGTATGGGCCTATCGAAAGATCGATAAAATGGCGCGATAAAAGCTTTTCACGGCGTTCATGCCGTTCATCCTAGGCCTACAGTACTCAGTGCCAATCTATACTAATATTATAAATGCGAAAGTAACTCTGTCTGTCTGTCTGTCTCGCTTTCACGCCTAGACCACGGAACCGATTTTGATGAAAGGACAATGTTCGTTCTCCATACATTGTTCGCCTAAAGAACCAACAATTTTGACATATTACTACCCGAAAGCGAAATAATACGATTCTGTGTGTAAGAACAATGATTCCTGATGGACACTTGCCATAAAATTAATGATTAAGAATATTAAATCACAGCGATTTTATAATATGTCGTTTATGACAACATGGCGTCTAATGTATTGTGTGAATGTATGAACACCGATTCGCGAAAAATGTTTTGTATTGTCGTCACGCCGAGTCGCAGCCAAATAGTATAAAATAATAGAACAAGTTTTAGAAATACAACTCGGCATTCCACTTTTACAATATGCCCACATATTGCACGTAAATAAACAACATGAATCGTAGGTTGTTTCCACCCTTGTCATCTGACACATGAAATAAACTCCTATTGTATTATAGATATCGAAGCCGAATCGTATATAATAATAGAATGGGTTTTGATAGTTTCGGATAAAGGCGGAGTCTAAGGGTACAATTATTCCAAACTGCAAAACTCTATGAAATCTGCAGTATACACGCCGCAGCAGCAATGCCGCGCTGCCGATTTCATAGAGTTTTGCAGTTTGCGGTCTGCGGCCCGTCTTGGAATTGTACCTTAAATCTTAATATTTGTTACCAACTTGTCTGGCATTCCCTGGCACCATCTAATATGCCAGCCTGTTTAACCTTTATCATACATAGGTGTCCTCTTAGTTGGTACATAAAGTAGCTATGTGGGTCACGCAGCATCTTGCTATTTGAATTATACCTACATTTTTGAAATTCTAATAATTCCGTAACCGAAATTATCCGAAACTTTCGGATAATCTGAAATGATTTCATATCCGTGACCGTAACCGAAACCGGTATAATATTATTCTTATATCCGTAACCGTATCCATAACCGAAACTTCATATCCTTATTATCCCTGTTACCAAGTAAGTACAAGTGCAGGCAGAGCAGGTAGTAACGGCGCGCACGCACGGGTGACTTTTGTCACAGTATGTCAACTACTAATTACTGTCATGGTGACAAAAGTTTCTGTGACTGACTGTACGGTAGTCAGTCACAGAAACTTGAATTTTGGGCACATTAGAATAATAATTTTTAACCAAGGTAGATAAAGTTAAAAACGGGATTATTTCCAAAAAACCAAAAATTGTCGACAATTACAGCAAGAATTTACCAAGTGTTATACCATTTTGGAATCCTTACTAAATGCGCCAAATTATGACGTCACATGCCACACTTGCGTAGTACTTTTTTTTTTCAGTACAGTCAGTTTAAACTAGACAAAAATTTTATTTTGAAATTTTTTTTGGGAATAATGTATTTTTTTTATCCAAGCTGGAGCAGCTGGTTTTGTAATTTTGATAACAATTTAGAGAAGCATTATTCAGGGTTACATAACAAAAAAAAAATTTGGAAAAAGTGAAGATTTGTGGCAACACGAGTAAAAAGACCGTCACCTGGAGTAGAAATTTTTGATTTTTTTTAAATGCCCATTATTTTGAAAATATGCCACATAGATTTTTTTTTATATTTTTCTGATAACCAGCATAACTTGCCTCAACACCCAGTTCCGGCTTGACGTTACATTACGGGACACCCTGTATATATAGTATACAGCTTGCTGTTGTGACGTCATACTACAACATTTGTTCAGTGTGCGCTACGCTCCCGACCTGCGAGTACGATAACAGCTGAGCGGAGCGTTTTAGCGTGACGTCACGCGTGCATAACTTTACCAAGCGAAATATTTGAGGTGCCTGTAACCGAAACGGAACCAAGGAGTAATCCAGATCGGAGTTGCGCACGGAGGCTGCGCCAGGCGAAACTCGCCCGCATGCCACAAAGCATATTGGATCTTCACCCTGTGATGTAAGGTGCATTATAGTTCACAACCTACCTGGTAGTAGTTGATGAGGTCCTCCAGCTCATCAGCGTGCACCACAATGTGTAGACCGCACATCTGTGCCAGGCGGAACTCTCCCGCGTCCACGCACGCGAAGCAAACTTCCTTCCATGTGCGCGTCGAATTAGCCTTGCGTGCGCTGTCCACAGCACCTGGAAACCAATGAATGTGGTCAGTTTTCACATGGTAAGGACAAAACCAATAGGAATCTGCGCTACGAAAGGCACATGAAAAAGCCGTTGGTCCAACAGGATATTTGAAATAATTATCATCGACATACTTTTTGAGAGCTGTCAAAACGCGACGCTCCCAATGCTCCCATAGAATAAATGGGGATCCACACTGCAATTATATCTCGCCAGGTAGCGGATCGTAATTTTTTTTTTTGTTGATATCATGGACGAACCTCGATTTTTTCTTGTCAACTGCCCAAATTCCTACCTTGGAACTCCTTGATGCAAGTTGCTGACGTTATTGTACAGCATCTTGGTAGCGTTGTACATTGTCGGCGTGATTAAGCCCTGAGATTAATTCTACTAAGTTGGCGAGGCGACCAGTGCGCGGATATCTCGCTAATAATACAATAACCAACCTTGGAACTCCTTGAGGTGCACGAGCGTGATGGCGAGCCGAGCGAAGTTGCTGACGTTATTGTACAGCAGCTTGGCCGCGTTGTACATCTTGTCGTCGAAGCAGCGGTCGCCGATCTTCTGGATGTCGGCGTGGTTGGGCCCCGAGATGAATTCTTCTAAGTCTGCTAAGAGGCCAGTACGCGTCTCTCCAATAATAATACACCAACCTTGAAACTCCTTGAGGTGCACGAGCGTGATAGCTAGCCGCGCGAAGTTGCTGACGTTATTGTACAGCAGCTTGGCCGCGTTGTACATCTTGTCGTCGAAGCAGCGGTCGCCGATCTTCTGGATGTCGGCGTGGTTGGGCCCCGAGATGAACTCTTCTAAGTCTGCTAGGCGGCCGGTGCGCGCGTATGCGTATATCAGCTCCGATTCGATGTATGACTCGCGTGCCTTCTTGCGCGCCATCTGGGAACAAGTATTAGGTTATTATAATGGGTATACTGGATGGAGGATTGCGTACCTTTGAGCATAGAGTTCATTGCAGTACAATGATTTTTTATATAGCTCTTGGACAGCAACAATGGTAATGGGTTATTAAAATGTGGAGGAAGGATAGCGTACCTAATTTGAGCATAGAGTTCTTTGTAGTACAATTAATTTTTATATAGCTCTTGGACAGTAGCATAATTCAGTTTACAAATAAAAATATAAGAGTACATTTTCACAAACATGTCTTGGTTTTGCTTGGATCACACATGTCCTCTTTGAATTACCGTACTTGGTCAGAATTAAAATACGATTTATCAATCTGAAGGTATAAAGAAAATAATATTATGTTGTAAGTTGTTTTGAATGTCTAGTCAGAACTTACTCGTAAACAAGTGCTAATATCCTCGTATTCACTAGGGGCCACCAGTTGCGAGACATGACCTGGTGGCCTTTCGGAGCACAAATAATTCCATACTTCTTACCTGGAGGTACCGCACGAGGTCTTCCCAAGACTGCTGTTCTGTGGCGGTGGCCACGACGTCCATATATGCGGAAGGATCATCAGCCTTGATGTAGGAGTCGATTGCTTCCTTCACGAGCCCCTGCTGTAATTGGGCCTTGGCGAGCTGCGACCAAACGCCCGGCTCATTGCAGCGCTCAGCGAACTCGTAAGCGCGCTCCAGGTCTTTCACTTGTTCTATCAACACCTGGTGATACAGAAACAAGATGGATTAGAGACGCGATGAGAAATAATATAGCATTGTTTATAGTTTTGTTTAGAAGAGGTTTACTACCACTCAATGTATGGCAATGAATATAATTTTCGTCTATGACAGTCAATCTCATTCAAAAGCAATAAATTGCCAATAAACGATACTTATTTGTTGCCCAGGCGCAATCGTTCAATATCTGAATATCAATTAATACTCTTATTTCCAATTTAGCTCTTTAAACTGTAAGTTTAAATAGATTTTATACTTTACCTGAATGGCAGAGGTATTGACGTCGAACTTCTTGAAGATGGCGAAGGCTTCTTCGTAGAGTTCATTGTTGATCGCGATATTGGCGATGTCAGGCGCATCGTAATTGTCCAGACGGTTGATGTATTCCATTACGCGGGACCGGTCCGCCTTAATTGCTGTGAACATAAGGTTCAATTTTATACACATGCTAATAGATTAGACCCTTATTTACAATCTCAAACTTGGACGAATCTTACCTGTGAGGATAAGCAAGTTCTGCAGGTTCCTGTGGTCTGAGAACACAGAGTTGTCCAGGACAATCTTTTCTAGCAGCTCAATCAGTTCATTGGGCAGGTCGGCGGTCATGAAGGCTTTCACTGTCACTGAGATATCTTCAGGATCTTGTGTTTCTGAAAGAGCTGTTTGCACGACCTGTAATGAAGAGATATTTTAGGAATGTTTGTTGATGGTGCCACCATGACAGCATCATAGTTTGTACCATATGACGCTTCATCGTTTTCTAATATCTTAAACCATGTGACATGGAATTGCTAGTTTTATTTCCGAGAGTGAGAACCTTTTCAGATTTGCTCGGCGATTTCGAAACTTATTACTTCTCATGAAGTATTGATGTTATGTGGAGGAGAATCTGAGCGCACCCGCGAGTGTCTTGAACATATCATCTGATTATTAAGCGTTAAAGCATTGTTTCTGTGGTGGTAAAGCCCGGTCTCCGAGCACGTAGAATTTTGTCCAATGTCCCCAAGCTACCCATCATTATCGCTCGCGCGCAATTATATTGCTGTCGCGACTGTGCGACGGGCGCCCGCACAGCAACATAATTACGCGCGAGCGATAAGGATGGGTAGCTTGGGGTCATTGGACGAAATTGTACGTGCTCGGCGACCAGACTATAGTGTGTCTCACCTGGTCGATGAGCTGTCGCTTGTAGGGGTTGGCCTCGGAGAGCACCTCGAGCCAGAGCTCCTGGTCGCGGCGGCGCACCAGGTAGCGCGCCTGCGTCTTGAACAGCGAGTTGTCGTTGCACACGGCGATGAGCTCGCGGTCACATTGGCCCCGCTCGTATGCAACGCATGCTAAGTGCGGGTCGCGCTTCTCGCAGTAGCGGCCCACTACGCGCGAGTCGTACCTGCATGTAACAAAAAGTAAGTGGCTCAAGACTTGCAGATTCTAATGAGAGAATGAGGGTTTTCGCGAATTGAAGATCCGCTAGATGGCGGGACGTGGATCTGGGGTCTGACTGCAGCGTGATTGGTGGATTTTGACATATCTGTCAATGTCATGTCAAAAATAACCAATCATGCAGCATTTGGACCTCGCGACTACGTATTGCCATCTGGCGGATTTTTCATTCGCGAAAACCCTCATTGAGATTTGGATGATGTAGGACGGGGGACTGCCGCCTGGCCTAGTGGTTCACGATCCAGACTACTTTGGACGGATGTCCGACGCGGGCCTGCGCGCATATTAATGCTCGTGGCGTGCGGCCGCCCCACGCCACGCGTGTTCAAACCCATCTACAGCGTGTATAGAGAAATCTTGCGCCTACGCGAATTCTAGCTTAGACTCTAATTACGCGAGCATTCGCCATTCTTATGTGACCGCAGCAGGGCTACTCCGAAACGCTGTTTACGTAGTTTCGAGTCTGACTGTCACCTTCGCTTTTGCTGTCATCTCGCTTTGCCTGAGAGGGATGGGAGGGAGAGGGAAACATCGGATAACGTTTTTCTGAGTAACCCCCGCAGAGACATGCAGGGTAAAATGTTAATGTTTACTAGTCTATGCACTAGGGTGGTCCTTATTCCTACGAAAAAAATTTTTTTTCTTATATTTTGCGGGGCACCACGTAATTTGAATATATATCATATGAAAGTCTTTCATTATTTTTTTCTTAATTTTTAAAAGACATTTAGGGGTCGCTACCAAGGTTTGAATTTTAAGTNTAGTAGATATAAGTCACCTTCTGCACGTAGATCTCGATGTACTTCTGCAGGCTGTTGCGGTAGAGATACAGCACGAGATCGTGCACGAAGTCGAAGCGGTCGCACACGATGATGAGCGGCAGCTGGTCCGGCAGCTTGGCTTCTTTCAAAAAGTTCTTCACGCGCTCCGCGTTGTAGCAGTTCGATTCCCGGCAGATGCGCTCGACTTCCTTGATCTGTCCGGTCTTGCAGGCGGCCTGGTAAGATAATGTTTCGAGATTAGTAACATTGCAAGAACAAAGCAGGCCTTACTACCTCTCCCTCAATTTCTCCTGGTTGTCGTAAAAACGACTAAGGAATAAATATGTGAACAACAGGCCTCTCTAACCTATCTGGTTAACGTGGCCCTTCCCCACGTAGGCCAAATCATGCTATAACTGTTAAATTTTTCAATCAAAAGTCGACAATGGCGACAAAAAAGTCAATTACAATACATGAACTGTCTTTCTTCATATTCAAGATCAGCTTGACCCTTGGTTTACATAAAATAGTCATCAATTGCAAGAAATATCAACAACAGATGGATATAAAAGCTTAAAGAGGACCATCATACTTATTTGTAGCATTAAAACACAAAACTACGTACCTGAATATACTTGAAGTGCACTTCAGAATCCTGGCTGAAGTTGACAATAGATCCGAGGAAGTAGAACAGGCCCTCATAAGTCTTGAAGCTCTCGAACAGTTCGATAAGCGCCTTGGTAGTCAGTTGCTCGTGGTATTTTGTGGCGATTTGCACACAGATCTGGAGGTTCTGTCTGATGTTGGCTTGGAGCATGGCCTTGAGGCATTCGAGCGAGTCTTCCACTGAGAGACTGCCGAAGTAAGAGACTAGCCAATCGGCGGATAGGAGGTGGGTGTGGACCTGTAAATGTAATAAAAGTAACATTAGTAATTCGTAAGACATAATTTTCGTTTCTACAGTTGCTTATACAATGTATTTTAATATGAAGTTTGGCTACAAGATGGCGTTGATACTTTCTCTAAAACTCGGTGTTTAAGTTTTTAGCCAATCTCTACAAACCTCCATCCAGAAGGTGGACCGACGACCTCATAAAAGTAGCTAGCAGGAACTAGGAAGGCGCTGGATGCAGGCCGCTACCAACCGCGCGATATGGAAATCATTGGAGGAGGCCTATGTTCAGCAGTGGACGTCCTGTACCTGAAATGTGATGATGATACAAACCTACCGAGTTTTTTATAAATGTGGGTTATTAAGTTGAGGAATTTCCAATTACTAACTCGGTAACCTGCAACCTGATCGAGCTCGCGAATCTCCCCGCGTTCACCTCGTCCTTACCTAGAGCGTCGATGTGACGTCACGGCCACCAGTTAACTCGATCGAGTTGTACACGAGTGATATTTTATTGAACCTGATTAGCCGCGTCCACATCGGGCGCATAGGCTCGCTTGACATTCTGCTCGCTCTGGTCTCCAGTGAGCAGGACAGGATGTCAAGCGTGCCTCGCGAACCCATGCGGCTATTTTTTTTTATACACAACNGTGCCCCGGGGATAATTCAAAAGTCCAAAAATAAGGACCACCCTACTATGCACTCACCACTGGTTCTCCTTGAGGAATCTTTCAGGGTTATTGTTGGAGTCGATGTAGATCTTGGCGAGCGCGTTGTGTGTGGCCGGCTCGTTGCAGCCCTCGTGGACTCGGGTTTCCAACCAAGGCAGGAGGAGTTTCAATCTGCAATCAAGGTTATAATGGTTATTGATATGTTATAGTCAAACCTCGAAGTTCCGGCACTCCTAGGTTTGACTAGTCAGTCCTCAGGTCTGACTAGAAGTCTTAGTCAAAGCCCAAACATTTCGGCCTTTGACTAAATAATGTTAGTTAAACCTAGGAGTAACTAATTTGGTCAGGCAAAGGTCGAAACTCAATTTAATGAAATCGGGGTTTGACTAGTCAAACCTCAATGAAGACTAAACTAAACTATACTTCATTCTGATCTTGAACTTATTGCATAGGCGTTACGGTCGGTTTTCACGCGCACGCGCAGCTGTCTCTTTAGGTGAAGGTACGAGTAACTAAACTTATTTACTGAGGCTGTTTGTCAGTGTTTCTAGATCGATCTTGAAATTACTAATTTTTAGGGTTCTGTTACCTTAAATTAAAGGATAAAGAGTTAAAATGCGACCCTTAGCGACAACCTTTAGCGAAGTCATAGTAGACTTCGCTAAAGGTTGTCTGTCACCAAGCTCGTATCTCATGAATCATTCTCAAAATATTTAGTTTTTTATTCACCTTAAAAATAAATAGTTTTAGTTATTATCTTGCTGTGTACCTACTTGCATCGAATAAATATTTTTCTTTCTTTCTTTCATTTAAGAGGGGCTCCCATACAGCAAACGTGACTTGTTGCAGTTTTCTACTCGATATTAAAACGTAAACAGGTGAACCCTTGAAATAATCACATAATATTTAGTTGCATATCTATTTTAAAAATAAATCATAAAATTAAAATAAAATAAATTTTTATGGGGGGCTCCCATACAACAACAAAGTCTTACGGAACCCTTCGTGAGCGAATCCGACTCGCACTTGGCTGGTTTTCTATTTGCCGTCTACTTTTGACCGAGTCTGCCAGTCGTTTCTAGGATTGACTAGGCAAAGCCCGAAAGAGATTATTTTAGTTTCGACGTTTGACTGAACAGTTTAGGCACTTCTAGGTTTGACTTAGTCAAAGGCCGAAATAAGAATTCACTTCGAGGTTTGCCTGAAGGCCTTGGTCAAACCTAGGATAGACCAGTCATTCCGCGAAGAGACTGCATATCGACCTTTGACTATGACAGATACATAATTTAAATCGATTTTAGGTCATCAAACCTACAAGTAACAGCAGGTTTACATAAACTTTCAATAAAAATACTTTCAGTTTAGGACTCTTATTTGATTTTTTTACCCACAACGAAGTTGCCGGCCTGCATATCATCCGATGTCTTCATCGGATGATATGCAGATAAGAGTGATATCATGATATATTTGAGTCAATGAAAAAGCACCAGAATAATCTAAATATTCTGCATAAAAAAACTTGTTGGGAAGTCAACTGACTTTAGAAAAACAGGTAAGAGAAATAGTGAAATCGCAATGAACAACCATAGTTTAAAGTGCCTAACTTACGAATATATTTTTTAAATTATTTACGCACCTGTTGCGTTTCTCGACTTCAGCCACCAGCTCATCCGTGGAGAACTGCCCTCGTACCACCAAGATCAGGTTCTTGATGATGTCTTCTGCGCAATCCACGTCCAGTAGCCCGCCCACTACTACAGGCAACCTCGAGGGGTTTACCTAAAATATTACATTACAATTAATTATTTGAAAAACTGTTTGTGGATCATCAGGGATTCTATTTTTCTTATCTCATATATTCCGGGATTATGAGGTGACAACCAGTGACGGCTAAGTAGGTTCTATGGGAATGTTATTGCCAATGGATGAACACCTTTTCGACTTAATCTAAAAATAGGAGTTCGAAGCTAAAAATCAGCTCTTTTCTTGTGTCCAATCCATTACGTCTCGCAGAACTGCATCTATCATACATAATGTAGAACAGCCGGGCTAGAATGCGCGGCGTGATAAAATCTTATCGATGATTTTAGAAGTATGAGCCTATCGCGAAAAATCGATAAAATGGCGCGATAAAAGCTTATCACAGCGTGTATCCTTTTTTTTCGTCAGAAAATGCATGAAATTACATACCCACTGGCCCGGAGGAACCAGTGGGTTATGTGAGGCTCTCCCTGTTGGATGGGCAGGGTCTTCTCACTAAAACCTGACTGTGTCCTCCCAAAGTCTTTAGGACGGAACTGCGAGTTATTATCCGAGCTGGACGGCCTAGACCTACTAGAGCAGGGTTTCCCAATTTTTTTTTGCCAAGGAACCCTAATTGATTATACTTTTCCTAGCGGAACCCTACTTTGATAAATGGAAATTTAATTGAAAAATAATAAAGTTTTTATGCAATTATTTGTAAACAAGTCGGTCACCTTCTGCACGTAGATCTCGATGTACTTCTGCAGGCTATTGCGGTAGAGATACAGCACGAGATCGTGCACGAAGTCGAAGCGGTCGCACACGATGATGAGCGGCAGCTGGTCCGGCAGCTTGGCTTCTTTCAGGAAGTTCTTCACGCGTTCGGCGTTGTAGCAGTTCGATTCCCGGCAGATGCGCTCCACTTCCTTGATCTGTCCGGTCTTGCAGGCGGCCTGGTAATTTTGATATGAAATTAGTAACAATTTAAAAGCAAAGTAGACCCTATAATATAACCTATCGCTCACTTTCCCCGTGGCTGTCGTAAAAAGAACATATGTGTGAACATCAGGCCTCTCCAACCCATCTGGTCAACGTGGGGAGTATAGACCAAATGATGCAGGGACATACTTTTAAAGGTATTTCAATCATAAATCGACAATGGCAACAACAATACTGTCTTTCTTCAGATTCAAAATCAGCGTAACTCTAAGTTTACTTAATAGTCATCAGTCGACAGTATTATGGCAACAGACAAATATAAAAAGCTTAAAGAGGACCATTGTACTTGTTTGTAGCATTAAAACTCATACACACCTGAATATACTTGAAGTGCACTTCAGAATCCTGGCTGAAGTTGACAATAGATCCGAGGAAGTAGAACAGGCCCTCATAAGTCTTGAAGCTCTCGAACAGTTCGATAAGCGCCTTGGTAGTCAGTTGCTCGTGGTATTTTGTGGCGATTTGCACGCAGATCTGAAGGTTCTGTCTGATGTTGGCTTGGAGCATGGCCTTGAGGCATTCGAGCGAGTCTTCTACTGAGAGGCTGCCGAAGTAAGAGACCAGCCAGTCGGCGGATAGGAGGTGGGTGTGGACCTGTAAATGTAATAAAAGTAACATTAGCAATTCGTAAGACACAATTTTCGTTGCTACAGTTGCTTATACAATGTATTTTAATATGAAGTTTGGGTACTAGGGATGGCCTAGTACCCAAACATCATATTAACTTGTTCAAACTTTCTCTAAAGCTAAAGTGTCTAAATTTTTGCCAATCTCTACAAAGCTCCACCCACAGGGACGTCCTCCCAGAAGGTGGAGCGACGACCTCGTAAAGGTAACAGGAAGGCGCTGGATGCAGGACGCTACCAACCGCGCACTATAGAAATCATTGGGGGCTTATGATCAGCAGTGGACGTTCAGTGGCTGAAATTATGATGATATAAACCTATTGAGTTTTTAATAAATGTGGGCGATTGAGTTGAGGAATTTCTAATTACTAACTCGGTAGTCATCTTCGTTGACTGTCATTGTAAGACGACAGTATCCTACAACCTGATCGAGCCCGCGAATCTCCCCGCGTTCATCCCGTCCGTACCAGTGTAAATGTGACGTCACGGCCGCCAGTACACTCGATCAGGTTGTACACGCTGTGATATTTCCTTGAACCTGATTAGCGGCGGCCACATAGGGCGCATAGGCTCGCGAGACACGCTTGACATCCTGCTCACTCTGGTCTCGAGCGAGCAGGACAGGATATCAAGCGTACCTCGCGAACCCATGCGGCTATTTTTTTTTATACACAACGAGGAAGCTCTTGGTCTGTATCTCACCTGATGATCAGGCCAAAGGTGGAAGCGAGCTTCACCCGGAATCCTCAACCACGGAGGAACTGGATATCTTACCTCTAACTGCCGGAACACAACAATGCTGTTAACATTGTTGTTATGGCGACAGACTTAGGCAAGATGGTGGTAGCTAGCCAGGCGGACTTAGAACAAGCCCTACCACCAAACCGAACAGAAAAATCTGCACGCACTAGGAATCGAACCCGGGACCTCTGCGTCTGAAGCAGGTGGTCTTACCACTAGACCACAGAGGCGGTTAGATATTTATGCACTTACCACGGCGCGCTTGATGTCATATAGATCGGTGTAGTGCTCAAGCGCACGTTGCAGTAGTCCTGCCTTCTCGCACAGCTGCGCCACGTGCGCGCGGTCGTAGTGCGTGAACATCGCGTTGCCGAGGATCGCGTCTGCCACTTGGGGAGCTGACATCAGGTTCATTTCCAGCAACCTAGGTAGAGGAATGGTTAGGTTAGAATAAAGACAAATAACAGGACCGGTCGTTATGGAAAGCTTTAAAGGGAGGCCTGTACAGTGGACGTAATTTGGCTGAAACGAAAGAAATAAAAATAAGACTACAAGAAAAGGGCGTGCGTAGATAGATCAACCGTCTGTGATAAGCCACGTCCACAACTCGCATATTTTGCTCACTCAAGAGCAAAGTGAGCAGCATGGTGGTAGGCACCTGGTGTAGACGCGGCTTTAAATGTTTTTAACGCAGGCACAAGCGTTTGCGCAGTTGTCAAGAAGCGCCGCATCTTGTCTACATCGTCTGTTGGCTAACAATAATACAGACGCATTTACGACCTATAGCCCCATAATCAATCAAGTCAAATATCTTCAAGCTCAAAAAACATTTCTTTAACCACAATTTGGCAGATCACCTATTCGCTGGACTGTCAAGTAAAATCGGTGGAAAACCACGTATCTGATTGCACCAGGCAGTCTACCAATTAGGAGAGATTGCGAGAGATAGTGCGGAGTGGTATCCGCCTCTACAACCGTCGTGAACACCTCAACGTGACCACAATGTGAATAAGAAACAGAACTACATCATATTATTGAGTTGATGACTGACCTGGTCTGCAGCGGCCCTTCCTCCGGGCGGTTGTTCTTCAGCGCGTCGAGCAGGAAGGCGGTGCACTGCTGCACCATGTTCTGCTCCATGAACACGTCCACGATCTGGTTGATGTCTGCCAGCGGCGGGTCTTCAGCCACCAGCATGCCAGCAAAGCCCGCGCCTTGATCGGGGCTCGAACGCATCACCGAGCGGAGTAGGAAGATGTAGTCGGGGGTGTAGCCCACCTGCAAAGTAAATAATTTATTTTATTTATTTATTTAAGGCCTGATTTTTCAATCGTCAGATAACTTTTAACTGAAGAATAAGTTTGGCACTTTGACAGGTTTAGTATAGATGACCCACGCTGAACTGTCCCGCCAAACTCAATGACAGGGGGGCGCTACCATCGTTCAACTATATGGTTTCCAACATGGCAAAAATCGGAACCAGCGATCCGGTATTGACGGTGGCGCCCCACTGTCAATGTCATCGATAGGACAGTCCAGTATTTTGGAACTATATGGGAAATATGCCAAAGTGACAAACTTATTCTTCAGTTAAAAGTTATCCGACGATTGATAAATCAGCCCTAAGACGTACAAAACAGGTTACAGCCAAAATATGATTAACAAATACAGTACGATTTTATGGACTAGGTTGTTTCATATTGTTGTGGCGTGAAGCTTTTGTTTGTTGACAGATGTAGACAAGACGAATGATGCCTTTAATTTTGAATACGGACTCTACAGGGTGTTAGGTAAATGGGTATATGAGCCGACACTAGCCCATGTTAACATGGTCATATAAATGGTATGGTGAAGTCAGAAATTTGATATCATCATTTTAATTATTTTAATTTTCATACAATAAATTTTATAAAAATCCGATTTGTATAAAGGGCTACACTAGCGTCTTCACCGAGCGGAGTAGGAAGATGTAGTTGGGAGTGTAGGACACCTGGGAAATAAATTATTCTCAGTACTGGCCCATTTATTGCCCCGAAGCAGTGGTAGGGTTAATACTGGGACGTGTAAAACAGCTTTTTTGAAGCCAAATATAAGATTAATTTTGATTCATATTGTTGCGGCTTCAAGCTTTCAGCGATGCCTTTAGTTTTGAATGAGGACTTTTTAAGGGACCCCCAACACTAGCGCCTTTTGAGCGTCGTCATCTTGCCAGTGCACGCGCATTATCGACAAGTGGCGCTACGCAGCGGCTTTACGTCCGCGCGGCGTCGTTTGGCAACACGACGTACGTATATTTGACTGAACTATAAAAAGCAACATAACATCAAAACATGATGTAAAAAAATTCTGCTAACAGCAAAATGAGAGAGTAAAATGGTATATGTTCAGGTATAATTAGCTATTTTGGCATTTACCCAGTTTTATTATTGTTTACAAAAAATAAAGTTATGCTACGTAATAACTGTTTTTCAGATAACTAGATATTTTTTAAAGACAATGTGATGTAATTTCAAAGAAAAATATCTGGCAAATGTATATCTATAGCTCTAGCACTTAACTTAGTCAGTCCCTGATGTATGGGAGCGGCACGGGAGGGGTGACAGTGACATATTATGACGTAATAGAGCATACAGACATTTGCTGACATTTGACGTAACAAAAAGCACCCTCCCGTGGCGTTCCCATATCTCAGGCGCTGAGTTATGCGCTAGAATCCCAACTAATATTATAAATGCGAAAGTAACTCTGTCTGTCTGTCTGTCTGTCTGTCTGTTACGCTTTCCCGCTTAAACCTCGCAACCGATTTTGATGAAATTTGGCATAGAGATAGTTTGAGTCCCGGGAAAGAACATAGGATAGTTTTTATCCCGGTTTTTGAAACAGGGACGCGCGCGATAAAGTTTTTCTGTGACAGACAAAATTCCACGCGGGCGAAGCCGCGGGCGGAAAGCTAGTTAATAATAATTTATATTTTAGCACTGTATTCTTCCTTGTCATATGATTCGACACGCTTACCTTCTTCGCGTACAGCACGATCTTCTGGAACTGGGCCCAGCTCTTCGGAGCATTCCAGTTTCTCCTCTTTGAGCCACTTCTCTAGAAGCTGCTTCACGTTACATTGACTGGCTAGACCCTAGAAGTACTATATCCGTACCTTCTTCGCGTAGAGCACGATCTTCAGGAACTGGGCCCAGCTCTTCGGAGCATTCCAGTTTCTCCTCTTTGAGCCACTTCTCTAGAAGCTGCTTCACGTTACATTGACTGGCTAGACCCTAGAGGTAGTATATCCGTACCTTCTTCGCGTACAGCACGATCTTCTGGAACTGGGCCCACTNTAGCCTTGGGGGAGGCCTTGGTCTAGTGGACGTCATTTGGCTGAAACGAAAGAAATAAAAATAAGACTACAAGAAAAGGGCGTGTGTAGATCAACTGTCTGTGATAAGCCACGTCTACAACTTACATATCCTGCTCAATCAAGAACATTGAGCAGGATGGCGGCAGGCGCATGGTGTAAACGCGGCTTTAAACGTATTTTCGACGGAAGCGCAAGCGTTTGCGTAGTGTTTATAGTTCGGCAACTTCATACGCGATCGTAATTTCATGGTGACAGACAGTGGCGGGGACTTATGATGGTCACGAACATGCTGAGGTGGATTCCTGTCAAGAAGCGGGACGCCGCATCTTGCCTACGTCGTCCGTCTGTTGGCTAAGTATTGGCACTTCTACGACTGTCACCCGGTGACCGTGCAGAGACTGCGTCTAATATAGCAGACGCATTTACAGCGTATGGCGCCTTATTCAAGCCACTTTAAAATCTACTCTAACAACACATATGCCTTATTTAGAGTGGACCCAGGCGCAGGCGCATGTTATGGCGTGGACTACTGATGGATCAGTCGGCCCGTGTTTACAATTATAGCGTGCAATGACACTCATAGCTCAGTGCCCAAAAGACGTAAAGTCCCGAGCGCCCCTGCCCGCGCCCGTACTAGTGAAGTTTGACTGAAGCCATAGAGTTGATCACTGACCTGGTCTGCAGCGGCCCTTCCTCCGGGCGGTTGTTCTTGAGCGCGTCAAGCAGGAAGGCGGTGCACTGCTGCACCATGTTCTGCTCCATGAACACGTCCACGATCTGGTTGATGTCTGCCAGCGGCGGGTCCTCGGCCACCAGCATGCCAGCGAAGCCCGCGCCTTGGTCGGGACTCGAGCGCATGACAGAGCGGAGAAGGAAGATGTAGTCGGGGGTGTAGCCCACCTGGGAAATAGACAGTGACGTTCAGCTTTTGTTTGTAGACAAGAGGAATGATGCCTTTAATTTTGAATAAGGGCTCTATAAGGGACCCCCACACTAGCGTCTTCACCGAGCGGAGTAGGAAGATGTAGTCAGGGGTGTAGCCCACCTGGGAAATTGATTGTGACGTCAAGCTTTTGTTTGTTGACAGATATAGGCAGACAGACTGGGGTAGGAAAGTTCTTGAGTGGCGACCACGAACCTCGGGCGTGGGCAGGCCTCCCACTAGGTGGACCGACGAGCTGGTGAAGGTCGCGGGAGGTGCCTGAATGCGAGCGGCGCAGGACCGGCCTTTGTAGAAATCCTTGGGGGAGGCCTTTGTCCAGCAGAACGCGAGATATAGACAAGACAAATGATGCCTTTAATTTTGAATAAGGACAGGTCACTAGTGTCTTCACCGAACGGAGCAGGAAGATGTAGTCGGACCACCTGGTAAATAAATTCTTCTCAGCACTGGTCATTTATTGTCCCAAAGTAGTGGTTAATACTGAGACGTAAAAGTGCTTTTTACCCGACTGCGCCAGAAGGAGGGTTATTAAAAGCCTACTTGCAAAAATAAAACGCGTTTTAATTTATTCATATTATTGCGGCGTCAAGCTTTTAGCGATGCCTTTAGTTTTGAATCAGGACTCTTTAAGCGACCCCCCACACTAGCGCTTTTTGAGCGTTGTAATCTTGCCAGCGCACGCGCATCGTCGACAAGTGGCGCTACGCAGCGATGGCGTCACATCCGCGCGGCGTCGTTTGGTAACACGACGTACGTATATGTGACTAAACTATAAAAAGCAACATAACATCAAAACATGATGTAAAAAAATTTTGCTAACAGCAAAACGAGAGAGTAAATGGTATATGTTCAGGTATAATTAGCTATTTTGGCATTTACCCAGTTTTGTTGTTTACAGAAAAATAAAGTAATGCGACGTAGTAACGGTTTTTCAGATATCTAGAGATTTTTTAAAATGTGATGTAACTTCAAAGAATAAGATTTGACAAATGTGTATTGAATGCCAGTAATCATGTAGTCAAATTACAAGTAACAGTCGATGCAAGTTACATGACTAGCTAGACCCTAGAAGTAGTATAGATCGTTTCATCCACGAAGACGCGCCCCACCAATTTTTGGTCGAGGGAAGCGCGGAGTGCGGTGAGCTTGATCCGAGCAATCCGAGCATCATTATTGTAGTGTGCGTGTGCACTCATGGATAATTTAGCGTGTACCGATAACACTCAAACATTCGCGGAAGAATAGTGGGGCGCGTCTACGTGGATGAAACGATCCATACATTGACTAGCTAGACCCTAGAGGTAGTATATCCGTACCTCCTTCGCGTACAGCACGATCTTCTGGAACTGGGCACACTCTTCGGAGCATCCCAGCTTCTCTTTGAGCCACTTCTCTAGAAGCTGCTTCACGTTACATTGACTGGCTAGACCCTAGAGGTAGTATATCCGTACCTTCTTCGCGTACAGCACGATCTTCTGGAACTAGGCCCACTNGGCCCACTATTCGGAGCATCCCAGCTTCTCTTCCTTGAGCCATTTCTCTAGAAGCTGCTTCACGTTATACTGACTAGCTAGACCCTAGAGGTAGTATATCCGTACCTCCTTCGCGTACAGCACGATCTTCAGGAACTGGGCCCAGCTCTTCGGCGCATTCTAGTTTCTCCTTTTTGAGCCATTTCTCTAGAAGCTGCTTCACGTTACATTGTTTAGCTAGACCCTACAGTATATCTCCCGTACCTTCTTCGCGTAGAGCACGATCTTCTGGAACTGGCCGGTCTCGGCGAAGCACTGGATGACCTTGCTGGCCACGTTGGCGCGCAGGTACACCGACAGCGCCAGCGTGGGGTCCACCTGCTTCACCAGGTCGCCCAGCTCCTCGGAGCACTCCAGCTTCTCCTCCTTGAGCCATTTCTCTAGAAGCTGCTTGCGGCCTGTCGAAATAAGTGCGTGTTAACTCTGTAAAACAGTGGTTCTTAACCTTAAAAGTCATGAGGGACCATTTTACCAAATTTCTGTCTTATCAGGGACCACCTCATAATCGTCGGTCAAAGCCAGTTTGACTGCAAAAATCAGTTAAAAGTGGTTTTGACCAAGGTGTGCAAGTGCACTTCGTGGACCACTTGGAATGCTTCCAGGGACCACCAGTGGTCCGCGGACCACCGGTTAAGAACCACTGCTGTAAAACGATGGGTTGTGCTTGTGATGACACCATACCAGTATCGTACATTGTGTGAAATTGAGAAGGTCAGTTACACCAGGCCTATGCATCTATCTCCGTGAGTAGGCATCGAAAACAAAACATGCAGCGTACCCGCCGACGGTTTTAATCCACAAGGGATTCACGAGCGACTAGTGAGTGACGAACGCGCGCGTATTTTTTCTTCACATTGGGTAAAATACCCATTGTGAAGAAAAAATACGCGTGTAGTGCGCTAGATGGCGACAATAGCATCTTGTAGCAGTCAGCCGTGTCGCATCGGCACAGTGTTGATACTGCCGATCATTGACGTATGTAAACGAAACGGTGCTCGATTCTGAGACAAGCTAAATTACACCATATTTTTGACGACATTGAGTAGTTTTTTTCACTCACCCTGCAACAGCACGGGCCGGCACAGCTCCAGCGACTCGAACTTGTTGAGCTGCGCCTGGTCCAGCAGGATGCCGAAATACTGCAGCAGCGGCGACGTCTGCCCCGGCTGCGTGGGCACCTGCTGAAACCGTTGGATGGTCTGCGGCGTCCGGAGGATACCTCGTGGGGCCATCGCTGCGACCTGAATCAATGACAACGCTTTCAAGACTCTCCTTTCATCAATATGTTTCGTTTCAACCGAAATACGGCTACTGCTGGACAAAGGCCTCCTCCAAAGCGTTTTGCAAAGACTGGCCTTGAGCTGCCAGCATCCAGGTGCTTCCCTATACTCTCACCAGACCATCGGGCCACCAAGTAGGAGACCTGATAAGACCTAAGATTTTTGTTCCGTAATCGCCACTCGTGAACTTTTTTGCTCAAATGACATCAGTTCTATGAGTTGTGACCCACCCATTGCTACTCAACCTTGGCAAGTTTGTGGGCTATGAAGGTTACTTTGCTTAAATTTTGATTTCCAATAATGATTTCTGATTGTCAAATAGTACCTACACATGTCATGAAATACCATAAACAATATGATTTATTAAAAACATGATTTTCTACTTAAGGTATCATAAGGTATATTGAATGTTCTAAAGGTCTTACCTTAGCAGCTTCTCCATACTGGCCATTAGTAAAGAGCATGTTGAACTTCCTGACAAATAGTTCTTCAGCGCCCGCGAGATTGTTTCGCACGGCGAGACGCAGCGCCAGTTCAGGGTTTTGCAGCACCGTGTTGATGTATGGCACGATGGAATCCTCTTCTACCGTCACTGAGAGAACCTGGCCTTTGCGGTTCACACCTAAACAGGAATTGAGGAGAAAATATAGATATTGAATTTATAGGTAGTCTTTCTGTATCATACTTCACTACAAAATTATTACAGAAGTTTGATATTGAACCCTTACACCGAATAGGAAGATTATTACAGGGAAAAAAGAAAAGTTGCAGATTCACTATGTCTGTTGTGCGACTTTTTTATTTTCAGAGTTATTCATGTTTATAATTTTCTGTAATTGGTGATTTATTTACCATGATGAAGCAATATTACACTACAGTTAAGTCTCTTATGAATATCATAATGTAATTTCCACTCACCGATAATTCCTCCAGTAGCTTCATGAGGCGCGGTGACAAATATGGTATCTGAAGAGATCCTGTTCATGTAAATACAGGTGCCGGTCTCGATGTCGTACATGTGGATATATCCGTACTTGGTGATGAGGTAGATGACGTCATACTTGGGCGACACCTGCATGGCGACGGGGAAGTCGTTCTGAGCCTCCGCAGGGAAGAATACGTCCACGGCCTTTTTGGGGAAGGGCTGGTTGCCCGCGGGCGTTTGGCCGACCTCTGTTGACAACAAAAAACTGCATAAGTACTACAGTCGACACAAATTACTCATTAGTGCGGCATTTTGACGCAGAAGAGAAGGAACGCCGGAACAAACTTACTTTTTGTCCATTTTCATATGTCTGTGTTTCAGAAAGACCAAGCATCTATGAAATGTCGCAAACTAAGAATCAAAATCATCCAAGTATAAAGTCATGTATAGACAAGACTCCTGTGCGACGAGAGGCCGAAGTGAGTGTGCGAGCGCGACAGCAATATAATTACTCGCGAGCGATAAGGATGGGTTGCTTGGGGTCATTGTACAAAATTCTATCTGCTCGGTGACCGGATTTTTAGCAGCATTTCAAGAAGATCTATCTACTCACCGATGATGTGCAGCTTGCCGCCCTGTGCGGTGCGCACAGCGAAGCAGAAGAGCGTGGAGGGTTCGGCGTTGCCCTCCGCCTTGAAGGTGGCGAACGACGCCGCGTGGCCCTCGATCGGCTGCGAGCACTCGCGCTCTACATACAGCTGCCCGCGGCATCATAAGACGCCTCACTCACCGATGATGTGCAGCTTGCCGCCCTGTGCGGTGCGCACAGCGAAGCAGAAGAGTGTGGAGGGTTCGGCGTTACCCTCCGCCTTGAAGGTCGCGAACGACGCCGCGTGGCCCTCGATCGGCTGCGAGCACTTGCGCTCTACTGAGTACAGCTGCATCGCGCCTACCACGCGGTTCTGCTGCGCGGAGATACCTGGAGAATTCACACATTATAACGATAAGTGGACTCCGAGATAGGATATGTCAACAATCAGGATAGGATTTAGAGCCTTGCCACACTGGCGGATTACAAGCGGTTTCAAAGCGGACCGGCGGCGCGGCGCCGCACGCCGCGTGTGAATTCCGCGCCGCTAGTGTGACAAGGTCCTTAATAGAAAAGGTTTATTTGACCAAAAAGATGAGTTGGTACAGTTTTTCTTCTAAAACAACTTGTGTAACTTTTGCATACTGAAACATGTGCGTATGGGCGTGTATTTCTGGAACTATCACAATAATAGCAAAGTAATTGATTGAGCAAAAGACGTCAACTAAGGTAATAAACTTATCCTTCAATGACCGAAGCTTCAAAATACAGTAGTTATACAATTTTCTATTTTAGGCATGTTTCAATCCACATGACAATTATACGAATACTTAATAGTCGGCGAATGGTCGCCGGCTAAACGGCGAGGGTCGTAACGAGGCAAGTAAAATGTTTATAGATAGATGATAGCATCGCAAAGAAATTCGAAGTTCCAAGGGCGTCCCAAAAAGTTTGGGATACTCACCAACTAACAGCAGCCACTGTTGCTTGGGGTCCGTCCTGTAGTTGATGATCTGGCAGTCGGCGAGCGAGGCGTGGCGGTCGAACATCTTCACCGGCGTGGAGTCGCCTTCCATCGACCAGTGGTACACCGACATCTTGGTAACGAGGGCGAGAGTGTTCAGGGATATCCACTTCCAGAACACCACGTCCTCTGTCATTGTGTGAGCCTTCATCTTTGACTTCATTTCGATGTTGAAGATCTGCAGCGTTTTTTGAGCTGCAACAAAAATTAAAATATTTACATTTTCTCTAATACAGGTTACAGTGGAATATCCACATCTTTCCTTGCATCTTATATTTAATTAAAAACCTTTTTAAGTCAGAAATGGGATACCTAAATTTGGTGATTGTAATGAACATGATTAGTAAATTAAGTTGTCTCTCGAGTCTTCTAAAAACCAAGTTTTTACGTAGATATCCAACTAGGATCAGTCAGTGAATTTTTATCTAAACAGTAGTTTTAATTTTTTGTAGGGATAAACACGTGATAGCTTATTTGTAATTAAAAACATTTTTTTATAAGTAATATTCTTTATGCTTATCTGACGAATGATAAATAGTAACGATAAATGATTCATATTTAAACAAGAGTGACGTCATACTCATAAATAAACATCAGCAACGTAAGAAATATTTAAACAACTTCTTTACTCGAGTTATTAAATGTAAAAAAACTTTTACTAAGTATGGTAAATAATGTACATCTGAATCTGCTTCATTTTCGTGTGATTTTTCATTATGAATATTCAAATATTTCATTCACATTGATAAGCACTTGCTCCGTCTAAGCGAGCGACCGTAGACAATACAATGTTGACACGAGTGTTCGCCTCGTATCAAGGCTGGGCCCACTCACTCGCGACAAACTGTGACCCGTGACTCATCCTATCTTGGAATCGCTCTACACAAAGTGCGATGTATGAATATGCGCCAGACAATCAATTTGTTGTCAGAATTTAGAAAATCCCCGTTTATATCAAACGCTTTTTTGCGTGCGTCTTAATTTGGATCGGCAGTTTTGTTCACAGCAGACTTAAGTATGTTTGAAACTTCATAGTGTTATAACTGTTCTACTTCTGCAGAAGATGATAAAGTTTATACAACTTCAGTTATAATAACTGTGCCGTAAAAATAAAAGCTATAAAAGTGCGCATCTAAATTCTATGGTGTTCGTTAGGATCCAGAATAACGCCGTCATAGAAACTTCCTATTTACAGGTTCCGCGAACCAATGCAGTCATGTCCTTTATCCTGTTTTATAACGTAACGCTGGTATCATAATAACTAAGCAGAAATATATCAAACGACACCTAAAGTATTAACACCTCATTTCAAATAAGACTACTAGCAAGGACATTTAATTTATTCTTCAGATATTGACTTTTATTGATAGAGGTCAGTTGCAAGAAATGTGGGAATGTCTCACAGCCATTGCCCGCCTATTGTCTGCACGTAACAAAGGTGTATCACGATTTTCTACCCTAAGTCTATTAACTATAAGATTTATAGCGGCGTGGGGTTCGACATGGAAGAATGAATGATCGTGTTTATCACTTTTACTTTCAAGCAGTTGGTAGTTAGTTTCATAGTGAAATTGTTTCGCGGAAACTCTAAGGTGCTTCATACATTTTTCTTTTACGTGGCTACTTGAAAATACGTACACAAAAGAAAAACCAACAGAATCCCAGATTATAATTACTAGTTACATAACGAGGAAGGGAACTCTAGCACTTAGCAACATGAAGATGATGTCTGAGATAACTCCAATGATTCCTTGTGTACAACATTAGATAAACATAAGTCTATCTTTGTGCATGATGAGTAACCGTTACAAGCGGCTGGCTTCCCTCTAAATGCAGTCTTGTGTTTCGCTCTATCCGTCCATTTGATGACCTAAGAACGGTACATTTAAGGTTACAACTTGGTTTTCTTTAGAGCTTAGAATATCGGCGATGGCTGTTTTACTTTACGTATTCACAAACATTACTATGAGGTCTCACAGTGCGCGTGAACGCACAGGGAGACATATGAACCAATCACAGAGTTCTATTCAATGTTGTGCGTTCGATTTGCTGCTTCACTTAAGCAAGCATCGTTTGTGAATACCAGCGTTAGTTACACGATAGATCGCGTCGAATTACTATGAAGTCATCCTTGAGAACTCTGTAGATCTTAGGAGTAAAGAAAGCTCTAAACTGAAGGGTGTATTTTTATATTGTTTTAACATGATTTTAAAGAGTGTGCAGTCAACGATGGAGTACGATAGGCACTTCCTTATCAATCGTTGTCAGCATGATCTTGTGTATCATTAATGCCCTGTGGAAATAGCTGATTAGGGATTTAAATTAACATAACGTAAATCTTCTAATAACCTACTAATTTACTAAATCTTTGTAAATCATACAAGCTTATAAATATTATTTTATTAATCATTCCAATTGAGATGATGCAGTTATTTACAAAGGAAACGCCCACTTTAATAATGGGTTTTGCTTTTTTATTTATGTAAGAAAATGCTACATCCATTACCCACTCCTGTTCTACCATAGATCTATTAATTGTGTCTGTTTCAGGTTATCAAACCGAAGTATGACTGCACAAGAGCTTAGAAAAAGACCAATCGTCGATGAGCCGATACGAAATTACGGACTAAACGCCGAGAACTTTTCTACTACACAGGCAATGGACTTTGAAGGTCAAACAGGTGCTGTGAATGACTTCATTTAACTTCTAGACCTTGATGGATACAAACGATAAGATTAATCTACGTACTACCCCAAGGTCAAGGGAATCCGATTGAAATAGAAAGGGGCAACGACATTTCAGCTTTTGTTGTTGCATTTGCGCGTTTCCGTAAAATTATTAGTGTGGTGCCAACATCGTAATGTCTAAACGGTGGTGAGTCACCGCCAGATGGGTACATATTTAATCAATGAATTCTTTATCTTGCATGATTACTGAAACAAGGGAAGGTAAGGTACAATGCGACGACAAAGAAATTGGTAACACTGCGAAAATAACTCGGTCATCATCCCACGCACTTCTCTCTTGCCTTTATGTCGCAAATCTTTTATTCACGAGCACGTTAACAATCGAAGATGGTATTCACCATTATGGGCTTGGTGTAATTAATAAAATGGAAGTGACTCGTGAATGGAATTCGGGATACCTACACAAGGTGTTTTTCGTTTTATGTACCTTTACCCTTCAAAGGTGAAAGATATAAGCCAAAAGTATTTTTGAAGCCTTATAAATCCAAATAGCAAGTGAAATCACATAATCCTTTTACGAATTCTAATAGGATTCTAGAAAATTCGTATGCAAATTGGAATTCTAAAGCTCATAAAAGGTCCCTGGATAGAGCTCCTACTGCCTTTTCTGCACAAACTCACTGACGTATATGGGAGACTAGTTTTTCAGCCCACTTTATCACACTCATACACCCACTTTAATACAGTATGTAGAAAATAGATGTATAAAGTCACTGTTTACAAACATAAGCGATTAATAAGGCCTTAACGCCGGTTCAAACTCTTCTATTGTAACTGTTTGTTGACATAGTTATTTACGAAAATAGACTTCCCTTTCTTCCTCAGAGTATTGACCCTAACTCAATAGCCCTGCCCTGCCTTATTATGAAGGCTTTAAAGATGTTTGTCATCAAATCGCACGACAGATGAACGGATTTAGATGATATAAGCAGACAGAATTTGATTACAAAAACAGATCCTATTAGATGTTATTGGAATCAATAAACATCTCAAACTGTCAACTGTAGAGGAAAGAGGATATCCCAGAGACACAACTAATTCTTCCCAAAGCATTTTGAAAAGTAAAAAATTAAATTAAGTTCATAGTACTGTTACTGAAGTAGTGTCATCACTGTCATGGTTTATTCATGGGTAATATCAATATTCTCATCAAATGGACAGCTGATTACGTCATCGCGGATTCAGTGACGTAATTTACGCAATGCGTGAATTTAACACATTAGTATTGTTGTTATGTCACAATTAAGGCCACTGAGCTATGCCAAATGGTTATGGCGTCTGACACCCAAGTTCAGAGCTAAGTTAATATAGCTTTTATGATGTAAAAAGATAAAAATCCTTATTGTACTGTAATATGACACAGAATATTGAGTAAGTATAATAGACACAAAAGTACTTTATGCAAACAAGTACAAAATAAGAATAAAGTTTCTTTTACACTAGGTACATAAATCACTTTTGGCATTATGTATTTATTAAAAATGTATCTCTGTGGAGCTAGTTCAGTCAGTTAATCTGTCATTCAATCTTATATCTATCTCATCATGTATTCTTGTATTAAAAATTATATCAACCTCAAAATAAATAGATCAGTATACATTTTGATAAAGAACAAATGATTCATGGATAATGAAAGATAAAGCAACAAGTTTTTCTTACCTTCAATGCCTGCCTTTCCTTTGAGGGCGATGACTTTGCTGGCAGGGTTCATGATGGCCGAGTCAGCGCTGATCGGCCTGCGGATGGGGTTGGTGGGATCTCCCATGTCGATGATGACCACCTCAGCCGTCTCTCCGACCTTCTCCCGGACACAGATAAACTTGTCCGACTCCATGGTGAGAGTGTTGAAGGATATGGAGGCTGGATTGATCCCCACATTGGTGAGCTATAAAGAAATATCAATATTTTAATTTAAGTGAAGACCTTATCTTGATTGGAAGGTCATCAACCCATAATACAAGTAATAATGATAATGTGTTGAATTATTTTAAGATTAACATTAAACTTTCTTCATTTAATTGTAATTGTGTTGAATTATAAGCATAATTCTAGCATTAACAATACAAGACTCAAAAGAAATTAATTATTAAACAGTCTATTAATACCCATGGGCTGATTATAAGCAAAACTAAGTTGAGTGCCTGTGCTAATAGGAACTAAGCATTATGATTTGTGAAAAATGTTGGTTAAATTGAATAAAGTTATTTTATTTTATGATCCATATTAAAACATGGATTAATTAATAAGTATACCACAATAAGGGAGTAGATTTCTTTTGAAGGGCTGGTCTTAGACATGGCATTATTTGTTTAAACTTCTATTAGGAAAAATTCCAATCAGTAAATATTATCCAAGCAATGCTTACTCACAGTAGTATGTGGGGCAAAGGAGTAAAAGAAATTAATTATTGTTCCTGTGTGAAATCCCATCCAATAAAATCAAAACCTGAGAGGGGTAAGTAAGGCTGTAACTGACATAATTAAAGCAAACTACATCATAGTGGGTAGATACAGTGGTACCCTTTAGCAATACATTTCAATAAGAATCAATGTTACTGGAAATTCAAATAGGCTACACACAGTAAGTTTTTGTAATCTAATTAGATTTCAATTTATGCCAATAAGTCAACTAATATTACTCAGGATCTATATATATAATATAAATAAGAAATCTATTTATTGTTTTGTATCTATCTTCATACAATACTAGGAAACCCATCATCTTATATAGGAAACTTTCAGCCAAAATTGGGGAGGCATTTTTAGGTACCTACGCCGACCTTTAAGAATTTTGGCACATATTCCACAAACCATATGATCCAGAAAGGAATGTAGAACAAATCAATACCCGCCGCACTCCCGTAGGTTCGCCGACAAGGGGGTGGAAACTGACATTTGGTAATTGCGCAATGTCACTGCTGCGGCCACCCTGGCCCTAACAGCCACTAAGAACTGCATCAACACTACCCACCACACTCCCCAATCATCCCCTGATAACTTTCTTACACCAAAGGAAGCACTATCGCCAAATCCAATAAAACCGATGGGCGTACTCACCTGTAAGTGCTCCTGAAAACGTATCGGTAAAACTTGCGCCATGGCTCCTTTGCTCCTCGCCTTAACTACACCGAATCTGATGAAAAGCGACCCTTGGAAATCGCGAAGTCTGAAAAGATATCACAAATCAATTCACTGCTGTCTCATCCGAAAACACTTTTGACAATCAACATGGCGTTCATGTTCAAACGAAAATTGACAACGACGAAAGCATCAAGATTTATCCACTTTAAGAAAAGAAACGAACTGAATTTACTCACTAATTCATTAAATTCTACATTAAGGAAACTGAGGAGTAGGAATTTTGACTATTTCAAAGAAATACTATGACGAATATTGTACACCCTCGGCTGCCACATACACAAATGAATGAAATGGCAGATGAAGGAAAGGGAAAGGTTCACAACTGCGTTCGAAAGTTTGTGTTTTCGCGTTACTCACGGTGTGAGCTCAATGGACAATGCACTCATTGAGTGAGCTCATTTTTTTTTATAAAATGGTAACACTGGTTGATCAAAGAGATGATAAGTAAAAGATTGAGCACGGCTACTACTGTGCCCCTATTGCGCTAATTTTTAACGTCTCCAATACATTGGCAAGGCAACAGAGCCCCGATTACGGTATTTTTTAACGTCAACAATCCAGACACGCTTCTCGATTCTGCGATACGATTGGTCGTTCAACAGCGTACGTCAGCTGTTTTGACCAATCGTATTGCATTGCAGAATCAGAAACGCGTCTGGATTGTAGACGTTAAAAGTTACCGTAATCGGGGCTCTGCTGAGCTAATAAACTCGCAGCGAAGCAAAGCAAAGCAAAAGCAAATATTTGTATCTGAAGTTTGTCGCGAAGATTACTGTTTGCCTCAGCTTTCGACATATTGAAGTAAACTGGCTCTATGTATACGTAATCTCTGGGTTTTTTTTACAGAGAAAAATAGTCGTGTAGCAAGCCAATGCAAGCAATAGAACGAAAAAAAAAACAAAAATGTCATTAGTGTCATCATCATTTTACAAATGTCATCTTTGCTTTGGTTTACTGTGAATGATTTGATTTGTTTAATTTTTGTGTCTTCGTTTTCGTGCAGTTTAATCTGAATTTGCTATTCAATTTTAGTCACAATTATTGTAGTCAACGGGTCATAAATAACTTGTGTGAAAATGGTATGATGTATGGATTATAAAATCAAACTTGTCATGTACAATCGAACCAAACTAAATTGTGATATTTTTATATTTTCAGTTTGGATTCAATGTTTTTCAAGAAATAAGAAATTTTAATGTGACCTACAGATGTTTTTCCGTGTCTATGTTACCTGGTAATGAGAGGCAAGATGTAGAAAGAGGGGGCAAAAGTAAGCAAATTGTTTCTGTTAAAATACCACTCATTTTTGTTTACTTGATGAGATAATCGTTCTAGTGATACGATAAACTCATGTATACGATACCTATTTATAGAACTAACTTGCATTAATAATAAATATAATTGTTTTCCAGTAATAATGCCCCCATCAGCTTTGGAGCAATTAACCAGATTGAACATAGAATACCCCATGATATTTAAGCTGACCAATAAGAAGACTAAGAGAGTCACGCACTGTGGAGTGCTAGAGTTTGTTGCTGATGAAGGAAAAGTCTATTTACCACACTGGGTTAGTTAACAGATGTATTTTTGTACTTGTTTTGCTCTTACTTTTATGTAAAATAGACCTACAACAAAAAAAATACCACTAAGTTTCATTTGTAGACTTTATTTTAGTAACTAGGTATAGGTAGTCATATAAATTAAGAAATTTAATATGTTTCTTTAGTATTTTACTGAACAATAACTGTGTAAAATAACAGCCATTTTTATATGCTGATACATTTTAATATATATTTTTGCATTGCACAGATGATGGCGAACTTATTGCTGGAGGAGGGTGCTTTACTACAGATAGAGAATGTGTCACTGCCTGTAGCAACATTCTCAAGATTCCAGCCTCTTTCTGAAGACTTTTTAGACATAACAAATCCTAAAGCAGGTAAAGGAATTTCTGAAGATTTGTCTTCAAATAAAGATAAATCCCAATTAGCACCTGAATTTTATATACATTACAATAAACTGGTATGTTTTTTTAGGAATTGGGCTTCTGTCTCTTGGTCTCCTTACCTTAGTCCTAATACATCTCTAGCGATACTGTCATTCTACCTTTTTATTGTTAATCTATTTATTGTAAATCTTGCTTTTTTTCAGTCTTAGAAAACTGCCTGAGGAATTTCTCATGTCTAACTTCAGGAGATGTGATAGCTATCAAATACAATTCAAAGGTTTACGAGCTGTGCGTTTTAGAAACCAAACCGGGCAATGCTGTTATTATTATTGAGTGTGATATGAATGTAAGTTACTATAAATAACTATTTCTTATCAAAACAAGTAGTATTTTGTAAACTGTGTTAATTTTATAGATTAGTAATACTTTACTGACTTTATTCTTTCAAATGCAGGGTCCACTGCAACAATGATTTGGCCCGTTTGTTTTAATTTATTTAGTAAAATAAATCAGATCAATGAAGTAGTACTTATATTTTATTTTTGTTAAATCACTATTTCATAATATTATTATTATTTTCATAACTTCAAATCTCTCCCTTTGCAGAAATTTCAAAAACATTAAACAATCATCGAAAAAAGTAAAAAGAGCATCTATCATTATTGCAGTGGACCTTCAAATCTAATCTATCTAATTTTAAAATTGCAAAACAATGTTTAAACTTGTAACATGCTGTAACCTCGTTAAATAAATACATTACCGAACCACAGGTAGAGTTCGCGCCTCCAGTAGGCTACAAAGAGGAGCGCCACGTCTCGAAGGGCGAGAGTGGCGCGGACGGCATGGACGAAGACCCCGCTGGTATGATGCCGGAGCCGAGCGGCTTCGTGGCCTTCAGCGGGGAGGGAAACAGGCTGGATGGGAAGAAAAAGAAGCTTACCAGCGAGAGCGAATCGGAACCTTCGAATTCTAGACAGGTAAAGCCCGGTCCGCGAGCACGTAGAATTTTGTCCAATGACCCCTAGCTACCCATCCTTATCGCTCGCGCGTAATTATGTTGCTATCGCGCTCGCACACTCACTGCGGGTGCCAGTCGCACAGTCGCGACAGCAATATAATTACGCGCGAGCGATAAGGATGGGTAGCTTGGAGTCATTGGACAAAATTATACGTGCTCACGGACCAGACTATAGTTAAGGTTTAGAATCACTTCAGACCACTGAAATACACCAGTTAAGGAGAGAGATGAAAGCAATAAAGAAGGACATTTCTATTTCTGCATACAATCAAACTTAATAGATTCCCAGGAGATTCGTTTGCCTTAAATTTTACACCTGTTTCCCCCCTTCATTTATACTGATTTGTCGTGGTTCTCTATAATTCAAATCTATTTATATCCCTTTCACTTTAATGATATAAGAGAGAGATGGACAAAAACTACAAAGTTTTAGGACACTATTGAATTTGTTAAATGTAATTTATGATTTATTAATTACAGGCATATGTGAGAGGTATTCCAGACTACGACTTCGTTATTGGCACCCTGAGGTTCATCAGAAACTCGCGGCCAACTACTGCGACGCAAGAGGAGACGCCAGTGGAGCCATTCGAAGCCTTCAAGGGTGAAGGGTTCACATTACGGACTGCTAAAACCAAGAGCGACTAACGAAAAAGTAACTGATTTAAGATGTTAAATACCCTAGACACACAGCCAGCGCCTAAAACTAGGCACGAAAAAATAGTACTTGAACGGCGTTTGAGCACTCTTGCTCGGAGCCGCGTGAACATAGATTCAATATGTCAAAGAATATGCTCCGTAAAAAAATGCTTTTACCACTTTAAAGGTACACGGCTATTGGCCCGCGCTAGACGCATCGCACGCATATATTTAATTTCTTTAATTTGCTTTGTATGACTGATTTCACATAGTGCTGCGTAAATGCCAGCGTTAACATACAAAGCAAAGATCTCCCTTGCATACCGTGCTTGCGGTGCGTCCAGTGCGGGCCAATGCATGCGTACCTTAACACTTGAGGACTCGCGCCTTAATTTGTAACTTTCATACTCGCTACCGGGTGCGCTGGACCCAGTATATAAAATCCTATGTATTTTTCAAAAACTCTTAATAAAAGTGAAAACTACTTTATTAGAAGGATAATATGATATAAACAAAGACAAAATAATAAACCAAATAGTCATATTTATTGCTTTTTTCTAAAATAACAACTTATTTAAAAAAATTAAGGTTTTTTGGCAAAATGAAGGTAATTTTTGAAAATTTTTGTAATTAATTATTTAAAAAAACACCTTGTTTATTTTCGTAAACTACTATAATTTGCCTACTTATACCAATTAACAATTAATGAGAAATTTGTATAGAACATTAAAAAATTCACTTTGTTTACCGGGTCCAGTGGACTCAAAAACACGTTTTTCGTCTGTAGCAATCACATGCAGTGGGCTATTTGACGATTATGACCGCTATTGGCTGTGCTACAATATCGTGGAAAGGTACTAAGAGTGACAACATCGCAAACGTCAAACTTTAAAAGTTATTACACAAATATTGAAGAACTGGGTCTGTTAGACCCATTAGCGAGTCCTTAAGTGTTAACAAGGATAGGATTTTGAAGAAATAATACATTATTTCTTCAAAAGTAAAAAAACATACTAACACAAAGATAAATGAAAATACACAATTGGTTGTAGTTGTATCTTTGCCCTATAAATTATTATATGAGCTAGCTGCATCCACTCCTGTGCTTGTTTTTAACCTATTGAGTCCCAGACGGCATTAATTAATGTCATAACAATTGATTATCTATTGTGTCTAGATTCGCGGAGCTTGAAGGATTAATCCTCGACTAAAGCTAGTTGCCTGTTTGCATTTTAAAAAGTAGGTAAACTCAGTCATATCATTATGCATTTGAAATAAAACTGTATGCCTGTGCTTTAAGGTCCACTTCTGAATACTAAGACTTATGTATGTATTAAATATTTTCAGCATATTACGCATATGGGCGTGTACTTGGTTGCTACTTTTGGGACACCTTTTAGCCGAGATTTCGTGTGCATAGGGTATTTAATATTGTTGGTATACTAATAGATAAGATTTTTACTTTATCTGAAATAAAAGTATAGTAATGTTAAGAAAATGCATTTTTCTTTGTTCCTGAATTCAGGCAATTTATATTTGAATAGGCAGACTGAATTTATTCTTCTTTTCAGCGCTCACCTACATTATTCATCATTTTTTCATATATTTTTATAATATTATTCATTCCATTATGTAAATAAAATAAATAACAATAAGATAAAGTTGAAAAAGATATTTATTCTGTGACATATTTTATTACAATAACAATAAAACATTACACAAAATTAATTGCTTCTTATTCTGAATGCTAAACAAAAACATTTTAATAATAAAAAAAGTATTTTAACTTTTCATATATTTGATCAATCAAACAAAGGAATTAATGCTAGATTAAAATTAACATTACAATTAATCTTTAGAACAGTTCTGAAGCAGATTATTGTTTAATTATTTCATTTTAGCAGACAATATTATTGTTAATAGGAATGTAATTTTTCATGCAGCTATTTTAATCAAATGATTTTATTGACATTGTCATAATGATAAAAGTAGTTATACAAAGAAATCTAATAAATTTCTGGCAGTGTTCATAAATGAAAATGATAACAAGGCTAGCAAATAATTATGTTGATAAACCATATTTTTGGCACCAACTTTTGAGTCTTAAGAATATAATTTCCCATCATTAGTAAGCAATCTTTCTAGCTATCTGTAGCATAAAATTAAAATGTTGGATGTTTTGTAGCTAAAAGCATTTTATGTCTCAAAAATGTTATCTATTTCATTTTGAGGATGTGATGAGGAGTACTTATTTACTTCTATTATTATAATAATACAGTGAAAATATCAACTAAGAAGAGAGGTCTTAAATAATGTTAAGGCATCTTTAAAATTAAGTCATGTAATTTTATGAAAATATTAACATAGGATTACGAAAATGATACAATCTAGTGAAAATGCAATTAAAGTTACACTTCAACATTTATCTTAGGTTCTAATTGAAGAATTTATAGAGCTATACTTTATACACTTGTTTTATCATACATGGTGCACTGTAGGTGAATGAAGACTAGTCTTAAAATCTCTTCAAGAATTCTTCTGAGCAAATTCTGGCGCGGGCATTCACTGCCAGCTTCATTTCACTAATCTCTTTATCAATCTCTTCCATGAAGTATATTACAAAGTCCACAAGTTTGTGCTTATACATCTGTTCTGTGTGGAAATTAGTAATCAGGAAACTGATATGGTAGCCGTCGACTGGCTTCCTTCTCAGTACGATAAAGTTTTCAGCTCGCATCATCATGAATCGCATGAACTTTTTACACAAAATCTTTTCGATTTCATCGGCTTGTTTTATCATAATACTTACTCTTATTGAGTTAATAGATGATTCAATTAAAACCTTTTCGTTAGCGTTTCGGGAGATAACAACAGGATTTAGTAAGAGTTCTTTGCTTGTTCTAACCTCGACCTCCGGCTTGTTATATCTCTCTACCACTTGCGATGAGAAGTGTTCTAAACACATCGCAGCTGTGAGAGTGTGGCGCACAGCAGTCAAATAGGGCTTCAAAGTCGCCGACATTATTATAATTTTAGTAAAAATCGGCTCTTCCCGTACCACGCCTAATATTTATCTGTTTTTTGACAGGCAGTGTTGCCAGTCGGGTCTAGTCAGAATTTACCAGAAATATAAAAAAAGTAACCTTTTTGAATAAAAAGTAACCCTTCATACCGGGGGGGGGGGGCGGCGGCGGAGCGATGATTGTGTAAGGTTGTTCATGGATGGAAAATGAATACAATTGATCATCTAAATTCGAAAAGTGACCAGTCGTATAAAAACGTTTCATGGATTTGCGTTTTATTATCGAAAAACATTCGCTAAAACTCATTTTTTTTTTATTTATTTATTGATAAAGATCTACCAACAACACAACTTTACATAAACAAGTAATGCATTTTTAACAAATAATAATTTAAATTCAAGTTTAAATGCACTTTATGACATAATTTTTAAATTGTCACTATTAATATTTTTTACTGAATAACCTGTAAAGTAATTCTACAATTTCTGAAAAATCACCTAAAAGTAACCTTTTCATTAGTGTAACCTAAAAGTAACCACAGCAGTTCAAAAGTAACCTAAAAGGTTACAAAAGTAACCTTCTGGCAACACTGTTGACAGGATTTGTCATTTTCGAGAAAGTTGACGTTTTGTTGACTCACGTTTTTTTTTCTTTTCAACTTTTTTTTAAATAATGGATGGAAGATTCAGTCAATGAACGCTTTATTAGTTGAGCTCTCGATAGCTCAACCAAGAAAATACTGTTTACATCACTATATTTTTTTAGATATAGCAACATTTTAAAAAAATACAAATTATGGTAGACAATAATGGCGGACGTATTGTGAAGTGACGCAAGCGTTAACATTTTACGGCATGCGTTTGATTAGTAATTCGATGATTACAATTGTTTTAAATTCATTTAAAACGTTACTAGTAAACACATGACCAATTAGAGCAGTAGCTGCAGTAAATTCGAACAATGGCACGCGAGTTTGATCACCTCTTCAAACTGCTGATTATCGGTGACAGTGGTGAGTGGGCGAGGCCTGTGATGTTACGACTTCCTAACGACTTTACTTGCAATTTGCTTACGGGAATGTTGCGTTCCAGGTGTTGGTAAGAGCTGTCTTCTCCTGCGATTTGCTGACAACACGTTTTCTGGTAGTTACATTACGACGATAGGAGTAGACTTCAAAATAAGAACTCTAGAAATAAACGGTGAGAGAGTCAAGCTACAGATATGGGATACAGCGGGTCAAGAGAGGTTCAGGACCATAACGAGCACTTACTACCGAGGCACCCACGGCGTCATCGTCGTGTACGATGTCACGAATGGGGAGTCCTTCGCCAACGTGAAGAGGTGGCTCCATGAGATAGAGCAGAATTGTGATGTCGTAAATAAAGTTTTAGGTGAGTATTCTATTTTACTAATTTTATAAATCCTAGCGATATTTTGTTACATGAAGGCAATGTTACGCTTGTAATTAAAATTGTGCTAATCTACATAAGTAAAAGCAAGAGGGTATAATTAGTCTTCTATGATGAGACATTATATAATAACAATTTATTCTGTAATTTCACTTCATAAAATGTTTACTAATGTGATAACATTTATTCTAGCTACACCTTTCCTTTTTCATTCAATTATAAACAAAGTGATTTTACAAACACTGTCCCATTAAAACTTAACACTATCACATTGATAAAATTGTAACATGAACTTCTATTTTCATACTCATCTTATCAAATCCAGTTAAATAACAATTTTGATAGGAAACATTTACAATTTGTTGAAGTGTAGCTAATAATATGAGTGATAATGTTTTATTTGACTTCCTGTTGATAGTTAAATATTGTCCTTGTAGAGTCCATAGTACAAAAGTATTTTTTATAAAGCTTTTTCTTTTGTCTTTTCCAGTTGGAAATAAAAATGACTGTCCGTCAAGAAAAGTGGTAGTTATCGAAGATGCCCAGAGGTTTGCCAATCAAATGAACATACCATTGTTTGAAACAAGTGCAAAGGAAAACATTAATGTTGAGGAAATGTTCCTTACTATAACTAAAATGGTGAGTTATGGGTATTTTGATGATCTATGAAAGTAATTTATAGAACTTACATTGTTCCATACTGTAATTGTTTCTCTTAACGATTTTTATGTAGGCAAAATAGTTTCAGTAATAACAATATTTCATTTTTAAAGGTAAAATAAATTTTCTAATGTTCAAATTAAATAATTTTTTAATAATTTATTTTCAGGTCCTAAGATCAAAATTAGAAATGAAGGAGAGACAAAATGTGACATCAAATGAGACAGTGCACCTAAAAAGGGGTCACAAAACCAAGAAGAAATGTTGCTAGTGGTTGCATGCAATGGCACTGGCCACGGACGTTGCTTACCGATGCTCAAATATCAAGAGATATGTTGCACAACCCCAGCAGGGCGGACGGGCACTACCGACAAAAGTTTACCGATGAAAGTAATCTTAGTTGGCAATGTGAGGTGCAAACATTTTTTTTAAATAATCACAAAATGCCCTTCACAGTGTAAAGTTTAGTATAAAGTCCTAGTTTTTATTTGTACCACAAATTTTGTGTGCTCTTCTAAAATTGGCAAACCTGTGTTATGTTACTGCTTGAAAAGTATAATTTTGTTTATGATTATTGTATGTATAGATTACTTGTCGTTTGATGCTGGGTTGAACAATCTCAAGTGAGCATATTCATGGAAATATGGATTCCAAAAATTACATTAAGATATTATGAATGCATAGTTAATGTGTATGATTGTATTCTCATTATATCAAAATCTATGTGATGGAGTGTTGTGTATGATACAAATATGTTGCGTATAGGATATTGATGTATACCACTAATTAAAGTTTGTTCTTTCTTTTTATAAAATCAAACATTTTCACACAATGTGGTCTCATTTTCATATTGAGTGAGATTAAAATAAAAATTTTGAGACAAAAAGTATTATGGTGGAACATAAGATATTATCCTAATTTAAATTATAAATATTATTTATAGTAATTAATAACACGAAAGTTGCTTTAAATTTAAAATTGACTAAAGCATTGTTTATACGTTCTGTAATCCATTTTAGTGAGAACATGCTATTTTTAATTACATTTTAGTTATTATTGGCAAGAATTTGCAGTATTTTGTATGCATCCAGCAAGTTACAAATTATTTATATTTTTAAATGAGAGATATACAAGTTACAATCTGCCTTTTGTTTTAGTTACTAAATATGATGAAATGGGGTTATCACAGCTAATTGTGTGACTATTTTAACTGTCCACTCAAAGATCTAAGCAATAATAGATGAAATTGTAATTTGGTTTAATGTGACATTGGACCTAATTGAATGACTGTTGATTGCATCCCTTTGTTAACAAGCAGAAAGGATTGCAAATGTCTACTGTCTCGAATTAAAATACAACTTAGCACAATTTTATGATTTGAATTGGTTTTGTCTAATTTGCCTTTTCAGTAAATTGCATTTTATTATTCTTTAGTTACTTATGTTAAATATAATTCCATGATAGAAAATCTGTAATTTCGTTTTTAGTAATGTAACCAAACCAATATTTTTATTATTGTAATCATTGTTGGAAAGTTCAATGTTGATTCATTCCATTCATATTGTATTGTTGGCTAACAAATTGTTTATCATTTGAAACTCTGTTACTTTAATAATCACCACTGTGTTATCCATTTTCATATTGAGAGGAAACTAGTCCTTTGTTGTTTTTAAAATTGTAAGAAACATCAAAATTCAAAACCCAGTCCCTTATTAATATATTTTTATTTTTGCTTTGAATGTAATGTATTTAACTATAATTTTATTGGGTACATAATAAAAGTAATCATTCCGTACACTGCGTTTGTACAATTACAGTGTTTATGCATGATTTTTCTCATTTCTGTACTCATTATTATTTTTTAAGAAATATTGTTCATAGCAGCATTTTATTTGTTTTTAAAACTGTAAATAGATGATATAGGGTAANTATTTTGCCCATAATAAAAGAGTGTTTTAATTTTTATCCCTTTTCAATGCAGGCAGGTAGGTAATAGGTCGCTCAACTAAAGTTGCGATGTTACATCGATGTTATAAGTGGCTCCGAGGGTATCCTTCCGTTTGGCCAAATTACTTTTCGCCAAATTTCACTTCGCAAACAACTTATCGCCAAAGTTTCATTTCCCAAATGAACTTTTAGCAACTGTACTTTTCGCAACTAATTCATTTGGTAAAATTTTACTTGGCAAATGTTTATACAGGGTGTTTGGTAAATGGGTATATGAGCCGATACTAGCCCATGTTAACATGGGCATATAAATGGTATAGTGAAGTCAGAAATTTGATATCATCATTTATTTTTTTTAAATTTTCATACAAATAAATTTTATAAAATCCGATTTAGCTAAAATTTAAATAATTAAAATGAAGATATCAATTTTCTGACTTCANATTTTATAAAATCCGATTTAGCTAAAATTTAAATAATTAAAATGAAGATATCAATTTTCTGACTTCACCATACCATTTATATGCCCATGTTAACACAGGCTAGTGTCGGCTCATATACCCATTTACCTAACACCCTGTATAGCAAATGTTTTATTTTGCCAAATATTATATCTCAAATAATTTGTTTGGTCAAATTGACACTTCATATACTTACCCACCGTTACCCACAAATCAAAGCTTATAATCGAAGTTTCCTACTGCCAAGTGCCTTGCAATTAATTTGTACTCGATCATTATAACAGAGTTCATAATCGTCTTATAGACGACTAGCTTTTCGCCCGCGGAAATTTTTTAAATTTTCTTTGCTATAAACCTCACGGAGCCCGAGACCTTTCCAATGAATGCAAAACCGTGGAAATCGGTTCGTGCGTTCTGGAGTTATAGCGTCAGGAAGGAAAACCCGACTTCGGCCCAGTCAGCTCAATCGGCCCAGCCGTTCTCAAGTTTTAATCAGACTAACGAACAGCAATTCATTTTTATTTTTGTACAGGGTGGAATTTTGTAATGCCACCTGAAGGGAAAGTACTCTTAATACTGTAGATAAAAAATTTTACTCAAAGAAAACATTTCTTTATTTTTGAAAAGAAATAGAACTGCATTCAAAGATTTCCAAAAATTTGCTTGCTACAGTCGGGAATCGAACCAACTAAAATCTGTTAAAAATTACACCCTGCATTTTTATTGCATCGATCGTTAGGGTTAAGTATAAGGATAAAATCTCTCAAACAAACTTGATAAATCAAATGAAAGGAAAACCATGAAATCTCAAATTATTGTATAATTATTTAAGGGTTTTTATGTTCCTGGTCAGGCTATACTCGATCATTATAACAGAGTTCATAATCGTCTTATAGACGACTAGCTTTTCGCCCGCGGAAATTTTTTAAATTTTCTTTGCTATAAACCTCACGGAGCCCGAGACCTTTCCAATGAATGCAAAACCGTGGAAATCGGTTCGTGCGTTCTGGAGTTATAGCGTCAGGAAGGAAAACCCGACTTCAGCCCAGTCAGCTCAATCGGCCCAGCCGTTCTCAAGTTTTAATCAGACTAACGAACAGCAATTCATTTTTATTTTTGTACAGGGTGGAATTTTGTAATGCCACCTGAAGGGAAAGACTCTTAATACTGTAGATAAAAAATTTTACTCAAAGAAAACATTTCTTTATTTTTGAAAAGAAATAGAACTGCATTCAAAGATTTCCAAAAATTTGCTTGCTACAGTCGGGAATCGAACCAACTAAAATCTGTTAAAAATTACACCCTGCATTTTTATTGCATCGATCGTTAGGGTTAAGTATAAGGATAAAATCTCTCAAACAAACTTGATAAATCAAATGAAAGGAAAACCATGAAATCTCAAATTATTGTATAATTATTTATAGCCTGACCAGGAACATAAAAACCCTCGCCATGTTGCGGAAAACTAATGGTACTAATTTCTTTTAATGGCAACAGTAACTGAAAACTTCATTGACATGTCACCTTGCATGTCAGTCTATTGCTGTCAAAGTGTAAACAAACTTTATTTTAAATGTGCGCAATTGGTTTTATGAATTAAATTGCTAAAATCTTTTTATAGTCGTGAAAGAAAAGTGGTTCTCAATGTGTTAGGGTCATTCCACAAAAATATGTCAACTCTTAGTCCGCGCCACATTTCACATGAAATATTTGTTAATATTTAATTCCAAAATTGTTAAATAACAGCTCGCAATGTGCTTTATTCATCACCCATTTATATTTTTTGAAACTATTTTTAAAACATCTTAAATTCCTTTTGAATGACCCAAAACGTCATTCCCTAGGCATGTCCGTACTCCAAAAGTTTGTGTTTTGGGACCCACATTTATAAAAACATCAACTTTATCCTTTGTTTTAATTAACGAATAATACTACTTAAATGTATATTACACCAAATTCTATTAATATTTTGCGGTTTCAATAAACAATAATTTGATTTTCTTTAGTTGAAAAAGAGTCTACAGTTTTTAGCGTCATTCCCTCGCCACGCACTGATTTTATAATTTTGCGCTTTAATATGTATTTAGAGTGAATGACATTTAGTTGAGTTTAAAGTACGATACGAAGTTATCCTCAGACCATACTGGCTTTGCGGTAGCCGTTTTTTGAATAAGTGCAAACGTGCCAGTTGTTGCGGAAACATGTGTTAATCCAGTCACTTCGTCAGTCCCTAGTTGAGTAGCTTTATTGATTATAATAGGAAATTGTATATAATTTAATAGTATTTACGTGTGGTTTTTTGGCTATTTTCGGCACATCGTATTAAGCATCTTATAATATAAAGTTAATCTGCATTTGTGTTAAGTTTTACTCCAAATCGTCAGTCCCTAGAGCGTCAGGCCCTAGCTTTAAACGGCACTTGGGACTAAATTACTAGTTAGGGAATGATGTTTTTTATATAGTGATAATAACAAAACAACTACATTATGTGTATTAACTTATCACTATGAAAATTAGCTGTGGTTTGTTTCAACTACCTATTTTAAAAATTTTGTCACTTTCTAAGTGTTGAATTTTATGGGATTGGGAAAGAAGTACCGAGTTTGAAGCGTTCATGAGCAGACATTGCAGTTGAATATTCAAGTTCTGAATTTGATTATTGATGAATAATAAAATAAATCTACTAGCTCGATTGATGGTTTCATTTAATTTATTTAAATCAGGTTACCTATAATAATATTTTTTCGTAAATTATGAAAATATCAAATTAGCCCGTAATCCTGAATCCTGATACATAAAGTTAGCCTATTAATTTAACACAGGTACGACCATAGAGAAAAGTAATACATAGGGTACGACCATAGAGAAAAGTGGGTACGACTGTACTCTGTGTTGCACTATCAAAATTATCAAATGCAATTGAAGCGCCTCTATGCCAGGGTTTTTATGTTCCTGGTCAGGCTATACAGAATATTGTATGGTATGGTAGTAAATTTTCGAAAAAAATTCGAAATTCTGAATGCACTTCTATTTCTTTTCAAAAATAAAGGAATGTTTTCTTTGAGTAAAATTTTTTATCTACAGTATTAAGGGTAGTTTCCCTCCAGGTGGGTGGCATTCCACCCTGTATAGAAGATAGATAGAGGATAATGCAAAAGCTTTATCCTTGGTCTGAATCACAAATTAGAGAGTATGTCTAAAGCAAAAGAGTATACTGAGGTCTCAAGTAGTATTAATAGCACAGCTTAATAATAAGTACGTATTACTTAGTCCAAGGCCAGGGCCTAAGATGAATGTCTCGACGATAATCGATAGTATTGAAGGTAGTTGAGAGTGTAGTCAGCTGCTCCACGTTCAACTTAGGAGCACCTAGCTGGAGCCCTTTGACTCGGGCGTATTTATCGTCAATTTTTAGAAATCGGACGAAGCGAATCAATTTCGTGAGTAGTGTAGCGCTGGCATTAGTGTAATTTATATTGTCTATAGCTTGTGGCGAATCCCCATTGGGCCTATGCTGAATCAAGCTGTCATCGAGTCGACCAAAAAAAGTTATTGTTTTTGGTTAGCAAACTCGATCAACGATTTTGAGAGCGATTTTCTCATTAATTTTCCAAAATGTCTATGTGGGCATCAGTAAATCGTAATATCTTCAAGCGAACTTCCACGTTCGCCCTTGCTATCGCATCGGGAACGTTCTTCTTTGAAAGAACCTTCGACTTGGTGTCCGTCTCTATCTTTGAGAGAATAAACAAGGGAGTGAGTATTTTGTTATGTAATTAGTTCTAACGTGATATTCACAAGGATCTTTGCCGTATTATATTGCTCTCCTGCATCATAAGACTGTGATAAACCTAATTAATGAGGAGAATTTACGATTTACAAATTCATTCTAACCTTACTCGCATTAGGTAATTTATCCCGAGTGTCTCTTGGAAAACGCTGGACGTCTGTCACTAATAATAGTTAATGTAATTTTTTTGTTAAGAGCTCTCTTATGTGAAGATCTATTTTCTGAGAATTCTGAGGTCCATCATGTCATGTGAACATCTGATGAGTCTGTCATAGAAACTAATACAGGTGTCCCAAAATTAGCACGTCAAAAATTTTCATAAGTTTTAAGATATGACCAATTTTATTTATTCATGTCCATAGAAAAGTTTGATGGGTTTTGAAATATGACTCAAATTAGTTATTTTTAAAAATGGGACTTAATAAACTTGTTAGATGCGTCTTAAGCTCATTTACCTCTGGTGTCAGTGTGAGTTGCAAGTTTTGAGACACCCTGTATATTTTTAAATAATAATTCTTATAGTAACACAAGTGCTGTGTGGTTCTAGCAGAGTAGAATAGAACACTTCCACTCACTTCAATAATTGTTAAATTGACGGGATAATATGGCATGGGGAGTGCAGTCCAAATCCACCATAAAGTAGAAAAGGTAATTCTACCACTTCTAATGAAGTGTTTTTAATTATTATTTTTCATTTTGTTTCAGAAACTATGGAATGACATCAAGGACAAATACCAATAAATAACATGCAATGTCATAAACAGTTTATTAGTTAATTACACCATTGATTAAATTATTATTATTTATACAAGACTTTTATTAACCTTTAAAGTCCCAGACGGCATACATTAATGCCATAACAATTGATTATCTATTGTGTCTAGATTTGCGGGCCTTGAAGGATTAAAGTGTCTAAAAATAAGATCTTTCAAAACCAAATAAATCTGAGAATATTATTATAGTAATACATTTCATAATAACAAATGACTAGATCTTAATTGAATTAAAATTCATAACACAATTTGAGATTTTTCTTCCAATTTAAATGGGATTTAACATTTTTGCACCATTTTACTTATTGGAAATTACGTAATTTATATTTAATTTCTTATAAACAATAACATTTTAGTTACTTCAAGAGTAAATGCTTACTTATTATTCTTTAACAGTTAATTATTTGTTAAATCTTATATAATATTAATTGACATAATAAATGTACAATAATTTGCTATACAATACAATATATTTTAATTTATAGACAAGGGATAACTGGAAGGCGGAAAGGGGTAGGGGGACATCTGTAGTAAGTCAATAGAAAGAGGAAATGGCGTTAAACAGCTACAGTAAATTTTTCAAATCTGTCACATTTTTGAGTCAGGATAACGTACTTGTACTTGTGAATACTTTTACAACAGGAGCAGTAAATGATAAGGCTGGGCTGGCAAAATGCCACGGAAGACCCTAATCGCCCCCTCAGCGATGCTTCAGGGCGATTAACCATAGATTCGCCAAGGGGGGCCCCATGCACAGAATTTGCCACGGGCCTCGGATGTGGTATAGTTACGCCACTGAATTGACAGTCTGCATCTTAGGTTTCACTCATTCTTTTACAAACGTCTAGCACTAGCAATTTTGAACTGATATCACTTGTCTTGTTCATTCTCACTTGTAGATATTCTATGCATCACAGATGCTCGGAGCGGGTGCGCGTTGTGAACCACTTACTGGGAAATGTCGCGTCGTTACGGATTAGCGGAGCGTAGACGCACATAATATTATTAACATGCCGCCTTACGAGTGTCCTGATTAGTGTGTGAGACTGTGAGCTTAGCCGGGCGATCGCGAATTCGTGAGCGTCACTTATTGGGGATTGTGGCGTCGTTACTTTTCGCCACGTGAGCATAATTTTAGGGAGTGTCGCGTCTTGACCTGGCGGAGCGGGGGCGCGCGTGCCTCTGAGTCCCCGCCTGGTGGGCCCGTGGGCGAGTGTCGCGCCGTTACGGCCGCGCCGAGCGGTGTCTCGCATGGTCATCGTCGGCCAGCGCGTCGGCGGAGGCGGACGACGGCAGCGGGCGCGGCTGCAGCGGCAGCGGAGCGTCGTAGTGCGGCTCGTCGGCGAGTGCCCAGATGATGTCGACGAGTAGAGGTTGTGCTAGGTTCTTGATCGCTTCTTGGCGGGCCACCTGTGGAGATGAAATTGAGTTAAGTGTCATACAAAAGTAGACAGCTCAGGTTTTAGTTATCTGAAAGCTTTAGTTGAAACAGTTGTAGCTGAACGTTACACAGGCATTTTGACCCCGGTTACAAAAAACATTCTGGCTGGCCCTAGCCTGCCTCTTTACAACTGATTAATCAGCACATCTATAAAAGCGAAAGGTCACTGACTCATCACGAAAACTCAGAAACTACAAGTGCTAGAAGTCTAAAATTTTTCATGGGGGGGTTCATTTTAGAACGTTGGTGCTTACTAAGACGGGATTTTGCAAAATTAAACCCCTCAGGGGGTAAATCGGGATCCGCGCGTACGAAGTCGCGGGCGGCCGCTAAAGCCTGGTCCGTGAGCATAAAGGCCTATTCAGACCTAAGCGGTATTCGATACCGTCTGCGGCAGAGAAAACCCAGTGGGTATGCGGTAATAATACTGTTTAGACCTAAGCGGTATTCGCTACCGTCTGCGGCAGAGAAAACGCTCTAGCCGCGGTACTAAATACCTGAGCGAAACCCGCGCGGTATGTACCTCTACCCACAGCGGCAGCGAATATCGCTCAGGTTTGAATAGGCCTTTATGTTGCTGTCGCGCTCGCACACTCACTGCGGGCGCCCGTCGCACAGTCGCGACAGCAATTTACACGCGAGCGATAAGGATGGGTAGCTTGGGGTCATTGGACAAAATTCTACGTGCTCACGGACCAGGCTTTAGTGTAGTATAGCGACCTGTCCGAAGTGGTGCACGATCATCTTGAGCGCGTACTCCTTGATGTCGGCGGCTCGCATGCGGTCGGCGGCCGGCAGGATGGCGAGCACGTTGTCGGGCGACACGTTGCTCTGTAGGTTGTGCTTGCAGAACACTTGGAGACGGTTGTTGGTGAACCCTGAGGAGTGGCCATAAGTTAAAGTTTTGAACTCTCATAGGGCGACCGTTTGGTGTAGTTGGTTCAGAACGGACTACTGTGCCGAGAGGTCCCGGGTTCGATTCCCGGAAGTAGTATATCTGTTAAGCTAGCACCCATAACACAAGCATATAAGTTGCTTACTTTGGGGCTAGCTGGCGCTGTGTGAATTTGTCCAAAGATTTATTTATTTATTGTGATGAACACTCCAAACTCAAACACAAAGCTTATGTAGAGGGGTTAACGGGACTATTCCCACAGCTACAACTCCTGTGTAGCCAGGATATACAGCTTGACCGCCAATAAAAACTGAACCAGTGAAGACCAAGTTTGCCCGAGAGAAAATTAAACTGGCATTGGACCCGCAACCAGAGTAAATACAAATGAGTAGGTCATCTTCATAGAAACGCAACGAGCGCGGTTTGTATGTGAGCGCGCGCCAATACGGATGCGGCGCGCACGCACACTGACAAAATTTGGGGCAACTCACCGCTAATCAACGCTAAATTTTGTGAGTGTGTGCGTGCGCGCCGCATACGTATTGGCGCGCTCAAATACAAACCGCGCTCGGGCGTTTCTATGAAGATGACTTACTCATTTGTATTTACTCTGCCGCATCGAAATTAATCAGAAGAACGTAGGAGTTGGAAGTTAAGGTTCGATTTTCCTCCAGTGCAAAGCGGATGACAGGTTACAAAACAAAGGTTTCTAAAGGGCAAATACTGGGCACATATTAACCCATTAACGCCCAAATGAAAACTACGGTCAATTTCACATAGCCAATGTTTATTTTCTTTATAAAAATACTTCAGAAATAATACTAAGCAGAAAGAAAACCAAAAACAAAATGAGAAGTTAGATTTTCAGGGGTGTACTAAGTTTAGTACAATGGGCGCTTATGAGTCATATTGAGCAAAGCTTTCTCCATCCTGGCACAGTATTTTCAGGCACTTGCTATAAGCTGTTTTGACTCTATTGAAACGCACAGTAATTTTAAGCTGTCAAATCAGCTTGTTTGCTGGTTTATTTTGATTATAACCATTATTTCATATTTTTTCTCCATCAACTAGAGCAAGACTACCTACTTTTATTTATCTTTTATAGGTCAAATATGTGCGTACTATATATTTTCGGAATGCTAGCTGATCTAAGCGACTATATGGATTTACTACAGTGCAGTCTGCATGCATTTGAAATTGGCATGTCCACCACATAAGCGAACAAGACCCATCCACCGGTTTTTTTTCCTTTTACCTCAATTTGGTAAAGTTTTATAGACTAGCCATCTGATCTAACCCACTGATATTCTTATTATACTGTAGCTGGACACCTTGTGGTGCCTAACTCTACTTGTTTTTTATCAAAAGACCCCAATAATGACCTTTCCCAATGGTTCTAAAGCATCAAAATTTGTTCCAATAGTACCCACATTATTATCNGTCCAATGGTTTTTTACTCACAGGCTTCCAAGTCTTGAAAAGGGCCACCTCAACCAGTGTAACCCTATCAAGGCTTACGAGCTTGATGCGCCTTTCCTTGTTCGTCCCAGCCGTTCCTTAACTGCGGTTGCTGCACCTCTTCCTGGCACTCACCTGAACGACTCTGTGTTACCTACTGTGGCTGCCCCTCTTCCTTGTATCCTCCTGCATGACTACGTTGCCTAGCCGTATGCCTGGTCTAAGGTTCGACGTCAGAAATTATTTCCGATTTAATCAATTTTTGTGTTTAATTCTACTGGCCTAAAAAGACATAGTACATAATAAAAGAGATACACAAATGGACAGATAGCTGCTTGTGCTCCTCTGACAAAAAGGCTCAGCATACATCAAGACCGCGCCAGGGCTTGTCTCGAAACTGATTTTCAGCGGGGACACTCTGTTGTCAGCAAGGGGGCGCAATGTGCAGGAAGAGAAATTAAAACCCAGGTCTTCTTCCTAACATAAATAAATAAATATACCGCAAATCCGTTGACCGTTGAACTATTGTGACGATCCCTTCCCTAACCCAAAAATATCAAGCTTATGTAGAGAAGTTAACGGGATTATTCCCATGTCTCATTCCCACAGCTAGAACTCCTGTGTAGCCAGGATCTACAGCTTGACCGCCAATAAAAACCCAACCAGCGAAGGTCAAGTTTGTCCCGGGGGAAGTTAAACTGTCATCGGACCCGCAATGAAATTAATCATAAGAACATAGGAGTTTGAAGTAAAGCTTCGACTCCCTCCAGTGCAAAGCGGATGACAGGTTACAAAACAAAGGTTTCTAAAGGGGTTAATGGGCACATATTACAGTAAATTGTCTCTACCATACTTGTAAAAGTAAATACTGACCGTAATATATTGGCGCTTGGAACAGATACAGGGAGTCCTCTGTAGGCATGTTGGTGTCGCCATAGTAGATGTACCGGAGCAAAGAATCAAAGGCCTCCTCTGACGGGACAGTGTCGCAGATTTGAATCTGAGAAGGACAATAATGATGAAATAATATTTTCACATGATAATATTTAGTAACCTGTTCTAATTTGTTCTTACAGCAATGAGGGCTATCGTTTTAGCGCTCACCAGTTAGCGCCACTGTAGAGTAAGGTCTTGTCACTTGCTAGTAGCGAAGACAGTGGCACCAACTGGTGAGCGCTAAAGTGGTAGGAGGACTATCGCATTTGCACTCATCAAGATGGCGCCATAGTAGAGTAAGGTCCTGTCAATCGCCAGGGGTGCCAACTGTTAAGTATAAAAATGATAGCCCTCATTGCTTGTCAATTTCCGGTTTTTAACAGTCATGTTGCAGAATGATTGCAAATGAATTCTCAATACGTTTCTGTTTACCAAGTTGGCAGCCCTATTGTGCAGTATAGTCCAATGGTCGGGGCTACGTCTGGCCCCACCCATAACTTCAAAACATCAAATTTCTCAACATGGTTTAACGAAAAAAAAAATACACTAATATCACTTATATGGACAATATTATCTTGCGGCGAAAATGACCTGAACATAGCTTCAAAGTAAGCAGCCCTACCGGCTAGCACCGAGCAATGGGCGGGGCTACGTCTGGCCCCACCCACAATTTTAAGTCACTAGGAAAAAGTACAGTAATATAACTTACATTGACAATATTATCTTGCGGCGAAAATGATCTTAACATAGCTTCAAAGTACGCAGCTCTCGCAGCTAGGACCGAGCGGTGAGCCGACCTGCTCGCAGACCCCACCCATAACTTCATACCATCCAATTTCTCAACGTGGTTTAACAAAAAAAACTATCACTTACGTTGACGATATTATCTTGCGGCGAAAATGATCTGAACATAGCTTCAAAGTACGCAGCTCTTGCGGCTAGGACCGAGCGGTGAGCAGGCCTGCTCGCAGACCCTACTCGTAGCTTCACGTCACTCAGCTCTAAGCCGCCTGCGCCGCCGCTCGCGAATACACTCATGTCCTGTTCTAGTGTTGTGCCTGTAAATAAACAAATAGGTCAAAGACACCAAGAAGTAAGTAGTTTTTTTTAATCCACAACGAGGAAGCTTTATTAAGAGGAACGAGGAAGGAGTTTGACTTTATAAGCAAAGGTAAAGGTAGATGTTCAGTTTTTGGACAAAGGTACTGCGCAATAGTTGTCGGTGTAGACTGAGGAAATGGATGGGATGCGGTGACTGTAACGGAGTTGTAAAATAGGTACCATTTCCCTTTTCCAGATTGACATTATCTCTTATTTAATAGTGCGACAGTAAGATCCCTTATTGTTGCTTATCCACATCTCGCTTTGTCTAACATTTTTTGCTAGACAAAGTTCCCTCCCCAAAGCCGCGTTTCCCGCGATCGTCACTAGATCGGCGGTCCACTGCAGGGTTACTCCGAAACGTTCTCCCAAGTTTCGAAAAATGCCATCTCTTTCACGCAAGCGAGACGCTAGCATGAGCGACGGTGGCAGATAGACCCGAGACTATGTAATCGGCTTTTCGGAGTAGTCCTACAGGTTGATGGTTAACGGGACTATTCCCACCTCTCGTTCCCACCACTGCAACTTCTGTGTAGCCATGATCTACAGCTTGACCGCCAATAAAAACCTAACCAAGGTCAAGTTTGTCCCGGGGGAAAGTTAAACTGTCATTGGACCCGCAACGAAATTAATCAGAAGAACGTAGGAGGAGTTCGAAGTTAGGCTAATGGTTAATCAACGCACCGTTGATCTCTTCTTCGTAGTCGTTGTAGGGCGCGGGCGGCTGCTTGCTGGGCTGCTGGCGCCGGCGGATCAGCTCCACCATGAGGCTCTGGTCCATCTGCTCGAACTCCGCAGACATCACGATCGGAGTGAAGTTGTAGTCTTTCACCACGAACCTGCGTTCAGAATGAATGGATGTAGCAGTTACTTCAGAGACATACTTTTTTTTATGTAACACATCATAAATGGTGTAACCAAAACTTATCGATAAACTAATGACATCTCTAATATTTGGGGGGAACATTTTTTTATTTTTTTTATCCACAACGAGGAAGCTCTTGGCCTGTATCTCGTGACGTTCAGGCCGAAAGTGCAAGCGAGCTTCACCCGGAATCCTCAACCACGGAGGAACTGGCTATCTTACCTCTAACTGCCGGAACACAACAATGCTGTTAACATTGTTGTTATGGCGACAGACTTAGGTAAGATGGAAGGAATATTGAGGAGACGATTGATGTCCCCTTTCTGCTTTACATATCTACCTACGTCCCAGTGTCAATGACTCTGCTTAAGAAAATCACCACACCTTTACCAGACGGCCCCCTCTGGTTCAAAAACACTCATCAACAACAATCACCTTCGCGCTTCATTACCTTTATTGTGGGAAGCACCTGAATGCGAGCAGCGCTGGACTGGTCTTCGTGGTTGCAGCAGCTATAGTCTGGTCGCTGAGCACGTAGAATTTTGTCCAATGAAATGACCCCAAGCTACCTATCCTCATCGCTCGCGCGTAATTATATTGCTGTCGCACGCGACTGTGCGACAGGCGGCAGAAGTGAGTGTGCGAGCGCGACAGCAATACAATTACGCGCGAGCGATAAGGATGGGTAGCTTGGGGTCATTGGACAAAATTCTACGTGCTCAGCGACCAGACTTTAGATGGGCTACGGCAGAGGGCACAAGATGAAAATCAGTGCCGGAATCTGTGTCGATGACTGCGATCTTTTTTGTTTTTCCATCTACCCACCTCAGGCAGTGCTCCTTGATGCAGCTCAGCTGAGCGTGGTATAGCACAGGTTGGCTCGCAGGAACCGCGCGCACAGCGCTCGCGGCCGGGGGATGCTCAGCTTGATGTCCCTCGACCCACCTCAGGCAGTACTCCTTGATGCAGCTCAGCTGAGCGTGGTGCGCCGCGTGCAGCGCCGGCAGCACGTTGCTGTAGCACAGGTTGGCTCGCAGGAACCGCGCGCACAGCCCTCGTAGGCGTGGTATGCTCAGCTTGATGGCTAGTCGGAGTACTTCCATTACTAGTAGAATGGTGGCGGGCGATGCAGGGTCTTCGTCTGTGGAAACATTGTTGTAAATAAGACTGAGATGAGGTTTGAACCGCGACTTAACCCGCGTGATTTTTGGTTTGTCACAGAATGATTGAAAAATCGAGAAAGAAACTATTCTATGTTTTCTAAGGTAGAGGCTCATCAACACATGCATGTCCGACGTCAGGTAGAAACCGGTTCGTTAACACACGCCCTAAAGGCGCGACTGTGCGACGGGCGCCTGCAGTGAGTGTGCGAGTGCGATAGCAATATAAATACGCGCGAGCGATAAGGATGGGTAGCTTGGGGTCATTGAACGAAATTCTATGTGCTCGGCAACCGCACTTTAGGTCTTTAGAACATGTTTGACGTAACGACTATAACCTACCCTTCTCGGTGGGGTCGATCCGGTCGGTGTAGATGTAGTTGAGCACCATGCTGAAGGCCTCGGGCGTGGCCTCGGGCAGCGGCACCGTGAGGCGCGGCTCCGCCTTGTACGAGTACACTTCCGACGCCGGCTCCTCTCCCGCGGCTATACGCTTAGCCGTCCGGTCGCCGAGCAGATAGAATTTCGTCCAATGACCCCAAGCCTACCATCCTTATCGCTCGCGCGAAATCATATTGCTGTCGCGACTGTGCGACGGGCGGCCGGAGTGAGTGTGTGTGTGCAATCGCAATATAATGAGGGCTATCGTTTTTATACTTAACAGTTGGCACCCCTGGCGATTGACAGGACCTTACTCTACAGTGGCGCCATCTTGATGAGTGCAAATGCGATAGTCCTCCTACCACTTTAGCGCTCACCAGTTGGTGCCACTGTCTTCGCTACTAGCAAGTGACAGAACCTTACTCTACAGTGGCGCTAACTGGTGAGCGCTAAAACGATAGCCCTCATTGCAACGCTGCCAATGCCAACAATGACACTCGGATTGGTGGGATCAAACTCCCCGCACCCCCCGCTTTACTCGACCGCGCGCGTCTTTGTCGATGAAACGAACTATAGCTCTTTACGCGCCTCCCTAGGACACGTTTGACATACGACTACGACCTACCCTTCTCGGTGGGGTCGATCCGGTCGGTGTAGATGTAGTTGAGCACCATGCTGAAGGCCTCGGGCGTGGCCTCGGGCAGCGGCGCCTAGTAAACTTCGGATGCCGGCTCCTCGCCCGCGGCTACACGTTTAACTGTCCGGTCGCCGAGCAGATAGAATATCGTCCAATGACCCCAAGCTTACCATCCTTATCGCTCGCGCGTAATCATATTGCTGTCGCGACTGTGCGACAGGCGGTCGCAGTGAGTGTGCGAGTGCGATAGCAATATAATACGCGCGAGCGATAAGGATGGGTAGCTTGGGGTCATTGTACGAAATTCTATGTGCTCGGCGACCGGACTTTAGCTCCTCCCTAGGACATAAGGACTTCGACCTACCCTTCTCGGTGGGGTCGATCCGGTCGGTGTAGATGTAGTTGAGCACCATGCTGAAGGCCTCGGGCGTGGCTTCGGGCAGCGGCACCGTGAGGCGCGGCTCCGCCTTGTACGAGTAAACTTCGGACGCCGGCTCCTCGCCCGCGGCGATGCGTTTACTTAGCTCTTCACGCGCCTCCCTATAACATGTTTGAATATGTAAACTTCATTCAATATTACATGGCAAAAGAAAATGTTTTTAAGGTGATCGATGCAATGTGTATATGCTGATCGCCTATAGTCTGGTCCGGGAGCACGTAGAATTTTGTCCAATGACCCCAAGCTACACATCCTTATTGCTCGCACGTAATTATGTTGCTGTCACGCTCGCACACTCACCGCGGGCGCCCGTCCCACAGTCGCAACAGCAATATAATTACGCGCGAGCGATAAGGATGGATAGCTTGGGGTCATTGGACGTAATTCTACGTGCTCCCGGACCAGACTATACACGTCCTTTTGCCACATCAGCGTGCAATGTTGCATCGCAACGCCGCTAAATTGCACGCATATGGCATTCAATCAGTTAAAATCATAACGCTGCGACGACGCAACATACCGGCAACACTCGGATCCAAACTAGTGCGCACGATGGGCATGTCTAAAAAGACGTACACTTATGAAGTCACACTTTCACGGTTTTTTGCCAAATGGTCGATATTTGAGTGGCTGTGATGTATGTGCTCACAACATTTTTTGAAGGCTGGATCCAGCAATGTTACTTGATCTTAACCTGGAGGTGACACTTGATGTTCGGGCGGCAGATAGATTCACACACAACCTTTTTTGAGTGTTCTGTCTTTTTTTTGTGTTTTATCTTACTTGATCTTAGCCCGAAGGTACTGCGTGCGGCGAAGATTGCCTGGTGCGCGCGCGCGGGAACTTTGTCGGGTCCCACCAGAAGCGTGACGTCACATAATTGCTGCGACCTGTAGTGTTAGAGAGATGCGAGTGTTGCTTGCTGGTGCGTTGCATCGGAGCGGTGATGACTGGCATATCCTTCACCAAGCGACATCGTGACATCGTACCGCTTATATGCTGGTGAATCATTGCACTGCTGTGTTATCTCTTACTTGATCTTAGCACGAAGGTACTTGGCTTGGTGATGGCGCGCGGGAACTTTGTCGGGTCCCACTAGAAGCGTGACGTCACAGAAGTAAACTACGTCACAACAACGCAGCGCACCACTAACGCTGGTGTTAGTTAAGCAATGAGCATGCCCGCAACCTTGACTTGTGATGTCACACTTTCACGGTTTTTGTGAGATCGACACTCTGATAACCCATATGACATTCTACAATCTAATAGAATCTTTTAGAAGCAATAAAGGACTTTATTTATTTATTTAATACCACTTGGTAGATTTTCGGGTAGCTGTGATGTGTTCTTACTTGATCTTAGCCCGTAGGTACTGCGAGCGCGCCGCTAGCATGGCTTGGTGCGCGCGCGCGGGAACTTTGTCGGGTCCCACTAGAAGCGTGACGTCACAAAACTGCTGCGACTTGAGGATGCGCCCGAAGTCGTCGTGTAATGTGCAGCGAGGGTAGTTCGATAGCTGTTGAAGATAAGTTTTATGTTGATGAGTCTGTGCACACAGTGTAAATGCCTATTTAATGCTCAATACTCTCATCTTGACCGGTATTTGTGGAAATCCTTGGGGGAGGCCTTTGTCCAGCCGTGAAACGAACGAACGAACGAACCTTTCGGCTGAAACGAACGAACGAACGATCTTGAAGAGGCCCAGATCGTAGTTAGGGACAGATTGTAGTGAATTTTAATCCTTAGCTGTTCGCATTATAAAGAAGAACGAGCTTATGGAATATCGAGATTGTAGAGATGGTATGCTAATCTGTGCCTAGTTCCCTGGATGGAAGGGGGCTGGTGGAATAAGTTTTAACGAGCATAACAAGTCCAAGATTTTCATTGTTTTTGGACCTTAAGACAAGGGAACAAAGTTCAAAATATGGTGGGAAATACATTCCCACTTCCGTATAAAGGCTCAATACTTTGCTAACATTAGACGCTATTTTTGGACCTTAAGACAAACAAAATAAAGTTCAAAATATGGTGGGAAATATATTCCCACTTAATTAAAATCTGACCTGGAAGCGGAACAGCTCGCCGCTCCGCACGTTGTTGTCCACGGTGCCGCCGAAGATGTACATGGCGTCGCCCACCACCGCGCCCGCGTGGAACAGCCGCCCCGTCGGCAGCTGCGAGTCCGCTGACGGTAGCACCACCGACCTGACAGAAACAAAATCAGCTCTATTCATTCTTGCGATAGAGTCGATTTTACAACACCTTCTTACTCGGAATAAAGTCGAATTTACGACGTCTGTAAGTACTTAGATCTACTGGTAGATGCGAGTCCGCTGACGGGAGCAACACCGACGTGACGGAAACAAGCTCTATTCATACTCGGAATAAAGTCGAATTTACGATATCTGTAAGTACTTATAGATCTATTGGCAGCGTGTGATGGCAGCGCCACCGACAGAAACAAAATAAGCTCTATTCATACTCAGATTAAAGTCGACTTTACATTGAAACATCTGCAGTCGAAAATTAATAAGACTTGTTCCAAATTCGCACTTATTATAAGTACATAGCCCGCGTGGAACAGCCGCCCCGTCGGCAGCTGCGAGTCCGCTGACGGGAGCACCACCGACCTGGCAAAAGAAGCTCTATTCATACTCGGAATAAAGTCGATTTTAATTTACATAAGTACATCTCTTCGAAACTCGAAAGTGATGACCTCCCACCTGCCACGTGATAGATATAAAATGAGCTCTATTAATACTCAGAACAAAGTCGACTTTACATCACTACATCTCTTCGAAATTCGAAAGTAATGACGGGAGCAACACCGACCTGCTACGTGACAGATATAAAATCAGCTCTATTCATACTCGTAATAAAGTTGAATTTACATTAACACAATGCAGTCGAAGGTCAATTAGATGTTGCAAATTCGCATTTATTATAACTACATAGCCCGGGTGGAACAACCGCCCGTCGGCAGCTGCGAGTCCGCTGACGGGAGCACCACCGACCTGCCAAAACAAGCTCTATTCATTCTTGGGATAGAGTCGAGTTTACAACACCTTCATACTCGGAATAAAGTCGAATTTACGACGTCTGTAAGTACTTAGATCTACCGGTAGATGCGAGTCCGCTGACGGGAGCAACACCGACCTGCCAAAAGAAGCTCTATTCATACTCGCAATAAAGTCGAATTTACGATGTCTGTAAGTACTTATAGATTTATTGGCAGCGTGTTATGGCAGCGCCACCGACAGAAACAAAATAAGCTCTATTCATACTCAGATTAAAGTCGATTTTACATTAACACATTTGCAGTCGAAATTGAATAAGACTATTGTTGCAAAGTCGCACTTATTACATAGCTCGCGTGGAACAAACGACCCATCGGCAGCTGCGAGTCCGCTGACGGGAGCACCACCGACCTGACAGAAACAAAATGAGTTTTATTCATTCTCGGAATAAAGTTGACTTTACATCACTACATCTCTTCGAAATTCGAAAGTAATGACGGGAGCACTTCCGACCTGACAGAAACACTCCAAACTAAGATCTATTTATATCCGGAATAAAGTCCACTTTACAGTAACACATCTGTTCTGTAGACGAAGGTCAATAAGATGTAGCAAATTAGCATTTATTATAAGTACATAGCCCGAGTGGAACAGCCGCCCCGTCGGCAGCTGCGAGTCCGCTGACGGGAGCACCACCGACCTGGCAGAAACAAAATGAGCTTTATTCATTCTCGCGATAGAGTTGAGTTTACAACACCTTCAACTTCATACTCGGAATAAAGTCGAATTTACGTCTGTAAGTTAGGTCTACCGGCAGCGTGTGATGGCGGCACCACCGACCTGCCACGTGACAGATATAAAATGAGCTCTATTCTTACTCGGAATAAAGTCAACTTTACATTAACACAATGCAGTCGAAGGTCATGTTGCAAATTCGCACTTATTATAACTACATAGCCCGCGTGGAACAGCCGCACCACCGACCTGACATATAATAGAGAAACAAAATTAGCTCTATCTATTAGGAATAAAATCGAGTACACAACATCCATAAGAACTAACAAATGTACTGGCAGCTTGTGATGACAGCACCACTGACCTACCACGTGACAGAAATGATAAGAATAAGAATGTCTTTATTCAGCATAATTATAATTTAAGGTATACAAGGCAAGAGTAAGTACATAAAAAAACATAACAAACAATAAATAAAAACATAATATGCTGAATAGGCGCCCGCTCAGCAAAAATCACGACATGACACAAACGTCATGCCGAGAAGCTGGTTTTCAGCGGGAACCAATGCGTGATGAGGGTTGCGCGCCCTTCTGGTCGAGATCTGTGGCCGAGACGGATTAATCAGATAGTGTCAGACAGGTTATAGGCAAGCTACAATCTGGTGACACAGTGAGCCAGGTCAGTCTACAGGCCATAAGGGCGCGCAACAGGGGGCGTGGTAGTCGATAAAAATTATGAAATTCAAAAGAAACAATAATACATTCCTTTTTTTCTTTTCAATTTTCGGCTGGTTGTCATGGTCTACCTACAATCTTCAACAAGCGCTATTTTCCGCCAAACGTAGCCNGCAAAAACGAGTAAATTCTGGAAACCGGACACTCCATTTTAGGCCAAATTTCGCCCGTTTTTGAACTTTCGGATTTTTTCAAGGCGAGATGTAAAACCTGGCGGTCTTCTAAATATGCTCTCCATCAAGTCAAGAGTCCTATAAATACCTGTGATTTTTTTCAAGTCCGTACTTCAATTTTAAAGGTACTTTTTTCGCCCCAGTAGGTCGATCGGTCGTCCCCGTAGAAATGCCCATTTACTACACCATTAACAATTTCCACTTGAAATGATAGCTAATAACAAATCTTCCCTCCACATAATTGTTGATTGTGAAACACGCAACGCAGGTGCATTATGAATTAATAAATGGTTTGATGGACGACGCGTGCCCTCTCCACAGACCATGCACATGATATAGAAGCTATAAAAGTACATAGGTCCCTATTCCTATTCAGGCCCCTCTTTCCCACTGGGCACTTTGGGCACGTGCCCAGGGCCCCGCGACCGAGGGGGCCCCCATCTGCTAATAAGACCTTTTTCTAGATGATAAGGGCCTAGGGTTGCCAGGCTTTATACGGTCGTGTCTGGCCTAAAATTGTCTTTTCCGGCCTGTCCGGCTTTTGTTAGCTAGGCTTTTTATGTGGTTGCCGCACCAGGCGAAAGTCGAGCTACAGAATAATATCAAGCGCACGCATCAGGATGTTGGGCAACCGATGATGATAGAATTCACTCGTAAGCTATGACACTATTCCTATTAGGTATTCTCAGCAATAACTTAGCTAGCGACTTCGCTCGGGTCTTGAACCCATCCGCCCCGTAAGTTTTGCCCTTCATAATTTATTTCGTAAGACATTTTTAGGCAAAGCTGCAAGGGGGCGAAAGATACGGGGCGAACGGACGCCGAGACCTTTCGCTCGTCCGTCGCGGAAGTTTGCCCGAGGGTCTCATTTCATATAGGTAGGGTGATTTACGGGGAAAATAATTAATCTAGTTATTGCCACGACCTAGATATACTAGTTAGTTATTGCGACGACCTGATGACTTTTAATTTATTTTGCCCGTAAATCACCATATTCTAGTTATTTTCAATGTTTCCTTTGTTCCAATGCATAATCTTTAGGCATTTTATGCAAGTATTTATTTGAAGGTTTGAGACACACGTATTGTGAAAACAGCGCATCAAACTACATTTTTAAATAGGTACAATTTTGTTACAAACTCTACCATATTAAAAAATTTATATAACACCCAGCAGTGTTTAACTTGATACCTATTTCCAAAATTGCCGCGTGTAAGTGTGGCCTCTATTAAATTAGGTAGTCTGTCCCCTAAACTGTGGGTAAACTGATCGTGCCCCGAGGGCAATATTTGCCCGTCACACCTTGCTCGTTTGTGGTCTTCTTTCGAATCAATATTTATTTTTTTAATTAGGAGTATACATAGGGCGTAGGGTCAGTAGGGGTTTGAAACGTATGAAAGTAGCATGTGTTTGAAGGGAACATTCCTGAGTGACGCTGATCGCTCGGCGCCGACGCTTCATACATTTCGGCTGTCAGCGCTGACGGTCAGCGTGCGTCAGCGTGACTCTAAAACCAGCCTAATAATAAACACAAACAAATTACAAAAAGTAGCTTGCAAAATTAAATATTTGCGATAGGTACGATAGTTCGCTCGTTTGAACCTAAAGTCCATAGGTGGACAAATAACTCTCCCAACGATTTTTGGACTGGTCTTGACGTCCTGCACTGTCCGCATCCAGGTACTTCATGCAATCTTCACTAGATCGTCGGTCCATTGAGTCTACCTACACTACGTTACGGCCCGTGGCCACCTCTAGATAAGTTTTCTGCCACAACGGCCATCAATTTTATTGGTGTGAACTAACTAAACGACGCGAGCTAGGTTAATAACTGGCGGATCCGTTTCTTTGGACTCCGGTGGACACCATTGGGTTTTAGTAGGTAGGCCCCGCCTTTAGTGAGCAGGCGGGGAGAGTCCCACATAACCCACTGGCCGTTTCCATCGACCAGGGGGTATGCGCAAAGAATTTCCCGACGTTTAAAAAAAAAGTGTATAAAGTCCGTGAAATGCGATTTCGGAAAGTTCGCTGCGCTGTGTAATTTAACCGTAGATGTCCACAAAGATAAAACTATTTTTATAATTCCGCGAATGTATAAACGTCAAAAGAACATGAAATTAAACTCCAGAAAGAGAGCCAGGAGCCAAAGATAACATAGTAGTCAAGCTGTATCGTTTATATTTATTGACCCGACATTTTTGTCGTCTATTCTCCACAGATGTGCACAGCATGGTGGGGCCGCTGCTAGCCGCGCTGCCGCCCCAGCCCCCGCCCTGCCTGCCGCCCTACTGCCAACACCTGCCAGTCAGGGCTCCTCCAAGTAATGAGAATAATATAGCAAGGTTTAGACTAGCAATAAAACTTGCAGAAGCTGACTTCCGCAAGCTGTTTACCACTGTGTAAGTAAATAGCTGTGACAAGCTAACTTCTGCAAGATAAACACAGTGGTGACAGCTTGCGGAAGTCATCTTCTGCAAGTTTTATTGCTAGTCGTAAACCTCGCTTAGGATTCTTTCAAATAAGACGTTTTTAGCAGGACGTCAGTCAGGCGTTTGCAAGACTGCACGTTTGTTTCAGCCAAATGATGTCCACATCTGGACAAAGACCTCCCCAAGGATTTCCACATCGACCGGTCCTGTGCTCCCCGCATCCATGAAAGTCGCGGGAAGTAACATGCACCAGATCGTCAGTCCACCTAGCTGGACTGCCCACACTACATATTACTCACCTGTCGACAACATCTGCCCCAACGCTCATCAGCTCTACGAGTTGCATGTGTGCCCCATCACCTAAATTGTACTGTTTCGATTTTGCAAGTATATTCTTTCTCTGTTTTATGTGATTTGCAATAAAGAGTATCTATTCTAAAGTTTATGTATCTATCTTCCCCCGTATAGTTCTGATCTAAAACTACTATCTATCTAAGCCTAGGCGCAGTCAGCCGGTAGTTGGGTCGGGCTGTTGAATCAGTATGGACATATTGTATGAATGTGCACACATTACATCGGCCGATTCTTCAAACAAATTAGAATCGGGCCCAACTATCGGCCGACTAAAAGTCTGTAGTCTGTAGTAGTCTGCAGGGAGTCATAAGTGTGTGTATCTTTCTTCCTTATAGTCCTGACGCCTCCCCCCTGCGACGCAGACATCCGAAGACGAGGGGAGAAGCGCCCTATCCCGCCCGAGCTGAAGGACGAGAAGTACTTCGAAAGACGCCGAAGAAACAACCAGGCCGCTAAGAAGTCCAGGGATGCGAGACGGATTCGTGAAGACCAAGTGAGTAGACGCCGTAAAACTTGGAGCATTTCAGACCGAATCTGCATTTTCCTCTCCTAAGTAGGTACTAGGTAGTAAGTAAGATATATGCGTAGACTCTTATTCGGCGTGGATCTATAGACACGATAAGCATGCATACTCCATGCTCACAACCCTATTATTGACTTAGGGCCTTGCCACACTAGCGGATTCGTCGCGTCTTCGCCGGGACACGCGGCGTGTTCGCTGCGCCGCCGCTCCGTTTTGAAAACACTTGCAATCCGCCAGTGTGGCAGTTCACTTTTATAATGTAATTTTTTCCATAGTCCATTGACGACAGACAAGACTGATATGATTTCGAGTAAACAGTAGTGCGCGAACCACAATTTAAGAGTTTGGTCTATTTTGTGATCTGGTTTTGGGAAAATTTTTACAAGTGTCAGCCAAGCACTGATCTTGGATCTAGGAGGACCCTCTCCTAGATATCCGTGCTTGAGACTGAAACAGGAGGGGCAAGTGTCGCAAAGAAAGAAGGGGTTGCTTTGTGTAAAAAACGGACGAAGGAAAGCTAACAACGGGTCCATTCGCTACTTAGCTACGTTTTTGCTTCCAGATCGCTTGGCGCGCGTGTCTCCTCGAGCAAGAGAACGCATCTCTGCGCGCACACATCGCCGCGCTCCGCCAGGAGGCGCTGGCGCTGCGCGGTCTACTGGCAGCTAGGGACGAGCCCGCGGCCGCGCCTTCCTCTACTACCGCCGATTAACAGCCTCCCCCCAGAATAAAGTGACCCCTCCAAACTAAAGTGCCCCCCCAAGCCAAAGTGGCCCCCCACTAAACAGTCCCCCTAGACTAACCTCTCCCTGGATTAAAATACTAAATCGCCCCCCAGTATAAAACGCTCCCCTAGACTAGCCTCCCCCCAGACTAAACAAAATCGATATTCCTCGAGCAAGAGACGTTCACAGAAACCTGCCTTGTAATGAGGGTTTTCGCGAATGAAAAATCCGCCAGATCGCAATACGTAGACGCGAGGTCCAAATGCTGCATGATTGCTGGTTATTTTTGACATGACATTGACAGATATGTCAAAATCCACGAATCACGCAGCAGTCAGATCCCACATCCACGTCTCGCCATCTAGCGGATCTTTCATTCGCGAAAACCCTCATTCGTCTTTCATTGTCTAACTAGGTAAGAATGGGGGAACCTAAAAAAACTTATAGTATCCTCTCTGGACACGCATTTCTCTCTGTCTCAGAGGCTAGTCATGCCCATGATGACGACCTACTTCTACTCCTTAAGCAAGAGAACACGTCTCTGCGCGTGCTCATGACTAGATTGCTTCCCTCCTGGACTAGAAATACTTCTGCTTATAAAGGGCAGTTGAACCCCCACCCCCCTGGACCAGCTTGCTCCCTTTGTACCAGCAGCTGATGACAAAAAGTTACCTACTATCTCAACGATAGCACACGATAGCCTGTCTGCCCTGGAATGGACTGCTCCCTCATGGACTAGCCTACCTATAACAGCCTCACCCTAGAAACCTGTCGTATATTGTTTCTAACCGTGGGGAGATCTGCCTAAAATACTGATTCCTTCCAGCCATCCCCTCTATCCCACCAGTTTGATCCTTATCTGGACTAATCTGATCCCCGGACTGTCCCCCAGGACCAGATTGCCCCCATCAGCTCCCACTTCCTCCTCTGGATTAGCGTGATCCCCCGGATTGCCTCCTTAGTCCCCGTTTCCTCCGAACTCCCCTACCCCTCCTGTTCTAGCAGCTGATGACAAAATGCGACAATAGGACACTGTTCTATGTGCATACAAGTTTAAAATAAATAAATAGTTAAGCCATAGCAGGCCTCCCCTGCTGTGCTAATAACCCATCCATGGGTGTACCTAGGGGGGTAGCAAGGAGGTGCAACTGTAAAGCGCATGGGTCTGTAGTTTAACGTGAAAATAATAAAATTAGAATAAAAGTTGCCTTTAAAAATTAATTTTATCTTAGTAATTAAGTTACCAAGTATAGATTTGTCGTAAGCAGTGTGATATTTTGATCTCAAAACCGTCCATTTAATGTAGATTTTTAGAATATTTAAGTATTATGTACACTAGTAATTACTTTGAGTGTACAAAACGTGTGTAAATAGTTTAATTTATAAACGTAAGGTAGGTAGGTATTACTTTTCTGTCTATTTATAAGTTTTAATTATAATAGGCTTTACCAATTACCAATTATGCAAAAAATCTTCAAAAATAAAATCTACTAGGTGGCTAGGTACAGGTAGCTGTGGCTTTGTTACATAATTTTCAGTTTTCCGCCTTTATTGGAATTGCGTTTCTTGTTTTTTAAGAATGTTTTGGAATAAATAAACCTTAATTTACATTGCACTTGAGCATTTTTATTAAATTAAATTATCTATAATGGTCTTATTACTTACTAATCGCAAGTACTTACTACAGTAGGTACACTATGCGGGAAATTGGCCAAGACCAAAGACGTAATACTGTACCTAGATAGAAAATTTTACTGAAAAAAAAAACATTCGTCTATTTTTGAAAAAAAAAAAATGGAACTGCATTCAAAGATTTCCAAAAATTTGCTTGCAAAACACCCGGGAATCGAACCGTCTAAAATATGTAAAAAATTACACCCTGTATTTTTATTGAATCGATCGTTAGGGTTAAGTATAAGGATGAAATCTCTCAAACAAACTTGATAAATCAAATGAAAGGAAAACCATGAAATCTTAAATTATTGTAATTAATTTACAGAAAATTGTATGGTATGGTGGTAAATTTTCGAAAAAATTTCAAAAATCTTTGAATGCAGTTCTCTTTCTTTTCAAAAATGAAGGAATGTTTTCTTTGAGTAAAATTTTCTATCTACAGTATTAAGGGTACTTACCCTCCCGATGGCATTACAAAATTCAACCCTGTAGGTAGGTATAACTATATTATACTAGCTGACCTGGCGAACTTTGTTCCGCCTTAATGGCAATAAATAAGCAGACTTTTTTTACTTCGAACGGGATAAAAAGTATCCTATGTCCTTCTCCTGGCTCTAAACTACCTCCCTGACAATTTTCAGCTAAATCGGTTCAGCCGTTCTTGAGTTATAAGTGGAGTAACTAACACGACTAGTGTGAACATCATCTCGGTTACTTTCTCCTTCCCAAAATGTGCCCCAACAACCGGCGTGGGTCGCCCCGCCCATAGTTCGGACTTCGGTGTGCGGGCTAGCGCTTCAGCTTCGACTTGGAAAATTTTCCGCATAACATAGTGTACTTGCGCCCTAATACAATAAAAAAAAAACATTTTGTAGTTCCTGGAGCTAGTATTTAATACTAGCTCCGTATCATATACTTATTTGTAATTTGACTACTCACCACCAGAGTGCGCACTGCGTATTGTATTCTGTTACAATTACTCGCCACTAGATGGCAGTAAACAGTATTTATGGATGTTAGCCTTTTTTACAGGTATAAAACTAAAATACAATATCTTAAATATTTATTCCTTTACTGTTGCCACAAATTAAATTACTGTTTCAAATTAAAATATGCTCGATACTTATATTTTTTTTTAAGATTTATTACATAACATTAGGTACGTTTCCTTTGGAACTAGTGAATGACGTAATAAAAATACTTAACGTGGATTGGCTATTCTACTTTTCTTATTTTCATTGACCAATCACAGTGCTTAAATATTTTTTCTGTGGCATTGAAAACATACTGATTCATTGATAAAACGAGAATGTTCCACGGCGAGCACCATTTTCAGTGTGGCAAGAAAATCGGAGTGTGCCAGAAAAAAAAGTAAAAATTGTTCTTTCATGAAGTTGCGTCACCCACATGTTTGAAGTGAATTGAAGTCAAAAAATAAATTAAATAGTTGTTTTTACTGAAATAAAAATGTTGTGCGCGACGCGGGCTTTCGGCCGAAAGGCGTTGGAGTGTTCCGGCATCGGAACCGAGTATTACACACAAAGGAATTTCTCGACAATCCTCAAAAACGTAAGTCTCCATTTTATTTGTGAAAACGAATGAAAATCGTTTGTCACATGAGCGGAAAATGTCAAAGGCTTGAATTCCTCGTAGTTGCTTGCAGTATTATTGTAAATATCTATACATTTCTTACGAAAACCTCGCCGGTCTTTACCTCCCACATGGAAAATTAGTTTGACAATTTGTCAGAGAATTTTCAGAGTATTTCTCTAAATTTCAGACTGCTGCGCCAACAGTACCCATCTACCAACGGCATGCGCTTCAATACAGGAATAAGTAAGTAGAACATCTTAAGATTTGCATCAGAATTTCATCATAACCTAACTCTTTTGCTGGGTGACCTTTGAATGCGCTGTATTGTGTCGCACAAGTTTCACAAAATGCGCGTGAAATTTCTTTTCATATTTTGGCCTGTAACATGTCGATTTTGTTCTCTATGAGTTGATTGTGATCCCAAATGATTGGCCCCAAATGTTCTCCACTCAAATATCATTCATATTTCAGTTAATAGGTACATTCTACTGGACCTATCCTATACATAATTATCTAGTAACCTAGTGCCAAATTTTGTACCTATTAGTTTGGGTAACAGAGAAAATAACTAAATTAAGCATGAGCATCATCAACATTTTGAACTTGGTTATTTGAACCTGTCATTTATGACTCAAATGACAAAATAACTCATGTAATTATATGTGTATAGGTTAGAGTGGGAGACCTGATAAGGGAGATCTTAGTACAAGTCTTAGATTATAACAAAAAAGTAAGATAAGTACTGCACAAGCTACTTCGAAGTGTTCAATGGGAAAATTGTAGGATGTGTAGGAATAAAATTTACAAGTACCAACAGTAAGTGTGTGGACTTGCATACGCACAATAACTGTCTGGCTCAAAACATCTAATTTAAAAGAGTTCGTAAGGTAAAAATACATCCAGTGTGAGTAGGTATTTGCCATTAGAAATTCATGCATGAACGCTTGCTAATATGTTATGTTATACTAGTTTACTTTAACTTGTGCACCGTTGAGCGGTCTCCGTACCTATGTACTGTAGACCTTTGCGGTTGGTGCGACATTGGCGTAGAGTAGATTGTGTTCCAAGACGACATGTCTTGCGAACCTGATACTCATACTACATAAATATTATATTTACTAAATACTCGGGGTTCTGCATGCTTATAATTTAGTTAACTTTTAATGGTTGTTGTACAGTCAAATATGTGACATCGAAAGTAGGCAAAAAGTTCACGGTATGTCTTTTTTACATTTGGATTTTTTGGAAAAGGGTTTTTTTTCTCTTTGCTTTATCTGCAATCAGTCTCACGACTGAGCGGATGAGTTGTAGTGCCCTTTGCATGATAAGTGTCTTCTCCACTGAGAACACTACTTATTTATGTATTTCTACACTCTCCAGCGCAGACTCAGGATGTCATGCCTCTTTAGACGTTTGCTATAGCTTTATTGCAGCAGTTCCGAAGCCAAGCTCATTTGGAATAGGTTGTGCTGGAAACTTTCTGGCCACTTTGATGTCACAAACTGTTGGACGCTGCTGTACAAATCCTTAGGCTAGGGTAACATACAGTGTTAGCTAGTGAGTCAGTTGTTGTTTTTGCCAAGGGCAAAGAAATGTGACAAATAATGTTGTATCATGCATATTGCATAATTTAACACAATTACATATCATTCTCGTACATTAACACATTGTATAAGTTTTGTCACCTGATGTTAAACTTGGACACATTTTAGGCTTAACCACACCAACGCGTGCAGACCGCCATCGCCGCCGCGATCAAAGGCCAATGACAGGTCGCTCGACCCATGACAGTTCACGCGACCTGTCATTTCCTTATGATCGCGCCGTGATGCGATCCGCACGCGTTGGTGTGGTTGAAACATTAAAGGAGCACAGATGAAAGCAATGCTTTGCCTTGAATCTATTAGTATCTGCCGTACACTGACTGTCCTCATCATCATTTTGATACGTCACTAACGTCAAATTGATAATCAACCAGGTCCGATGGAGTCCGAGGAGCAGTCATTGGTATCGATTTGGGTACCACGAACTCGTGTGTCGCCGTCATGGAGGGAAAGACGCCGAAGGTAAGCATAGATCTATGTAACTTGCCAAATATACTAAATATCTGACACTTAGCACTTTTAATTTAATTTATTCGAAGATTTTGCTTTGGCTATTAAAAAACGGTTATTGTAAAACAACAGTTAGGCTGGGTTGCACCATCTTACTTTGACTGTAACAAACGTCAAAAATCTGACAAACTCAATACAAAAATCACCGGTTATCGTTATAGTTACAGTCAAAGTTTGGTGGTGCAACTCAGCCTTATTGTATTAACAATACAACCCGGTCGAGTTGTCAATAGTGACCGAGTTTCTTCCACTGCTTTTTCTCAGCATTGGCCCATTGAATGTCCCGAAGCAGTGGTAAGGTTAATAATTAATAATAATAATAATATTGGGACAAAATGAGTAAAAATAAAATGAGTTATGTGAGTTAACTACGCTTCTGGCAACCGTGACGTCACATCGACGCTCTAGTACGAAAGGGGCCAACTCAATGCGGGTGAGTGCGAGGGAGTGTCGCATTTCAGCGAGATGCGCAGTTAGCTCGATTGGGTTGTGATTGTGACTCCAACAATTTTGACCTAGATTTATTTTCCAAGAGTAGGGACAGAGTAAATACAAATGAGTAAGTCATCTTCATAGAAACGCACCGAGCGCGGTTTGTGAAATTTATAAAATTGAGCGTGGATTAGCGGGGAGTTTCGCCGAATTTTGTCAGTGTGTGCGTGCGCGCCGCATACGTATTGGCGCGCTCACATACAAACCGCGCTCGGTGCGTTTCTATGAAGATGACCTACTCATTTGTATTTACTCTGGAGTTAGTCTCTAAGGTTGTATTTTGTTCGCGCCGTCGATCAGCGCCCTCTGTGTAGAGGTGCGCTTTTGCAGCGGCGCGAGAGTGACGCGCGGTACCAGCTAGTCTTAGGCCGATGTCTATGGCTTTCCTAGAAACCGCGCTACATTCACTTTACTATGCCTTTTCAGTACTATAGATCTAAATTAACTAAGTCAGTGGCTGACTTAAAAAATAAGGAGGTATAGTTCTTGCAACTCACAAAAGCGAGTGAGCTTTACTTGTGTGTGTACGTGTACATACACATAACGATAGTGTAATGTCTATCAAAACTTTTCAAAAACGAACAGTAGCGAGCCACCACACATGTAAAGCTCACTCGCCTTCGTGAATTGCAACAACTATACCCTTTTATACGGTAGTGGGAATATAGTTCCCACCATATTTTGGACTTCATTCTCTTGCCTTATGGTCCAAAAACAATGAAGAATTTGGTTTCCCTAGGTGGTGGAAAACAGCGAAGGATCCCGCACCACGCCATCCCACGTGGCATTCACCAAAGACGGCGAGCGGCTTGTAGGCACCCCGGCCAAGCGACAGGCGGTGACCAACAGTGGGAATACGTTCTACGCGACCAAACGACTTATTGGCAGACGGTTCGATGACCCAGAAGTACAGAAGGATATGAAGAATCTGTCGTATAAGGTCGTCAGGGCGTCGAATGGAGATGCTTGGGTGCAAGGTTAGTACCCTTCCTTTTTAACCGACTTCAAAAAAAAGGATGAGGTTCTCAATTAGACTATATTTTTATTATTTTTTATTTTATAACAAGTCCTTATTGTCTTTATGATATCATATATTTTTTATAGCTTCAGCGGCAACTGAGTTCGCGTGGAATTCACTTTTTTATTGCGTTTTCTGGATAATTTTTTTCATTAAAGATTTCTTGGGTTTAATCGAGCAGAAAAATGATGGAATGCAAGGCTACATTTTCATTGCTACGTGTTAATAAGATTTCAGAAAGCTTTTTATTTTATAAAAAGCTTCTAACCTTGAAATCACAATAAGTTTTCAATAACTGAAAAATATGCGAATATCAGACCTCCAACCTGTAGAGCATTGGTTCCCAAACTTATTTGAGACGCGCCCCCTTTCGACCATACAAAAAATTCCACGCTCTCTCTACTCCAATCAAGATTATATTTTATTGGTCGTATCGAGCAGTCTGAAATGCATTCTCTCAGCGGTCGCAGGTTTCTTACAGATGGCCCCCACTTTGGGAATCAATGCTGTAGGTGTAGAAAATAATATTATACTCCAAAGACCAAAATTAATAAGAGAGGGTATTTAAAGTATTGTTCGCGCCGTCGATCAGCGCCCTCTGTGTAGAGGTGCGCTTTTGCAGCGGCGCGAGAGTGACGCGCGGTACCAGCTAGTCTTAGGCCGGTGTCTATGGCTTTCCTAGAAACCGCGCTACATTCACTTTACTGTCTTTCAGTAATATACAACGTGCTCCTTTTGTTTTCCGGAAATTTTAGGGGTATATTCTATAAATAAAAACTAGTTAAAGAGTCTTAGTTATGTGTTTCTAAAAGCATATTTTTGAAGATATTATTGTGGATTCTAGATTTAGAAGATACCTAGTTGATTTAGATTATAGTATCATCAATATAGTTTTTTTTTTTCAAAATTGTCACCTAGTCTTTTTGTGCAGACTTTTTATTGATTATTTCAGTGAAAAATTAAGTTTTTAAATAATTTCGTATGAAAAAATAAGTCGAAAATATTGTTGAATTTAACAAAAAATGTAATGCCATTCCATTCTTTGAAGTGGTCTTATTAAAACCCTAGAGTTCCAGGAAATCAAAAAGAGCACGTTGTAGATCTAACTTAACTTGGTTAGTGCCTGCGGTATGGGAGCGGCACGGGAGGGGTGCCATTGACATATTATGACGTGACAGAGTATACAAATCTGAAGTCTCGCTGACGTCTTACGTCAACAAAAACGCCAAAAGCTCCCATACCTCAGGCACTAAGGCCAGCAATACACGGACCGCTTGAAGCAGTCAGGGTCGACAGCTTCAAGCTGCGACTGCACAGTGAACTGCATAGTTCTATGGACGCACATACACGAACCGCTCGAGCAGTTGCAACTGATTCGATCGTGCGGTCAAGCAGTCGCCAGCCATACACTGACTGCTCGAGCTGTCGACAGCTCTCGTGCAGTTACCTCCGCCCACTTTCTTCATTCCACGGCGCGCGCGCTTGTGTTTTGTTGAGCAGTTAATACCAACTGCTCGAGCAGTTATCACTGGCAGCTTCAAGCTGTTGACTCTTGACTGCAAGAGCGGGCCGTGTATGTTGATCACTGACTAACTGGTCGAGCTGTCCGTGTATTGCCGGCCTAACTGATAGCTGATTAATTTTGCAAATAGTCTTTTAGCCCTCGCCCACGGCGACTTTTTGTAGCGCTGCTGTAGCGCGTTAGTAGCGCGTTGGCATCACTTCTGTAGTGCGTTGCAAATGCGACTAACGCGCGTTACTAGCGACTAAAGTCTGTTCGCCGAGAGTTGATAAAAAAATTTAAATATCAGAGGTTCTAAACTCATTATAAATTGCGGCCCGCTAATTATTTTTGTCGATATAATGAAAAAGTTGGTAGATTATTTGGCCTGGCCTTTTTTTTTTTGGCCTGGATTCTCGGCTCAGTTACAATTTAATTTTGGACTACCATTTATAAGAATGTTCTAAAAATACCAATTATCTACCAAAATTTACTAAACGATTTCGCACTACTAAATCATCGTTCTCTTTGCCTCAAATCTACCAAAAAAGTAGAAATTTACTAAAAGTGGTCACGCTGTGGCCGCCGCCGCCCGCCGGCCGGGGCGCTTGACGACAGCTGCGTGGCTCGTACCATGGTACTCAGTGCGCGTTGTGACAAACGACGCCCGCCATACAGAATGCGATAATTAAGCGACAGTCGCTATTGCAAGACATTTCATAATATTTATCAACTCTCGGCGAACAGACTTTATGTTTGTTAAAAGTCGCTGTGGGCGAGGGCTCTTACACGTCCCATTATTTATCACTGCTTCGGAGTTCGGTATAATAAAATATGCAGTGTGCATTTATTTAATTAGTTTTCTATACAATAAAATCTACCTATGCATTAAAAACCATCTGTCCATCAGGCAGCGACGGCAAAGTCTACTCCCCAAGCCAGATCGGAGCCTTCGTGCTGATCAAGATGAAGGAGACAGCCGAAGCTTATCTGAACACCACCGTGAAGAATGCCGTCATTACTGTACCTGCTTACTTCAATGACTCCCAGAGACAGGCCACTAAGGATGCCGGTAAGTTGTTGTTTTTCTTATTATAGACGTCCACTGGGCAGGCCTCTCACTAGGTGGACTGACGATCTGGTGAATGTCATGGGAACCTGGATGCGGGCAGTGCAGGACCAGTGGAAATCCTTGGAGCATTTGTCCAGCAGTCGACGTCATTTGGCTGAAACGAACGAACGAAGACGTCCACTGTTGGACAAAGGCCTTCCTCTAAAATTCCCCAGTGTATTGGAAACTTACTAGCTTCAACATTTTGTTGTTAAGTTACGTTCTTTTTCACCCAAAGGCATCTGTTGGACTACAAGGCCTACTCCTAAAGTCTCCGATACACTACTTGCTTCAAAGAGTGATGTAATTCGTCCCATTCGCATTTGGTCATGGACCTACAAAAAATGTTACAAAATTTTAACTAAATAAATCATTTGCGAATGGGACTTGCTTCTGCGTGCGTATTATGTACAAAAAAGCCATTGTGAAGTGATTTCAGATTCACATCACGCTTGAATTTGTTTTGGGGGACAGATCAATTAATTTTAGCCTCGTGATATGCGATTTTTTCCCATTCTCAATGTAATTCTATGTCGTTTAGGTCAAATCTCCGGTTTGAACGTGCTCCGCGTCATCAACGAACCCACCGCCGCCGCTCTCGCCTACGGAATGGACAAGACTGACGACAAAATGTAAGTTTTAAAGCTAAAAATATCTAGGGGCATAAAGGTGTATTCACATTGCTTCGGGGCGTGTGCGGGGCGTGCGACATTTTATTTTTTACTTTATTTATTAGGACAACCAATAAAACAACTACACATCACATGCATCTAAAAACTAGGAACTATACAACGAAGACTCGTGGCAGGAGGGGCTATATTACGTACTAGCTTTCCGCCCGCGGCTTCGCGCGCGTGGACTACATTATCTACATATTTTACGTAACCCTATTTTTTCCAAAATAAAATTTAGCCTATGTTACTCGTGGATAATGTAGCTTTCAAATGGTGAAAGAATTTTTAAAAACGTTCCAGTAGTTTTTGAGCCTATTCATTACAACCAAACAAACAAACAAAGTTTTCCTCTTTATAATATTAGTGTAGATTATAAAGAACGCTATGCCTGCCTCTGTGTGACGTCACCCATAACCAGTGTGAGTGCGAGAGAAAACGAGATATGCACTGTCATATTATTACACCGCCTGCCACGAGTATTTGCGCTTTCTATGATGGAGTGTAGGCCTAGTCAAGGTTGTCTTGTCCTCCTGCATTTGGAGGCTAAATGATCTGATGATGACGACTCATACCATTTATAAATTATCCATCATGCCATTGGGTATTGAATGTGATTGTGTTATTAATGACTAAAGAAGCTTAAATGGCAATGCCAGATTTTGCAGGGATAGTGGCGTCTTTTTTTTTCGCGCGGCCATCGACCAAACTTTGTTTTTTGATTACAAAATAGTGTAATAAACCAAACTTACTATGGCATGTATACCTCTAAACTCAGTCTGAAGTTCAGACTGAGTTACGAGCATTAGAAGTTTGATGATTTTTCATACTAGATTTGCTTTTGCGCGCAAGTTTTGTAAGAAATTGCATCAAAATATTGCGCTGATTCTGCTCCACACTGAAGTCTGAAGCCTTTAATGGATGGTATTGTTTGTTTACACATACAATATTACTATTTTGTAAGTTTGGTTTATTACACTATTTTGTAATCAAAAAACAAGGTTTGGTCGATGGCCGCGCGAAAAAAAAGACGCCAATTTCCGGCATTGTCTTTTGTATTAAAATGTTCTGATATACATTCGCTGTTAAACGCGCCGTCGATCAGCGCCCTCTGTGTAGAGGTCCGCTTTTGCAGCGGCGCGAGAGTGACGCGCGGTACCAGCTAGCCTTAGGCCGATGTCTATGGCTTTCCTAGAAACCGCGCTACATTTAATACACTAAAATATCAAACATTGTCAAAAGGCACCAGTCTCAGTTTAGTATATTGAGTTTTTGTCGTCATCGTCATCATTTCAGCCACAGGACGTCACTGCTGAACATAGGCCTCCCCAATGACTTCCACATCGCCCGGTTGGTAGCGGCCTGCATCCAGCGCCTTCCTGCTACCTTTATGAGCCTTTGTCCGCATGCCCCGCGTAGAAATATAAATACACCTTTATAAAGATCAATTTATGTCTTAAGCCTGGTCTGTGAGCACGTAGAATTTTGTCCGCGGCCGCCCGTCGCACAGTCGCAACAGCAATATAATTACGCGCGAGCGATAAGGATGGGTAGCTAGGGGTCATTGGACAAAATTCTACGTGCTCACGGACCGGGCTTTACATACAATCAATTTTAGTCTTTATTTTATAAATAACTAGCTGACCCGGCGAACTTTGTTCCGCCTTAATGGCAATAAATAACGGGATAAAAAGTATCCTATGTCCTTCTCCTCGCTCTAAACTACCTCCCTGACAATTTTCAGCTAAATCGGTTCAGCCGTTCTTGAGTTATAAGTGGAGTAACTAACACGACTTTCTTTTATATATATAGATAATGTTCAATTTTGGCCAACAGCATAGCCGTATACGACTTGGGAGGCGGTACCTTCGACATCTCGGTTCTGGAGATTCAAAAGGGCGTGTTCGAAGTCAAATCCACAAATGGAGACACACTGCTGGGCGGTGAAGACTTCGACAACGTTATAGTCAACTTTTTGGTTGACGAGTTCAAGAGAGACGTGAGTATTAATTATTTATTTACACAGGGTGTTAGGTAAATGGGTATATGAGCCGACGCCAGACCATGTTAACATGGGCACATAAATGGTATGGTGAAGTCAGAAAATTGATATCTTCATTTCAATTTTCATACAAATCGGATTTTATAAATTTTATTTTGTATGAAAATTAAAATGATGATATCAAATTTTTCACTTCACTATGTTCAGCAGTGGACGTCCCGTGGCTGAAATGATGATGATGATTATAAAATCATGTTACCAGTCTGGCTAGAACAATATGGGCTAAAGTCCGGTCGCTGAGCAGATAGAATTTCGTCCAATGACCCCAAGCTACAAGATATTGCTGTCGCGACTGCGACGGGCGGCCGCAATGAGTGTGCGAGCGCGAGCGATAAAGATGGGTAGCATGGGGTCATTGGACGAAATTCTATCTGCTCATCGACAGGACTTTAGTCTGGCTAGGCTATATTATTGTAAGTATTGTTCGCGCCGTCGATCAGCGCCCTCTGTGTAGAGGTGCGCTTTTGCAGCGGCGCGAGAGTGACGCGCGGTACCAGCTAGCCTTAGGCCGGTGTCTATGGCTTTCCTAGAAACCGCGCTACATTTATTTATACATTTCGATTAGTAAAGAATGAGTAGCTGACAACAGCAATCATGGTGTACTTTATGAGCCGACTCAATGCATTTTTTCGTAGATTTTGTATTGCAATAGAGACTTACGACATCACTGTTTCTTTAAAATGACTGTATTGAAGTAACATGACTGTCTTACATAGCATTCCCCCTAGACAACTAACACAAATGAGAGTTAAAATAGAAAGACACGGGTCTTAACGCGACATTTATTACTGAGTTACATTAAATTCTCACGGCTTGACGTTATAAATGTCATAAATGTCGCATTAAGACCCGTGTCTTTGCATTTTAGTTGAAGTGGAACCCCAAAGTTTAAAATCTTATAAATGAGAGTTTTATCCCTAAAATCGTAGCAGTTACCTGCTGACTAGCGAAATAAATCTGCAAATAAATATTACTTTGTCTAGCGCGTGTTTTCTACCATTGGTACTTTGTTCTCTTGGGCTTGTCTGCATCATCCTAAATCTTTTTTCAACCCTCACAGCAAGGCTTGGACATCCGCAAAGACGCGATGGCCATGCAGCGACTGAAGGAAGCGGCTGAGAAGGCCAAGATCGAACTCTCAGGCTCCCTGCAGACCGATATCAACCTGCCCTACCTGACTATGGACGCGTCGGGACCTAAGCATATGAACCTGAAGGTAAGATAACACACTTCTTCTCTATTAACCTTTTCAGCGCCACGTCAAATACAAAAGCCATCACTCTGACGCCACGCTTGATAAATTATGATATTAATATCCAATATCATTGCATTAATTATTATTCAGTTTACATAGTACTCAATTAGCCTATTACCAGAGTAAATACAAATGAGTAGGTCATTTTCATATAAACGCACGGGCGCGGTTTGTATGTGAGCGCGCCAACACGTATGCGGCGCGCACGCACACACTGACAAAATTTAGCGGGGATTAGCGTAGCCACAGAATAATAATAAGTACGTAGCGGGGAGTTGCTCCGAATTTTGTCAGTGTGTGCGTGCGCGGCGCATAAGTATATTGGCGCGCTCACATACAAACCGCGCTCGGTGCGTTTCTATGAAGATGACCGACTCATTTGCATTTACTCTGCTATTACTGACATAATTTTTAAGACGGATTAATCAGCCTGATGTACGCATGTATCCTTCATTGGCGTTGTGAAGGCTAAAGGTCCGGTCAAACCATAAAGTAAATATACCTAGAGGAATAGAGCAATAAAGGACTGAGTGAGCGAGATGTCACTAGCAGCAACACTGTGTGATAAATAGAGATTTTTTTTTATCCACAACGAGGAAGCTCTTGGCCTGTATCTCATGATGGTAAGTGACGATCAGGCCGAAGGTGGAAGCGAGCTTCACCCGGAATCCTCAACGGAGGAACTGGCTATCTTACCTCTAACTGCCGGAACACAACAATGCTGTTATCATTGTTAGATGATGATGTTAGATTGTTAGATGCGTGATGTGACATAACAGTACCGTTATTTGCAACTATTTGACAATTTGTTAGCACTTATTGGCACGCTGAAGAACTGTGATATTTTCAGAATTTAAGTGAGTGTAATCGTGGATGTTTATGAGAAATAGTGCTTCAGAAACGTGGCGACTGGTTTAGTGATTGACTTATTGTACAAAACAGTTAAATAATCCTGACACTAACACAAATGACATCACTGACATCCTAAAATCGGTTTCGTTTGACAGCTCGTGGTTTTTGCTCCATTTCAAAGCTAAGGAATATTAATTTTATGGGTAAAGACACACTTTCTCTCTACTAAAGCTAAAGGTTCGGCCAAACCAACGCGTGCAGCAAACAAAGCTATTAGACGATTATTTTTGCACCATAATTTTGATAATGTTCCTGTTATATTTGCAAGAACGTAAATTACGGTGCTATAGTAATGCAAAACGAAACCACTAATTATGTTTTCGATAACGTAATTGGTCAAACGCTTTTGTGACAGCTAAACCTTAGTCGACTATGCGTACTGTAAAAGAATATCCCTACTCTTTCCGTGGATGTCGTAAGAGGCGACTAACATCAGGCCATCGTAAGAAGTGTGGTCCAAATCTTTCATAATGACCTGAAACTAAATGACCTGCCAATGTAACACCTACCATTTGAAATTGCTTTGTTTTAATTCCATTGAAAATGAAATCAAATATTTATTTGCATCAAAATATGGTTTGTGTTACGAGTGGTTTCACCACAATAATCTAGTGGTGGCGGGGTTCGAACCCGCTTTCCTCAGATGTCGAGACGGCCAGTCCATACCGACACCGTTGGTCTATAATAACAAATAAACAAATCTTTATTTCATACTTATTTCACTGTTTTAAACACTAGGCTAATCTAAAGAGGTTCTTCTGATTAATTTCGTTGTGGATCCAATGATAGTTTAACATTTCCCTGGGACAAACTTTACCTTCACTGGTTAAGTTTTTATTGGTAGTCAAGCTTTAGATCCTGGCTACACAGGAGTTGCAGCGGTGGTAACGAGAGGTGGGAATAATCTCGTTTAATCTTACGATATAAAACAGTGTGCTTAGTTCGAGTTTGCATTAAACGCTAGCGAGTATGTCAAAAAATCTATGGAGATTATACATTCATACGTTTTAATATCATTTTTACCTAAATTTGTATTATATTCTTATTTATAATTATTTTTCTCCTACAGATGACCCGCTCCAAACTGGAGTCTCTAGTAGGGGACCTCATCAAGCGCACAGTGGCGCCGTGCCAGCGCGCACTGCAAGACGCCGAGGTGCAGAGGACTGACATCGGAGAAGTGCTGCTAGTCGGTGGCATGACTAGGATGCCCAAGGTTAGTGGGAAATAATTTCCCGATTAGAAAATGACGCAAAAACCCGACAGATTAGCAAGCTAGTGACAGCAGAACTGACAGCAGGGTCGGGGACATGACTTGGATGCGCTAGGTTGGTGGGAAATAATTTCCTGATTATCAAACTAAGGCAATGGGCAGGGCACTGATGGGGCAGCAAGTTTCTGGAGTGGAGGCTACGTGTAAGCGCAGCGTAAAGACGTCCACCCACAAGCTGGAACGACCACATAAAGGTACTGGTTGCAGACCGCTATCAACCGGTAAATCTGGAAATCATTGGATTTTTTGGTAGTTACTAAAAACAAGAAATAAAGTTCAACATATAGTGGGAAGTATATTCCCACTTACAAAAGGTAAAGGCACCAGCACAAGTCGCGCGCAGTCCAGTGACTACGCGGGCGAGTCTTCGGACGGGTGCCAGAGCAGCGCAGACATATTCCCCGGCTGTGCTTTATGCGCTTTCGGGTTATCATCTAGCGCACATTTACTTTTCATATTCATGCAACTTGTATAAAGCCCGGTCTGTGAGCACGTACAATTTTGTCCAATGACCCCAAGTTACCCATCCTTATCGCTCGCGCATAATTATATTGCTGTCGCGACTGTACGACGTGCGCCCGCAGTGAGTGTGCGAGCGCGACAGCAATATATGGATGGGTAGCTTGGGGTCATTGGACAAAATTCTACGTGCTCGCAGACCAGACTATAGATCGTTTCATCCTCGAAGACGAGCCCCACCATTCTTCCGCGAATGTTTGAGTGTTATCGGTACACGCTAAATGATCCATGAGTGCACACGCACACTACAATAATGCCTTACGGATTGCTCGGATCAAACTCCCCGCACCCCGCGCGACCGAGACCAAAAATTGGTGGGGCGCGTCCGAGTGGATGAAACTATTTACACCTCCTGTGTCGTGCTAATTTATTGACATTCTGTATGTTTAGTGTGGTAATAGGGTCCAATTTCTCGAAATTCGATTCATATTTTCCAAGTTATTGGCTCGTAGTTTTTTTTTGTGTTCTTATACCCATTTTATTTACACTATATTATGATCAATTCGCGAACTCAATTGACTGAAAAAAACGATAAGGATATTTACGTCGTGGGATTTACTATAAAAACATGTTACTTTGCTCCTTTTTCGCTTTGTATAAAATAAATGTTTCCAAATTCCAGCACGAAGTTGCACTATTAATCAAGTCTGCACCTACTTATAGTCACATTTTCTCACAGGTCCAATCGACAGTCCAAGAGATATTCGGCCGCGCGCCATCTCGCGCGGTTAACCCTGACGAAGCGGTCGCCGTAGGCGCAGCCGTCCAAGGCGGAGTACTAGCCGGTGACGTCACGGACATCCTGCTGCTGGACGTGACGCCGCTGTCGCTCGGCATCGAGACCCTGGGCGGAGTGTTCACGAAGCTGATCACCAGGAACACCACCATCCCCACCAAGAAGAGCCAGGTCTTCTCCACCGGTGAGTCTTACAGGTGTGATGTCAAACGTCAGCGAGACTTCCAGGGAGTTTGTTCTACAGGTGTCATAAACTAACACACGGCCGTGTGGTGACGGCAGAGTAGAATACATTTATACATTTGTCACCAACCCCTACTCTTCCCGCGGGTGTCGTAAGAGGCGACTTAGGGACTACACATCAAACAGAGAACGGGCAGCAGCGCTCTCTGACAAACATAAATCTTTTAAACTGCGATCTCCAACCCGCCTGCCAAGCGTGGGGATTATGGCAAAACCCTCTACTATAGTGGAGGAGGCTCATAGTCCAGCAGTGGACTGTAAAGGGCTGTTGATGATGTGTCATAAACTACAGGTCTACTGCATGACTGAGTCAGTGCCTTAGGTAGGGGAGCGACATGGGAGAGTTTTTGTGACGTCAAACGTCAGCGAGACAAATGTCTCCATCGGTGAGTCTATAGGTTCTTGTGCCTGCTACGTAGTAACTAGGATGCTATGAAGCAACATCTGAAAGTAGCTTTGTCGCTGGGTATCGAACTCCCAGGAGTTACAGGAGCCCTAGAGCCCTAGGGCTCCGTCTCACGGCGTCACCAGCTTCTAGTGTCTGCTATGTAATTTAGTAACTAGGTTAGTATAGAAAGCACCATCTAGAGTAGCTTTGTCACTGGGTATCGAGCGCTCCTGTGACTCCTATTAAGAGCCCTAGAGCCTTAGGGCTCCGTCTCGCACCGTTAAACCGTACGAAGCTGTCAGTAAGTTACTCCGAAGTTACCCATGTTGCCATCCCTCTCACGCATTCGAGACGCCAGCCCGAGCGACAGTGACAGACAGAGCCGGAGCCGCAGGGCGGAGTGCCGGCCGGTGACGTCACGGACATCCTGCTGCTGGACGTGACGCCGCTGTCGCTCGGCATCGAGACCCTGGGCGGAGTGTTCACGAAGCTGATCACCAGGAACACCACCATCCCCACCAAGAAGAGCCAGGTCTTCTCCACCGGTGAGTCTTACAGATGGTTGTGCCTCTAGATTCTTCTGGATATTAAGGAGTTTGAAGGTGTGATGTCAAACGTCTGCGAGACTTCCAGGACGTTTTCTTTACTGGTGAGTGTCATAAACTACAGGTCTGGCGTTTGACTGAGTCGGCGCCTCAGGTAGGGGTGTTTTTGTGACGTCATAGGTCAGCGAGACAAAAATGTCTTCACCGGTGAGTCTAATAGCTTCTAGTGCCTGCCATGTAGATTAGTAACTTTAGGATGCTATGAGAAGTACCATCCAGGAAGTAGCTTTGTCGCTGGGTATCGAGCTCCAGTGACTTCTACCTGGAGTCACTGGAGCCCTAGAGCCCTAGGGCTCCGTCTCACGGCGTTTACCCTGACGAGGCTAGCTTCTAGTGCCTGCTACGTAGTTTAGGTCTAGGGTGCTATGAAAAGTACTCTGAAAGTTGTCGCTAGGTATCGAGCTCATAGGACACTTCTTAGGGCTCCATCTAGCGCCGTCAACCTAGACGAAGCAGTGGCAGTAGACGCCGTGGTCCAGCGAGGTTACTCCGAAAGACACCCTAAGGTTCGCATGCTGCCATCCCTCTCACATAAGAGAGAAGAGCGTCCGAAGTTTCCCATGTTGCCATCCCTCTCACGCGAACAAGATGGTAGCACGAGCGACAGTGACAGACAGAGCCGGAGCCGCAGGGCGGAGTGCCGGCCGGTGACGTCACGGACATCCTGCTGCTGGACGTGACGCCGCTGTCGCTCGGCATCGAGACCCTGGGCGGAGTGTTCACGAAGCTGATCACCAGGAACACCACCATCCCCACCAAGAAGAGCCAGGTCTTCTCCACCGGTGAGTCTCATAGATGGTTGTGTTTCTAGATTCTTCTGGATATTAAGGAGTTTGAAGATGTGATGTCAAACGTCAGCGAGACTTCGAGGAAGTTTTCTCTACTGGTGAGTGTCATAAACTACAGGTTACTGCTTGACTGAGTCACGCCTGAGGTAGGGGTGTTTTTGTGACGTCATAGGTCAGCGAGACAAAAATGTCTCCACCGGTGAGTCTATAGCTTCTAGTGCCTGCTATGTAGTATAGTTTAGTCTAGGTTACTATGAGAAGTACCATCCAGAAAGTAGCTTTGTCGTTGGGTATCAAGCGCTCTGGTGTCCTTACTAGGAGCCCTAGAGCCCTAGGGCTCCGTCTCACGGCGTTTACCCTGACGAGGCTAGCTTCTAGTGCCTGCTGCGTAGTTTAGGTCTAGGATGATATGAAAAGTACTCTGAAAGTTGTCGCTAGGTATCGAGCTCATATGACACTTCTTAGGGCTCTATCTAGCGCTCTCAACGTAGACGAAGCAGTAGTAGTAGACGCCGTGGTCCAGCAAGGTTACTCCGAAAGACACCCTAAGGTTCACCACGTTGCCATCTCTCTCACGCAAGAGAGAAAAGCGTCCGAAGTTTCCCATGTTGCCATCCCTCTCACACCAACGAGATGGTAGCACGAGCGACAGTGACAGACAGAGCCGGAGCCGCAGGGCGGAGTGCCGGCCGGTGACGTCACGGACATCCTGCTGCTGGACGTGACGCCGCTGTCGCTCGGCATCGAGACCCTGGGCGGAGTGTTCACGAAGCTGATCACCAGGAACACCACCATCCCCACCAAGAAGAGCCAGGTCTTCTCCACCGGTGAGTGTTTTAAACTATAGGGCTGGCGCTTGACTGAGTCGGCGCCCGTGGTATGGGAGCGGCAATGGAGAGTGTTTTTGTGACGTCAAACGTCAGCGAGACAAACATGTCCACAACCAGGTGAGTCTATAGACTTATTCCTAGCCTTTATTGCTTGGCTGCTATGTGTAAAGATGAACTACACTGAACCGTCCCACCCGTGACATTGACAGAGGGGGGCCACCGTCAATACCGGATCGCTGGTTCCGATTTTTGCCACGTTGGAAAACACTGAAATGTCATTTGCAGGAGGGCGTTGCCATCAATGCCGGTTATTGTTTCCGATCTTTACCATTTGACGTTTAAAAATTTTACAACTTAAGTAGGTAACTCAAGGCTATGAAGAGTACCATCCAGAAAGTAGCTTTGTCTATGGATATCGAGCTCCTGTGTCTCCTACTAGGAGCGCTACACACCTATAGCTTAGACTTGATTGCCTACTTAATGCAGCTAGCAAATTAAGATGTTCACAGGTGAGTATGTAGACTACTTCTAGCCTTTAATGCATGCTATGTAGTTTAGTAAATCTAGGTTGTTGGTGCGGTGCCTTAGACGTTTTTGCAGGACGTCTGTCGTGGAAACGCGCACTCTAACTTTGTCATTTTTATTCTAACGCACTTGTCATATTAACTATACTTGTGCGGTTCTGCAAAAAGAAGACTGACGTGCGATTCAAAACTTCTTATTTGAAAGAGTCCTTAGTCACTACAAAGTCAGTAACCTCCTAACCCTGTATTTTCTTTCACAGCCGCCGACGGCCAGACCCAAGTCGAAATCAAAGTACACCAAGGCGAGCGTGAGATGGCGCTAGACAACAAACTGCTCGGCCAGTTCTCTCTGGTGGGAATCCCGCCCGCTCCCAGAGGAGTGCCCCAGATTGAGGTCACGTTCGACATTGATGCCAACGGAATCGTACACGTATCGGCGAGAGACAAGGGCACCGGCAAGGAGCAACAGAGTGAGTTTCTAGTTTAATTTTGTAGCATAAAGATATAAAGATCGATTTTTTATCGATTATTAATCGAGTGATTAGACTATTATTGGGAATAATCGGTGGTGTGCTCAGTGGTGATTCGATTATGTATCGATTATTCATCGACTTTGTATCGATATGTCATCGATTGTGTGTATCGATTTTTGGACGATGTTCTATCGATTCGATCCATAGTGTATCCATTATTACAATCGATTTTGTGTCGATTAGTAAATCGTTAATCGATTATGTATCGATTACAATCAATCGTGTGTATCGATTGCTGATTCGATGATGGTAATGGGGACTAAAGTAAATCGATTTGTGTGTATCGATTAGATCGATCGATTATTTCATATCGATTTTGTGTCGATAGTGACTCGATAATTTTAATCGATTGTGACACCGGACCAGCAGTGATGTCTTTTGTCGACTACTACAATCGACTTAGTATCGTTACTAGTCGGTTTTTAGACGGTCGTTTATGAACTATTCATAGATTATTAATCGATTAGAATCGATTGGGTATCTTCTTATAAATCGATGTCTCGTTTATTGATCGAGTGTGTCTCGATTGTTGATGGGAGAACTAGAATCGATTGTAATCGATACGTAAGTCCCGAGCGCGAGATGGCGGTAGACAACAAGCTGCTCGGCCAGTTCTCTCTGGTGGGAATCCCGCCCGCGCCCCGAGGAGTGCCCCAGATTGAGGTCACGTTCGACATTGATGCCAACGGAATCGTACACGTATCGGCGAGAGACAAGGGCACCGGCAAGGAGCAACAGAGTGAGTTTCTAGTTTAGTTTTGTAGGGTAAAGATCGATTTTGTATATTATTAATCGAGTGATTAGACTATTATTGGGAATAATCGGTGGTGTGCTCAGTGGTGATTCGATTATGTATCGATTATTCATCGGACTTAGTATCGATATGCCATCCAAGGGCACCGGCAAGGAACAACAGAGTGAGTTTCTATGTTACTCGATTATTTATCGGTTTTTTGGCGATTTTATATCAATTATTAATGGTATCTTTATCATCATTGATAATTATCGCTTATTCATCGATTTTGTGTCGATTACACATCGTTTTTGTGTTGATAGTGACTCGATAATTCTAATCGATTGTGACACGGTTGTTTATGAACTATTCATCGATTCTGTAACGATTATTAATCGATTAGAATCGATTGGGAATCTTCTAGTAATCGATGTCTCGTTTATTGATCGAGTGTGTCTCGATTGTTGATCGATGGTAGAAAGGAGAACTAGAATCGATTGTAATCGATACGTAAGTCCCGAGCGCGAGATGGCGGTAGACAACAAGCTGCTCGGACAATTCTCTCTGGTGGGAATCCCGCCCGCGCCCCGAGGAGTGCCCCAGATTGAGGTCACGTTCGACATTGATGCCAACGGAATCGTACACGTATCGGCGAGAGACAAGGGCACGGGCAAGGAGCAACAGAGTGAGTTTCTAGTTTAATTTTGTAGCATAAAGATATAAAGATCGATTTTGTATCGATTATTAATCGAGTGATTAGACTATTATTGGGAATAATCGGTGGTGTGCTCAGTGGTGATTCGATTATGTATCGATTATTCATCGACTTTGTATCGATATGTCATCGATTGTGTGTATCGATTTTTGGACAATGTTCTATCGATTCGATCCATAGTGTATCCATTATTACAATCGATTTTGTGTAGATTAGTAAATCGTTAATCGATTATGTATCGATTACAATCAATCGTGTGTATCGATTGCTGATTCGATGATGGTAATGGGGACTGGAGTAAATCGATTTGTGTGTATCGATTACATACTAAGATTAAGTCTTAAAGCTAGTCATGAATCGATTGTAATCGATACGTAAGTCCCGAGCGCGAGATGGCGGTAGACAACAAGCTGCTCGGCCAGTTCTCTCTGGTGGGAATCCCGCCCGCGCCCCGAGGAGTGCCCCAGATTGAGGTCACGTTCGACATTGATGCCAACGGAATCGTACACGTATCGGCGAGAGACAAGGGCACCGGCAAGGAACAACAGAGTGAGTTTCTAGTTTAGTTGTGTAGCTTAAAGATCGATTTTGTATCGAATTATTAATCGATTAGACTATTATTGCGAATAATCGGTGGTGTGCTCAGTGGTGATTCGATTGTGTATCGATTATTCATCGACTTTGTATCGATATGCCATCCAAGGGCACCGGCAAGGAACAACAGAGTGAGTTTCTGTGTTACTCGATTATTCATCGGTTTTTTAGCGATTTTATATCGATTATTAATGGTATATTTATCATCAATGATAATTATCGATTACACATCGATTTTGTGTCGATTACAGATCGATTTTGTGTCGATAGTGACTCGATAATTTTAATCGATTGTGACACCGGACCAGCAGTGATGTCTTTTATCGACTATTACAACCGATTTATTATCGTTACTAGTTTTTTAAACGGTCGTTTATAAACTATTCATAGATTCTGTAACGATTATTAATCGATTAGAATCTATTGGGTATCTTCTAGTAATCGATGTCTCGTTTATTGATCGAGTGTGTCTCGATTGTAATCGATACGTAAGTCCCGAGCGCGAGATGGCGGTAGACAACAAGCTGCTCGGCCAGTTCTCTCTGGTGGGAATCCCGCCCGCGCCCCGAGGAGTGCCCCAGATTGAGGTCACGTTCGACATTGATGCCAACGGAATCGTACACGTATCGGCGAGAGACAAGGGCACCGGCAAGGAGCAACAGAGTGAGTTTCTATTGATGTTACTCGATTATTCATCGGTTTTGTATCGATTTAGGTAATTTATTCATGAGTATCAATTATTAAACGGATAATCGATTATAAGATTGTTAATCGATTAACAAAATCAAGTCTTAAAGCTAGTCATGAATCGATTGTAATCGATAATATGTAAGTTCCAAGCGCGTTGATTGTCAAGTACTTAATTATTTATAGCTTACTAGTTGTGTATCGATGGAGGGTGTGTGTATTAATCGATTGTGTATATGGTTTGTTACAATCGATTTAGTAATCCAGAGTGTATCGATTTATTACTCGTCGCGTATCCCTCTGGTGAATCAGTCGTACTGCAATGGAGACTTAAGGTTGAGTTGCACCACCTTAAGAACCCAGCCTTAAGAACTTACAACCACCGCTCAAAACCGCCGAGTGGGACCCATCACAACCGCGCCCGCTGCGGTTCAACCGATCGAGCATCAAACGAGCAACCGCATCAAAACGCATCAACCGAGCGGTTGCTACCGCGTCGTGAGTTGTGCATAAGTATCTGCATTCTACAGAAGCTGCGGGCCCGCAACCGCCGCGGGCGCGGGTGAAAATCGCGCCATGAGTTCTTAGCCGTAATATCCTGATAATTATGATATTTCTATACTAACCTCAACATATTTTCCACAGTCGTGATCCAATCATCGGGCGGTCTATCCAAGGACGAAATCGAGAACATGGTGAAGGCCGCGGAGCAGTTCGCAGCGGCCGACAAGAGCCGCCGCGAGCGCGTGGAGGCCGCCAACCAGGCCGAGGGCGTGCTGCACGACACCGAGACCAAGATGGACGAGTACAAGAGCCAGCTGCCGCAGGAGGAGGTTAGTACGAGTTTGTGATAAGAGATGGCGCTGTTGTACAAGTTAGTGTGGTCTAGAGACGCTAGATGGCGATGTTTTGTAGCCAGGCGACGTCTGAACGCGCGATGCTGCTTCTAGACGCATCTGAGTGCGCTTTAGTGACAATAGATGGCGCTATAATATAGCAGCGCGGTCGCGTTGAGCAGCGCAAGTAAGAGCGCTGTAAAGACGCTAGATGGCGCTGTTTGATAGTTACGCGACGTGTGAGCGCGCGATGCTGTTTCGAGACCAAGAGCGCTCTAGCGCTGTCAGTACAAGTTAGTACACTCTGGTGACGATAGGTGGCGCTGTTTCGTAGCCACTCGACGCGTAAGCGCGCAATGCAGCAACAAGAGCAAGCTAGTGTGCTTTAGCGACGATGGATGGCGTTGTTTTGTACCCACGTGACCTGTGAACTCGCGATGCTGCTACGAGACCAAGTGAGTACGCTCTAGGGCACTGTACTGTAGCGGCACATGCGACAAGTTACGTACCAACGATTACAAGTTAGTGCGTTCCAGAGACAATAGATGGAGCTGTTCTATAGCGACGCGAAAACAGTATGAGACTACGAGTTAGTGTAATTCAGCGATGACAGTTGGCGCTGGCGCTGTGTGCGCAGTAGAATCGCGTAGGTTTTTAGATTGAAAGTTGTTTATTCGTAAAACGCATGAAGCTATCGCCTTCAAATGCACACGTTCTTAGCCTGCCGGGCAGCAAGCGCGGGAGGTAAAGCCGCGTGCTATAGTATAGCTGTCGTTTCTTTGCCCGCGGCGTGCTATTGTCGCAGGGAAAGTATATGACACCAACATTTATAAATTAACATAATTATATGTATGGTTATTTTTACATTACGTCACACAACGCCACGTAGGGACGTCATGAGCCCCTACTGGAGACATATTTTTCACTTCTTCAAAATAATGAAAGTTTAAAGATATACTATAGGCGCCAAAGTTCCAAAGAAAAGGCCTGCGACGTCAAGGAGTGCTAGCATTTAGTTACGTCACTAATTTAACTTCGTAATTACTTGTTTGATTGACAAATAAAAAAATACGTGCCCAATATTTTTTTATATTATAATTGACGGATTAAAATTTATTTAGGAAACTAGCCTATTAAATTAAGAATGGTTATTATGTTTTCTGCCATAGGACGTCCACTGCTGAACATAGGCCTCCCCCAATGCTTTCTATTTTGATCGATTTGTAGAGGCCTGCGTCCAAGCAGTGGACGTCCTATGGCTGAAATGATGATTATGTTTCTAATCCGCCATTTTGTCTCCAGTGCGACAAACTGCGCGTAGAAATCGCGGCGCTGCGCGAGCTTCTAGCCAAGAAAGACACCGCCGACCCCGAAGAGATCCGAACCGCCACCGGACAGCTGCAGCAGGCTAGCTTGAAGCTGTTCGAGCAGGCGTACAAGAAGGTATGTAATGATGGAGGTGTTTAATGTAAGGGACATTGACAAGGTGTACAGATGACCTCATAAAGGTAGCAGGAAGGCGCTGAATGCAAGGTACCATCCGGCCAATCTGGAAATCATTGGGGGAGGCCTATGTTCAGCAATGAACGTCCTGTGGCCGAATTGATGATGATGATGATAATGAATAATACAGTTTTGGCTTGTGTGATCACCAAAAGTGGTCAAACAAAAATCTAAAAAATGATTGTATGGAAAACACAAAAGCCAAATACTTAGACGAGTTGCACCACCTAACTTTGACCGTAAATATGAAAACTGGTGTTTTTTGTATGGAGTTTGACAGATTTTTGACGTTTGTCAAAGTTAAAGTAAGATGGTGCTACCCAGCCTAAAAATTAAATATGTCACACAGCTGTAATATAAAGTCACACCTACACTATTTTAAGAACTTAAGAACCTTCTATTTTTTTATTCGAGTAATAGTGCTTGCAATGTAAAATTCAATGGCACTTTTTGTCACCTAGCTTGCACAATTTTGAGCCAGTCCACCTTTTCCCTCGGTGCATTGGTCAAGCAATTGTGCTATAACATCGCGGAGTCACGTTATCATCCGATAGGCCTCACCCATAGACTATTGGACGATTTATGCCTCCTACATTTTGTACAATTTTCTCTATGGTCACTCAATATTCGAATAAGTTTATCGTTTCACTTTCAATCGTATGAAAAAGCTATGGTTTTATAATAATAGCTCTTTTAAGGTTTTGTAATTTAGAGTGAAAAAGGAAGTTTAAGTCTGTCTCTTGTACTCAAGGACCACTCCCACTCTTCCCGAGGGGAGTGTGGCCAAATCTTATCTTCCCTTACGCCTCTAGATATAGACTGTAGGGCAGGCTAAAGACTTGACGATGGCCATTGAAATACTTTGGTCTACTATCAGTAGGTATGTAGGCCTTTTTCAGATTACAATTGGACGTACACACGGCCACACTGTTAACTATCCATTTCCGTTTTTGCTCTCGCTCTAATCAAATGGTGATTCTTTGCGATAGAACGAGATGTCATGACTGGCAATGGGCAGTTAACACTGTTGCCGATAGTACATCCATGAAAAAGACCAACCCAATTTGAGTGAAGTTGTGTGTTGGATCCTTACCATGGATGGAAATACGTCCAATTAATGTCCTGAATTTAGCTTACCCTGCCGTAACTTTTCGGAAATATCGACTTGTGATAAAAAAAAATAATAATAACATCTTCCACAGATGGCCGCTGAACGCGAGGGACAGGGCCAACAGCAACAGACTGAGCAGAAGGAACAGGAGAAGAAAGAAGATAAGAACTAAGCGGAACACGCTGTGCGGTCGAGTGTCGAATGTCGCGGGGTAGTTGTAACTGAGTACCAGTGAGGTCTGTAACTGATTACACTTTGTAGCAACTGATTACATTTTTGTAGCAACTGATTGCATTTTTGTAAAAACTAATTAGACTTTGTAGCAACTGATTACATTTTTTGTAAAAACTAATTACATTCTGTTTTCGTTGATTCAGCAGCGGCTATGTTGTTTTAGAGTTTTGAATGTGTAAGTTATGCTACAGGGCATTTAATTAATTTACTGAAACTAATTACACTTTGTAAAAACCTTTTGTAGCAACTAATTACACTCTGCTTTCGTTTATTCAGCAGCTGTCATGTTGTTTTAGGGCTGATTTTTCAATCGTCGTTATCCGATATACAACGTGTCCCAAAATTCAAGGAATAGCCGGCGCCGCAGGGTGGACATAGTCATGACTGCTTTAGAAAAAATAAGAAAAAAAATCTATCTCAATTATTTTTTAAGTTACACAATAAATTATGAAATTCGTCGAAAATTGACACCCCTTATGATATTTTACATTACCACGACTACAATTTTTCAAATACTTCAGTTTTTTTGTTTGTATCGGCAACTTAAGTAGTGCTGCTGTCCACCCCAATTCTTAAAACCCTCAGATCCTTGCAATTTTTACACAAAAGTTAATCAAAATATGATATTTCCTTAAAACTTTGAACGATTTTTACTTACACTCCACTTTGACTCGTCGTTTTGTAAAAAAACAGTATGAACACTACTGCGGCAAGTTTTTTATAAAGTTGACGCAACTATCCAAGATTCCGAAATGGTATAATACTATAAGAAAACTAGTCGCAAAAAAGTTATGCGTACCATTTTTACAAGCATTTCGCTTGTAAGTTAGTATGAGATAAATCTTGCAACTGAATTTAAAACTAGTTCTCCTTAACCAATTGAGCTGAAATTTGGTATACTTGTGTAAGTACGATGACAATGCAATATTATGGTACCACTGAGCTGGATGGAGTATGGAGGTGGCCATAGGAACTCTTAACGAAACGGCGGAATTACATCTAGTTTGGGTTCGTTGGACTTGTCTTTTCGAGCACTTTAGTGCTAGACGATGTTCAGGGTCCTGATGATGAAGTCAAGAGGTGGCAGGAGCTGGCCATAGGAACTCCTAAACGAAACGGTGGAAGCTTATCGACTTTGGGTTCGTTCGACATGACACAAACGTCATGCCGAGAAGCTGGTTTTCAGCGGGAACCAATGCGTGATGAGGGTTGCGCGCCCTTCTGGTCGAGATCTGTGGCCGAGACGGATTAATCAGATAGTGTCAGACAGGTTATAGGCAAGCTACAATCTGGTGACACAGTGAGCCAGGTCAGTCTACAGGCCATAAGGGCGCGCAACAGGGGGCGTGGTAGTCGATAAAAATTATGAAATTCAAAAGAAACAATAATACATTCCTTTTTTTCTTTTCAATTTTCGGCTGGTTGTCATTGTCTACCTACAATCTTCAACAAGCGCTATTTTCCGCCAAACGTAGCCATGAGAAATAATAAAAAAAAAAAAAAAAAAAAAATTAAAAAAAAAATGAAATTATGAGCTCTATTTTTACTAGGAATAAAGTCGAATTCACGATGTCTGTGAGTACTAAATAGATCTACTAGCAGCGTGTGATGGCAGCACCACTGAACTGGCAAACTTGACAGATTCAAAATAAGCTCATTTATACTCTGAATAAAGTCGAATTTACGTCGGTAAGTTAGGTCTCCCGGCAAACGAGGTGTTAACGAAGTAAGTGACCTGTGGCATGTGGAATATAGTCGAGTTTGCCACATTATCCCAAACACGTACAGATGGCGTTCCTGCGCTAGCATCACGTGATCGTAACTCAGCACAATCGAACATGTGCTCTATGGTTCACTTAATAGAGTCCAACTTACCACAACTGTGTGTCCAGGTTATAACAGCGCAAATCTCCAGGTAAGGTGTTGTCAGCAGCGCCGCCGAAGACATAAAGATGGCGGCCATGGGCCAGCATCACGTGACCGTAACTCAGCACAATCAAACATGTGCTCTATGCTTCACTTAATAGAGTCCAACTCTTGCGCACAATGGCCCAATCAAGAGGCTAAGTGCGCTATTCGATTTCCCTGCAAAACTGGAATCCAACTCACCACATCTGTGTGTCCAGGTCATAACAGTGCAAATCTCCAGGCAGCGTGTTGTCAGCGGCGCCGCCGAGGACATAAAGATCGCGGCCGTGGGCCAGCATCACGAGACCGTAACTCAGCACAATAGAACATGAGCTCTGTGTCTCTAGGAATAAAGTCTTAACTCACCACATCTGTGTGTCCAGGTCATAACAGTGGAGATCTCCAGGCAGCGTGTTGTCAGCGGCGCCCCCGAAGACGTAAAGATGGCGGCCGTGGGCCAGCATCACGTGACCGTATCGCCGCGCTGGGGCGGGGCCCGCACAGCGCAACAAGTGTTCTGTGCATACGCGGGTCCAACTGAAATGAAATGATTTATTTATCCGTTAGTGAAAGAAAGTTACTTTTATATGTTTGAGGAAGAAAGCGAACAAAGATAAAGGGAAGCACAAAAGATCCCTTATGTGTGGACCTTGCACAAGATAAGTTACTTTTAAATACAGTTTCCCAAAAAAATACCAAGGGAAGAACATCATTAGGGCAACCGGGCATCATTTGTGCAGCATCACATAAAAATATTAAGTTCACATTGCCACGGTTTTTACACACATCAAACATTATCTAGTTCAAGTATCAGACTGAAGATGCAAGCCCCACGCAAGTCTAATAATATTTTTTTAACATTATTCTGTTCTATCCTTTTCCATTGATTCAATACTCACGTGTGAGTCTCGAAGTCGAACTGGAAGAGCGCGTTGGTGATCTTGGCGCCGCTCTGTCCGCTGAACACGTACATCTTGCCGCGCGCCACAGCTACGGGGAAATTGCAGCAAGTGGGCGGGCACTGGCCTTTTTGTTCTATCCTCTCCCATTGGTGGTTTGGCGCCTATGGGTTATTGAAAAGACAAATGTACAGCCCGGTCTGTGAGCACGCAGAATTTTGTCCAATGACCCCAAGCTACCCGCGCGCGCGTGCGCGTAATTATATTGCTGTCGCGACTGTGCGACAGGCGCCTGCAGTGAGTGTGCGAACGCGACAGCAACATAATTACGCGCGAGCGATAAGGATGGGTAGCTTGGGGTAATTGGACAAAATTCTACGTGCTCGCAGACCAGACTATAGTCAACAGCATAACCCTACTAATATTAGAAATCCGAAAGTAGCTCTGCCTGTCACGCTTTCACGCCTAAACTACTGAACCGATTTTGTTTGAGTCCTGGAAAAGGACATATGATAGTTTTTATCCCAGTTTCTGAAACAGGGACGCGCGCAATAGTTTTTCTGTGACAGACGGGGACATTCTTCAAGAATGCGTGCGCGTGCGTGTAATTTTTACAGCACCGCGCCGCTTGTAGAATGGTAGTATTTTTTACAATGGGGCACCCCCCCTTTTTCAAAGCTATAGCTACGTGCGTGGGTGCTAAAAATATCATATTCAACGTTACCACAAGGTTGGTAGTCCACATGTCGTTGAGGCGCGCGTTTCCGTCGTAGCCGGCGAATATCCACAGCTTGTCGTCGTACACCGCCGCGCCGTGGGCTGACCTTGGTACAGGCTCCCTGTGAAAGTTTACATAAATGTTATAGATAGGCAAATAAAAATCCAATTATTTTATTTTGTCCTAACTTAGAGCTTTATTTGACACTAGCGGCCGCCCGCGACTTCGTACGCGTGGATCCCGTTTTACCCCCTTTACCCCCTTCATCTATCTTACGCGGTTTAGATTTTTCATACAAAACGATTTTCCCGCTAATTCCCGTTCCCGTGGGAATTTCGGGAATTCCTTGTTGTAACTAAGCTTTAAGTTCACTAAGGTACCTACATACCAAATTTNTAGCCCTAGTACTTCAATATACTCACGTGTGACGGGACTATTCCCACCTCTCGTTCCCACCGCTGCAACTCCTGTGTAGCCAGGATCTACAGCTTGACCGCCAATAAAAACCCAAGCAGTGAAAAGGTCAAGTTTGTCTAGGTGGAAAGTTAAACTGTCATTGGATCCGCAACGAAATTAATCAGAAGAACATAGGAGGAGTTCAAAATTATGGTTCAATACTCACGTGTGAGTCTCGAAGTCGAACTGGAAGAGAGCGTTGGTGATCTTGGCGCCGCTCTGTCCGCTGAACACGTACATCTTGCCGCGCGCTACGGCCACGGGGAAGTTGCAGCAAGTGGCCTTTCTGTTCCATCCCCTTTATTGATGGTAGCCTTAGTACTCCAATACTCACGTGTGCGTCTCGAAGTCGAACTGGAAGAGCGCGTTGGTGATCTTGGCGCCGCTCTGTCCGCTGAACACGTACATCTTGCCGCGCGCCACGGCCACGGGGAAATTGCAGCAAGTGGGCGGGCACTGGCCTTTTTGTTCTATCCTCTCCCATTGGTGGTTTGGCGCCTATGTATTGAAAAAATAAATTTAGTCAACAGCATAATAATATGATGTATAAAACTATATTCATATTTTTTGTTGCAAGATTGCATCTTTTAGGCCGCTTGTACATACTAAGAAAAATCGCCAGGCATACGCAAGAATTCGTGTCGTTTTTTTTTTCTGTAAAGAGGCTTAAAAAAGCACTTTTACACACGCACCGCGTACATTGCTAAATTATTCTTGTCTGCGCTAGATACGACAAGCGGCGGACGCGCACTGTGTGACAAATTTTCGTAGCTAAGTCCGACGAAATTCTTGTCTTGTTTGCAGCAGACACGGTGAAATTTCTTAGCGTGTACAATAAGCCTTATGACTACATGAGTTGCCAGTCATTTAAGCTGCCATTTGGTCATTTATTGGAAGCTAGATTACAAATTACATAGCAATTGAATCCCTAATGTAGCCTCCAACCAATTTTTTGTGCTAAAATATCATGTTCCACTATTACGTTACCACAAGGTTGGTAGTCCACATGTCGTTGAGGCGCGCGTTTCCGTCGTAGCCGGCGAATATCCACAGCTTGTCGTCGTACACCGCCGCGCCGTGGGCTGACCTTGGTACAGGCTCCCTGTGAAAGTTTACATAATGGTATAAGCTATAGGCAAATAAAAAGTAAAACACAATTATTTTATTTTGTTCTTTATTTGACAGTTTGAAAGATTAGTAATTTTTGTAAAATATTCTATACATATTTTTGACTTTAAATTGTTAGCAACATGCGCACAATATTTATGGAGTCTTGAACAGTTGCTTACTTTACTCTTGGGATAAAATCAATATAAAAATTAAAAATGTACTTAAAATTTGTGTTAAGTGAGTAGTCTCTGTATGGAAATAATAATTTGTAATTTGTGCAATCAAAATTGCTAATATTGATATTTTAATTGATTTATTATGAATTCATACTCACTGTCCTGTAAACTTCCATTGGACCCATTGTGCGCTTTGGAATTTGTACTCAAATAAATCATTTTTGTTCGTGAGATTGGAGTTGGCGAGTATGTCGCCTGTGTAGCCGCCGAATACGAACATGGAAGACCGGTGAACCTATAAATAAGTAATAGTTACATTCAAAATAAATATATTGTAAGATTATTTTATTTTGTGTTAGACCTGTTGTTTTAATTTCAAAACATATACTACTTAGCCACTTCTATTATTTAGGTCATGGAAAATAAATGATTAAAAGGCTACATTGCGGTTAGGTAAAGTATGATTACTTGAATAAGTAGTTTAATATATGTAATGGAATAAATAATAATAAATGAAATTTACCACTGCAGAATGGTGATAACGTGGTGCAGGTGGCACTCCCATACAGCCAGTCTTTGTCCAGGACTTCTCTCTGATGTCAAATCTGATCAGGTCATTCAGCATAGACTTCCCGTTGTCACCCCCGAATACATAAATTGCATCTTTGTATGCTACCGCTGTGTGTTTGCTACGTCTGTGAATTAATAGAAAAAATTATTTGTAAATATACTAAACCAAATATGGATACTTAAATTATTTATTTAAAGTAATTAGGTACTACAGGAAGGATCAGGATCGATAAATGATAACTATATTTAATTTTAACATTCTATAACAGCTTTCTATTCCTCGCTATATCAAAAACCACCACAAGAAATTCTATAAATTACAAAATAATAATTATAAATTGATAGTAAAAAAGAAACTCTATATTGAATAGGCATTAAGTTTAAATTACCTGGCGCCCACAAACTCGTAGCACTCAGACATGCGCTTCCACTTATGCACAGTTTCAAATGGACCGAACTCCATTCGCAGGCTTATGTCCAGTTCGTTTGGATTTCGAAGCTGCTCCGTTATCATTTTCCCTAGGTTTTGCATTCAGGCGTTTTTCCTAAAAATATAACTTCAGTTTATTGACACAGCATCTCTAAAAACCACTTATTTCTAAGAACTTGTTCACGCGAATCAATTCTCGAACCTATCTTCGTGGCGGTAGCTAAACGTACTAAAAATGAAAGTAGGTTGACTCCCAAATATTTTAGGAGTAAAACTAGAACAGTTTTTCGCAGTTATAGGAAGAAATCTCAAAATAAACTGAATGAAAATAGGTCGACGAAATATGCCACAGTTCAATAAACCAAATATTTGTAAATATACCCTGGAATTCGTGATCATAAACGTTGAATATAACTTCTTTGTAATAATTGATTGAAATTTTAAGGAAATAATTAGAAAACGTTGGACAATTTCACGTTCAACCAACAATAAACATTTTTCTATCGCAATTTTTTGCATCTATTTTGGCTAGGTACTTGTCACATTGACATCAGTCACATTTGACAGATTAGGGATGTACCAAACAATCCAAAGGAGCTGAGACCAACAAAATTAATTGAGCTCAACTAATTTGCAATGACTAAAATCTGTATTNAGAACTCCGAGCAAGCTCGCCCCCAGGTGACTAAAATGGCGGCAAACGGAAGTAAGTCAAATCAATTCCTATTAAATAATTGCGGAAATGACGTCATTTAAGGTATAAAAAGGTAAAAAACTACACCGGAAGTAGACGCATCTCTCACCAGATGCTGTGCATCGTCTCTGCTCAATAATACAAGTTTTATTGTTTTGTAAAACTTGTACTATTCTGTAACACAATAGTTTCAGTCGCCCTAACAAAACAAGTGGCAAAATGCTCGCACTAGACGAGTTATTTAGGCCTTAAAAGTCTGTTCACAAATTAAATTCATCTTTACTGAGCCCCGATTACGGTAACTTTTGTAACGTCTACAATCCAGACGCGTTTCTGATTCTGCGATACGATTGGTCAAAACAGCTGACGTACGCTGTTGAACGACCAATCGTATCGCAGAATCGAGAAGCGTGTCTGGATTGTTGACGTTAAAAATTACCGTAATCGGGGCTCTGACCAAAACCGTTCCCACTTTGGTCGAGTTCAATGTAATTATTTGCCACTCAACTAATGTGATTCTTCTCTGTTTAAATTCCATAGACTAATCCAATACCCTCAATTCGTTCTTTCGTTCAATGTCAAAATTCGGCTTTGATTAAATATTATTCATTCGTTCATTCACAAAGTAACTGAGCTTTACAGATTTGTTTGTATTTATTCTTTTTGTCTTATTTTCTTATTAAAATACCATTTATTTGTAGTTGGAAAATGTCTTCTCCAGTAAGTATTGATGCAACATAAATTTTTCTAATACAGTAAAGTGTTTGTCGCAAACTTAATTAGAACTAGGATGTTGAGGTATACGACTAGTCGGTCGGCCTAATCTAATCCGTTACAAATGGTTTGCAGACGGAAGAAAGCGTGCGGCGTAATAGCGAAAGCGAGGCTGGTGATGCGGAGACGCCTGAACACGACCCTCATTATGAGCCTATCGTGTCGTTACCGCTCGTCGACATTCAGACTAATGAGGAAGAAGAGGAGGAACTGGTTAAAATTCGTGCCCGGCTCTACAGATACGACACTGCTGATCATGAGTGGAAGGTGAGGTTAAATAAAATTGAAATTTTAAAATAATTTAGGTTAAATATTCTTAAATTTTGGTTTGGATAATTTGGGGATATGTTACAATCATTACTCTGCTTTCAGGAACGTGGGACAGGAGATATCAAATTATTACGCCACAAAGAAAATAACACTGTGAGAGTAGTCATGAGACGTGACAAGACCTTGAAGGTGTGTGCCAACCACTTCATCACGCCAGACATTAGGATGAACGTCCACTGTGGCTCGGACAAAGCATTCAATTGGTCTGTCTTTGCGGATTATGCTGATGAGAGATGCAAGCAAGAGTTGCTTGCCATCAAATTTGGAAACCCACAGAGTAAGTTATGGTTTCCATGATCATTTTTTAACAACAAAAATACATTTGCATATAGTTAATTTTTACCATATTTGTTAGATAAATTTTGAATTGTTATTACTTAGTCATTGCAATAACCTATTCTTTATAAACTAAAAAATTTTTTCTTATTCAGATGCAGAACTATGGAAAACGAAATTTGCTGAAGCCCAAGAAATAGTTCGAACAAAATGTAGTCTTTACAACGACCAGTCTTCAGATGAGGAGAGCAGCATCACCCGTAGTGAAGACACTGACACTCCGGAGCCCAAGAGCTCGGACAAAGCAGACAATCCCTCGGAAAAAGATGCAGAGGGTGTTGTACTAAAACTAAAAGAACTCAAAGTGGAAAGTGAAAAGTCAGATTAACAATGAAATATAATAAATACATAAATAAGAGGCCAAGGTGTGACATGTTGTTGCAGCTCATTTAAATATATTTTTAAATTTAGAATTTATTTTCAATAGTAACTATCAAGATACACTAATAATAACTGTCTATAAATGCTCTTATCATTTAACAGAAACCCAATGGTTTTTAGTTTTGTGTTATAGGTCATGCATTTTTAGTCTTATGTTAAAATAATGATAATATTCATCACAATGCTTTTTTTATATTATATTTCCAATTTGAAGACTTAAATTTTCAAGCTTTTTAAGTAATAAAGAATGTGAATTCTGTTCACTACATTTTGACACCAACATGGAAATAGTGAGCTATTTGTATATTCCAAGAGCTTTCGAATAATAATAATTTTAAGTATACATTAGTGATCATAGTAAAATTTTAATGTTGATGTGTAATTAAATGTTTTTGGTAAATTCTTTGCCAAATAGGGGTATTGTTATATTTTTAATTTGCAGAAACTATATTATTCATCATCATTGCAATATTCTTTTGAACATTTTCTAGAGTAAAATGTCTATTTCTTTAGACATATAAGTACCTACTTTAATTGTATGCATGCATTTATATTTTTTTATCTCTGTAATGATAGGACTTCTGTCAATTATCTTGGGTTTTAAAACTGTGAGTTCTTTAGTTATATTCTTACATAGTAATTGACTTTTACACAAATTACTGTTCTTCTTCTCATCTATTTCAACATTCCTGCTTTTTTAAAGAAAAAAATTGTGATTTGGAACTAAGGAATTTCAGGAAAATCAGAAAATAGAAGTGTTTTATAAAATCAGAAGGAATTTTATTTTTCCTACATTTTAATCAGAAGCATTATCTTTCTGTATTCTTTCTTGCTACCTGATTCAGAAAAATAATAAAATAGTTTTTAAAGTAAAAAATAGTGCTGTGTAAATTCTTTGCATATTAGCACTTCTGTGTTAAATTAAGTTTTTGTGGTTTTAATAATGGGAATAGTAAAAAATTGAAATTCACTTTGTTTCACACTTTTATTTAAACACTTGTGCAATTATTAACTTCACACACATTATTAAAATTACCTATAAGTACATTCAAATTGATAATTTATTCAGTGTGAACAAATTGCTTCAAAATGAAACAACAGAATACCTTGTATAAAGGTTAGTCATATTATGACATTTTAATGGAAAATAGTATGACCTTCATCAGGCAAATTATGTGCACATGAATTAAATTTGGAATAACATAACTATTATGCTGATATAATTATACATAATTTACCTGACTACCATGAGTAGCATTGAATGTTTCTCCCTATACATCAATGAATTGAATGAGAGAAATGATACTCTAAAAAAGTAATAATGTTCTTTACATTAAAATAAAATAAGCGTTCTCTAAAGTTTAGTCTGGAATGTTATTGCTAAATATATCCTAAGCTAATTTAATTAAATCACAGGTCGTCTTTTACATTTCTGCCTTTGATGTCATAGAGCTGGAATGTCTGGAGAATGTTCAGTCTAATTCCCAGTTCTTTCTTCTTCTCATCTGATACTTTTCCACTTTGGAGCTTCTTCACTCTTTCAGTTTCAGTTTTGATAAAATCATCACCTTTTTCTAGAATCTTCTCCATGATTGTTTTGTATATTTTTCCCGATGGTGCTTCCTGTTGAAACATCACAAAAATTAATTAATTTAAAAAAATTAATGAGAAAGTTCTAGTAATATTATGTCATTTACTTACTACAAAAGAATTATAGATTACCTACCTTGGTACTGAGATTCTTCTGTGCATTTTCAGTTTCTTTCAATATTTTTTTCCTGTCATCTCCTTTGGTCTTCATGAACTTAATTGCTAGTTTATCAAGCTCTTTTACGCAGCCTGGTAGACTGAGATACAAACCGGTGTTCTCTCGTACGAAGCGTCTCAATGCGTCGGTGCTGAATCCTTTGGAATCGTCAAACTGTATCGGCTCACTTTTGCCCTTGATAAACAGCTTAACAATTGGGAAGTTCTCCTTCGTAGCGCCGTACTTCCTCGCTAGTTCCTCATTTTCTTTTTCGCCATAATCCTTCACCCCGACTTCGCCAACTAAAAGATCGTCCACGTCCTTCGCGTCTTTAGCAAGCGCCACGAACGCATCGTGTTTATCACCGTATGGAAAAGCCACATCGAACTTGATGAGAGAAGCTTCGAATTTTCCAGTAATCTTATCAAAAGAAAATTCGTCTAATTCGACTGATCCACTGGTGGTCGTGGCTTGGTAAGTAAAAGGTATACTTGACAGTAAACACAGGAAGTAAAGGAGCTGCATTGTAGAATTCTAGAATACGGGATTAATATGCTTCACCAGCTTGTGTAACGGCCTGCACTTACGCAAATATATTTAATTTTATCGGTAAACTAACTTCGCCGCTCGATTTTATTGACATCGGACACCATTTGTTTTCATTTACAATTTTATAAGCGTTCCATTATACGTACTGTTTTATACTGTTAATACTGTTTTATAATTGCAAACTTTTGTTTTTTAGCTTTGTTATCCGTAGTCAGTAAAAAAATATACAAAGGAAAAAAAATGCTCAGTTGACCGATACTAATTATCGATCATCTACTCTTTGCGAAAAGACAAACTTCAAATTTTGATTAACTGCACTGTGAAAATCGGAATGTACCCTTTTGACATTAATGTGACCGTGTGTGATTCTGATTGGTTAATAGGCGAATGACAACTCAAGAGTTTGTTTTCTATTACAAAGATGGATTCCTTGATCCGTCTATCATTTTTAACCGACTTCAAAAAAGGAGGAGGTTATTATGATGATGGATGAGCTGATGAGGTGCTATTAATGCTCTTCTTGAGGAAAATATAAAAACGATATCTACTATATAAAAATAAGTCGGGTTTTCCTCCCTGACGCTATAACTCCAGAACGCACGAACCGATTTCCACGGTTTTGCATTCGTTGGAAAGGTCTCGGGCTCCGTGAGGTTTATAGCAAAGAAAATTCGGGAAAAGGGGGTAAAACAGGATCCACGCGTACGAAGTCGCGGGCGGCCGCTAGTTTACCTATATTAATGTAGAAAAATAGTTTTTCAGTAGTTGTTCGAATTCGAAAGACGAATTGAACAAAGAAAGTCATGTGACTGGTAGAAAATGTGTAAGCTTATCAAATATTAAGTTGTTGTCAAATATTGTGTTTGAGTTTCTATTGAACTGACGCACATAATTTTATAGTAGCGGAACTACAAGTATGATTTGTTAGTTGCGAAAGTAAATTCACCACCTAACAACACTTCTTACTTACGAATAGGTCCACTTATTGCATGCGCAATAAAACATTATGTTACGAAACTATGGATCGGCATAAACTAGCTATACATTGGTAGGTGCCACTGTTGTTGAAAATGTGGTTGAATTATTTATCGGCTTTTTTAATATTGGATTTAGTTCTAGCTGAAAATTTGAAAGAAGAAGGTTAGTTTTTGGTACGATACGATAACAGTGTTATTAAACTATTAATCTTGTCCCAAATAATAAGTACTTAATAATTAATTAAACTGTTGTCCTGTGTTATGTTTCTGTAATCTACAATCTAGTACCTACATAAAGTAAGTTTGATATCGCCTGCTGCAAAACTTTAAGCTACGTTTTAAGTACGAGTATAACCTAATGTACCGTTATTGCCAAATTCAATAATTTGCTTGTAAACTAGCTACTTAGTTTAATGAATAGGTATTCATAATAATATGGGAACGTTATAATTAGTTCCAAGAAAGCACGATCTTAGATTCGAATATTAATTTTAAAATGGTTTCCAGCTTCAGCAGAACACGAACCTCAATCGGATCAAAAAATAAATTTGAAAAAGAATTTAGACGAAGGGAACGAAAACCGTGATTTTCATTGGCCTCTGGGTATTGTCTCGTATTATTTGGATCATAGCAGTTATGGTAAGTTGTGTTAAAACACCTTCTTTCATTATTTTTTATAAAGCTTAAGTATTCTAGAGGCTAAGTGCCTCTTAATTAAATAGCATGGAAATGTTAGTAGGTACTTACCTAGTAGAATAGCAAGTAGAAGTTGATCTCACTGTTTTGAAATACTTAACAGCATGTCTACTTTAAAGCATGTTTGTTTTTAACTTAATTTCAGATTATCTGGTAGCAGAACGCGTTCGCCTCGCTATGAACACCATTGAGGAATCATCTTGCGTTAGGTTTAAAGCACTCCTTGAACCCTATAGCAAGTCTCATTGGATCCATATTACCAACAAGGCCAGAGTGCGGGGCTGCGTCCATGACGGTGAAGTTAATGGCACGTATGAGACTGTATGTATGATATAATTTTATTGTTCATGTTTTTTAGTGGCACCGATGTCGGCAGCGGACTGCTGAAACGAGAGTCGCTAGTTCAATCCTTCAGGCTATTTAACCTTTGTTTTGTCTCCTGTATTTGTTTGTTTGTTCTCCTGCTTTGCACTGGACGAAGGTCAAATCTTAACTTCGAACTCCACCTATATTCTTTTGAATCATTTCGTTGAGGGTCCAATAACAGTTTAAAGTTTAACCCCGGGACAAACTTGACCTTCACTAGTTGGGTTTTTAATGGCGGTCAAGCTTAGATCCTGGCTACATAGGAGTTGCAGCGGTGGGAACGAGAGGTGGGAATAATTCCGTAGTTCAATCCCCATCCCGATAATAAATATTGTTCTCAAAATTATCGCTGGTCATTATTCGAACTATTTACAAATGAGCGGTTTTTGTGCCTCATTTATTGCATTCAGCGTTTATGCGTGAAGTTACGAACATTACAGCAACCGACCAACTTTCACATTAACCAGCAGTGTTTGCATTTTACAAGAACACGATGTTTTACAGACTTCATGACTCACCTGTAGAATGTACCGTTATACATTTTAGATTTTAACCAAGTTTAATCATGGGCATTTCAAATGGTTCGTAACTGTTTCCACCAGGTAATGACGATGGGTCTGGATTGCATGCAGCGTCGTGATATCTTGCATTTACTAATGCATGCTCTGGGTTTCAAAGATGAAGTCACACATCCACTGAGAGACCATTATGTTAGGATTTTGTGGGATAATATTCATCCTGGTACGTTGGTTGCTACATTTAATAATTAATAACTTTTTTTAGTTCATTATACTAATATTATAGCTACTTTCAGCATACCTATCGTTATTTCGCATTCGTTACGAAGATTATCCTACAATAAATACTGAGTATGATCCTACGAGTATCATGCACTTCCATGATCGGGCGTACACTAAAAATGGACAAGCTACGATTGCATCTCTGGTAATTTTAGAATCTGATAAGTTATGAAGATAATTTCTAGAAACAATGAAATATTTCTGCATGAAAGACCACACATTAGTTATAATAAATCCTAAAGAGCTTTACTACTGTAGCGTAGTATGAATGTGAATCTATGGCATGAGATGAAGATTCCTTATTTCTTTTGAGAAATTATCATCAGTATCAGATCAGTTGAGTTTTACATAGTACGACTAGTTAGAAAAAGTATATACCTACCTACTTTTCACAGGTACCCGGGCTAGTGATAAACCCTTCGCGTGAGCTGTCACCCCTAGATAAGATGAAGCTTCGCTCAGTATTCGGCCGCGAGTGCAACAGACGGAAGGTGGATGACTTGCTAGACTCATGTAAAGCGGCGATGCAAGAAAACGATGGAAATCAGCAGGTCTCAGAAGTACAAAATCCTGAAACTGACATTGAAGAGGATAGTAACCATAATGACATGAATAATCATAATAATGAAAAATACGAAGATACTGCATATAACGAAGAACAGGCACATGAGCAAACTGTTGCCGAAAATAACTACGCAGAAGATGGTACAGATAAATAAATAATAATGTAGTAATTTTGGAAATTCATTTTGAATCACTAAAACTAAAAAAAAAATTGTAGGGTTCCGTAGTTGCCCTTTCGATATCACAGTGTAGGATTTCAGAAGGAGTCTTTATTTACTTCATCTAAGTCACTTTTAATGTTTTCTTCTAAGTTTTTTTAATACACAAGTTGAACGACGATTAGTTACTCTTAAACTAACTGATCCATCTAATACCTACTATCTAACTGTTATAGTTTTCCTCATAGGTTCATGAAAAGCACTTTTATAATGAACCATTGTCCACGGAAAGGTTCAATAGTAGTAGGTATAAAAGGAACTAAATAATTCAACAAAAATAAATAATAATGTGAAGTGTTGTGAGGGTTTTTTAATTGGAATCATTATTATAACAGAATCTAAACCGGTTCATACTGTCTGAGTCTGAGAATATAACTCTACTAAAGTATATCTTCTAAGTTATAATAAAGAATTATTGAAAGATTTGCTTTTACTTTTTCCTTAAACTTTTCTTACTTAAACACTGTTTAAAGTACAGGAGGTTAATTTTCATGACGTCGGTAGAACTAAGACCTTGCCAGTGTCCCATGGCCCAGCCATCATTCTGTGAACAAATAAGGGAAATTATGTTTTTTTAACTACTTTCACATCATAATTATGAGCTAGTCGCATGAAGCCTTAATAAAAGAAATAGTCAATTAGTAAATCTTGAAAGTTAGTGAGGATAGCCTAATTTAACTCATAAAAAAATTAAGAATGCTTGAAATGAAAATTGTAACCCAACTAAATTATCCTAAAAATATTTACCCAAATTGGATACATGATGTTGGTAACTCCATCTTTGATTTGTAGCCAAGGGTAGTGCATCACGCTCTGGTAGTCATAATTTAACCCTAAAGATGCAGCCGGCGGTAGCTTTTTTGACATTTCCTTTCTGATTTCTGCAAGAAGAAAAAATATTTATCCAAACGCAAATCTGAAGCATTCAAATTACATTTAAGTATTTCGCGTAAATTATTCAAAATACCTGGAGTAAGATTATCCCAGAGGATATGTAGATAAGAATCTCGATCGTGCATATTGTGTTGGTGATCGAAGCCCAATATGTGCATGAATAAATGGAGGAGATCGTTAACAGAATTGAAGCAATCAGCGTTGATTTTCAAGACCTATAATAATAATAGTTATAGTTGTACATTAATTCGTACATAACAACAAGAAATAAAAGTTATGTTCAGTCTGATATTGAGTGTTAAATTAACCAATACATACTTTATTCCCATTAGGTTTGCCTGGAGTGGGGCACTCGCAGCCCGGCTCCACTCCCCTGGCGAACACAAGTATGTCTGCGGCATGACGCCTTTGAGATTTTTGCTGTTCTACTCGCGAACGCTTGTTGGCTTTTGCGATTTGCGGGATTGCAGTTCCTGGAAAGACAAAAATGATTTTTTTGTAACAATGCTATTCAAATACGCAAGGTACCAACACGGTCAGAATCAAATTCAGCTTAATTTAACACCTTATGTATGTACAAAGAGTTCACGTCACTTACCCGATCTCAAAATATTAATATCGTCATGTTCATTTCTTGCATCAACTGTACTAACTTCGACGTCTCCATGCTTAACTTCATTATCACTGATGCCTTTAGCATCCTTGCCTTCAATTTTTGCTTCACCTGCTGTCTCTGCGGGTGCTCCATCAACAGGTTTCTTTAGAGGGTGAGTTTGCTCCGTTTCAGAGTTTTCATCTTCATTTACAGATGGTGCTTCATCATCTGTATCATCGTCCTCTTCTGGCGTAATATCTCGGAACTTGATGCACGTCTCCTTTTCGATATGCCGAATTACTGCTCTAATATTTTCTTTTTCTTCAGCAGCTGAAAAATAGTATTGACTGTGAAAATGAATCGTACCAGTACCTAACATCACTTTGTGAGGTAATACACAGGCCTGAATAAAGACTTCATAAGTGGCTGTGAATGAATAATAATCAGGTAACTATTTAAATAAATGCGTAAACGTTAGGTTTAGAGAATTGACACATTTGATATGTGATATGAAGTCGTCACTAGTGCTTACAAAATTCCATTTGGTCTCTGAGCTTGTAGTTCACAACACCGTATCGCCACAGCCTGTCTACGAAGTATTCCTCGATCTCCTCCTGCGTTATGTTCTTGGGCTCTGTGTCGGCTCTGACCACACTGGGGCAGGTCTTGAGGAGGTACTGCCGATTCCGATCTACGCACTCGTGTCCGTATATGACGGCTACTTTCTCAACGTCTCCTTCGCTTAGACCTTGGCGCTGGCCAAGTTTTACCCCAGGCTAAAATGTAGACACATTTCAAAGTTACGGCAATTTACTTGTATTTTTTAAAAGATCCACTCATTAAGAAAATATTAATTAATATCTAAACGGAGGCAAACCTGAGCCATAATCGTGACTTGTCCATTTTTGGAAAAGGCTCGCGGGGGATAGTGCAGCACGCTAGCGAAATCATAAGGAATGTTCTGCAGCACATCTTTTTCACGAGTTTCAAAGTATTTCTTGTAGCCTGAAATAATAAATTAATCCTATCGATCAACTATGCGGTAAAGTTTATTTTACTTCCTGCATAAATGAAAATGTTTTATTTACTGTCTTCGTTTGTGTTCACACAAACTACGAATAATGATTTATTATAGCCGACCATAGAACATGAAACCTATGTTCTGTGTAGCCGACGATGTACACACGGCCACACTGTTGACTATCCATTTTCGTTCTTGCTCTCACTCTCATCAAATGGTGATTCTTTGCGATAGAATGAGATGACATGACCGGCAATGGGTAGTTAACACTGTTGCCGATAGTACCTACGATGAAATTTTATTATAAAAGTTAAAATTCTCACCCGATTTGATGTTATTCCACAAAATAGTTATGTGTTGATCCCTATCGGGGCGAGTATGCTCGTGTGAGAAGCCTAGTATGTGCATCACTTCGTGTACAATTTCTCCTAGCGATAAGCAGTCATATCCAAATACTACCATCTAGAAAATAACAAATATATCACTATTAACAATATTTTTATCGCAGTATACCTATTCATCTCTTCAGTAGGTATTTCAGATTATTAAGGCAGGATATTACTTATCACACGAATGCACACAAAATGCATTTTTTACATTCAACAAAAATACATTAGTGTTTTAAATATTAATAATATTTTGTTGGCCTTGATGCATTGACTAATTGTGGTAAAGTCACTCCTACACAAAATTGAATTTAGTTTGGAGAGGACGGGGCCGCGGGGATGTAACTAATATTTTTTTTATTTACGACAAATTATTTGTAACCCGTAAGAAACAAGATGAAGTAAAAGCTAAGAAATAGAGAGTTCTGAGCTAATAGGCCACTTAGGCCACATAGAGCTAATGCACACGATGCGTTGCGGCGGCGGTGCGATGTCGGAGAGGTGTCGCTGCGTGCGACGTCTTACATAGAAATATATACGAGTATAATATTATTATCTGTGGCTGTGCGCCGCAACGCATCGTGTGCTTTGACTCTAATGTCACGACAAATACCTAATTTAGTTGCTTTTTAGGTTTTTTAACTGATGTACGAGTATTAGTACTAGTTTTTTGAAGATCTTTTACCTGCACACCCTTGTTAGTCTTCCGCTCATTGCTGTGCACGCACTGCCTGACGCCTGCCGGGTTGGTGATGTACAGCCACTCCACGTTCTGCAGCGAGTCCTTGTCAGTCGGCCGGTCCTTCAGCCTTTGGAGGCGGATGCAGGTGGCCTTCTCGAAGTACTCGAACGCTTGCATTATCACTTCTGCTAAGTGCGCGTCTGAGAACATTTTCAGGTTGTTACACATATTTTCATCATCATCATTATCATTTTAGCCATAGGACGTCCATTGCTAAACATAGGCCTCCCCCAATGCTTTCCATGTTGATCGATTGGTAGCGATCTAGCTACGTCCAGCGCTTCCCTGCTACCTTTGTGATGTCGTCGGTCCACCTTGTAGGTGGACGTCTCACGCTGCGTTTTCCGGTACGCGGCCTCCAAAAACCTTGCTTCCAAACACTTATTTTATTTATTTAAAACCTTTATTCCACACAAAAACACGGTACAAAAGAGGAACTTAATGCCGTGTGGCATTCTCTACCAGTTAACCTTTAGGCCAAATAGAAAATTTTTATAGACGATGCAAAATAGTAACTAATATCTATCAAATACCTATGATTAATTTGGATACTGTAAAATTTGTAGTCAACATACCATAAGTTTTAGAGTCTATAAAATATGGCACTATCCCATGTTTCCACCTCTTTGGCCAGTCGATGCCTGTACCTACGTCCTCAGGATTCGATGGTTCAAATGGTTCGCCGGTTGGCAGTGGTCCCAATAGCTCAGCAGGGGCGAAATTAAATCTCCTCATCGTTTTGTTTTTTTCTTCCTTTAATAAAATATACTTATTTTATAAAACTGGGATCTAGGGTATGCTACGTTGGGTCCGTAGCAGAATCTAGGACAGGCTACGGATATGTTGTAGCAGGACCTGGGACATGCTACGGAAATGTTGTAGCACGATCTAGGATATGCTACGGTGCGTCGTAGCTGGATCTAGGCAGAACTTTTTCTCACAACCTTCCAAAAAACCTGACTTATGAAAAAGTAGACTCAGGGATAACTGTCTTGGAACCCGCAACAGATTAAATGAAGAGAATATAAGAGGAATGCTACGGTGTGTCGTAGCAGAATCTAGGATATGCTACGGTGTGTCGTAGCAGAATCTAGGATATGCTACGGTGGGCCGTAGCTGGATCTAGGACATGCTACGGATATGTTGTGCCAGGATCGAGAACATGCTACCGATAATGTTGTAGCAGGATCAATGACGTGCTACTGATATGTTGTAGCAGAATCTAGGATATGCTACAGTGTGTCGTAGCAGAATCTAGGATATGCTACTGTGGGCCGTAGCAGGATCGAGGATGTGCTACGAATAT